ATGTTATATAGAATGTTAATCGAATAAAAGGATCTATTGCCTTCTATTCAATTGCAGAGTAAAAACACATTCAATCCGCAGTCTGTTGTCAACAACAGCTTTCATCACTATCGCCACCAGAACCCTTTTTTCAACCCTTTTTGACAGACATGTTTTCATATGGTAGAAAGGCACATAATATAAAAGGGAAGGTGATTCTCCCTCCCTTCGTCTTTCTTCTTTTTCTCTTTTCCTTTCCTTTCAATCGCGGCTCTTCCTTTCCTTCTTTCCTTTCCATCGTCAACAGCCTATCTTCTGCATTGCATTTGCAAGTATACATATTCGTGTAAATACTCATTCACCCTTTAAGGCACCTTCCATTGCATTCTCACATCAATCCCCTCTCTCCTCTCCTCCTCTCTCTTACCAAACACATACACATACACACACATACACATACACACACATACACATACTCATACATTCATTTGTATCTATTTGCATTACACAAAAACACTTCATTCTTCTTATCCTGATATCACTTATTCACACACACACACACACACACACAGCCATACACCTTCAACACCTGCCTTTTTCGATACTTTTTTTCTATTTCTCAACATATTTTTCAAGGTATGGACCATCTATTCCAAAATCCCATAAGACGTCCAATGAATGACGCTTAGTCACTTCCATTGAGCGTTCTTTTTTCATTATTTATCATTCATAATTCATACTAGCTTTTGAGTTTTTTTTTTTTTTTTTTTTTTTTTTCCTTCCCTTCTATTCTCGGCTTAGTCCAGCCCATGGTTTTTCTAATTTACACATGCTCTTGCAGAAATGTACTTGAAAGAATGTATGTTGGATCCAGCGCTTAAATGACAGAATCAACAAGTAATGCGAGTGACCCTGAACTGTAACCTGCTTGCTTAGCATAATGTTTTCAAAATCCAATGTGCTTGTGCTTTGCGCTTTGTTCTTTTTTTTTTTTTTTTTTTTTTTTTCTTTCTTGTCAGTCTGGTCAAGGTGGTCAAGGGAATGGCAAATTGTAACCGGACCACATTATTCTTGACATCCGTCTCCTCTTTTATAAATGTTGTCGATCGGAGACCAAAAAGTCGTTATGATAATCGTGGCTGAAGGTGGATAAAGTGAGCTGTGTTGATTAATATGGCCTTGCCTTTTCATTCGCCATTTTTACAAACAAGGGAGTTTTATGGAATAAATTAGTTGCACCCAGTTGATTCTCATCCCAGAGTATACAAATATATCATATTTTTTAATACACTGCAAATAGGCAGTGAGGATCAGTGTGGGTTGCACCAAACAAACAGTTTCTGATTACTTCATCGGTTCCAACAGTATTCAATATTAGCATCGATTTCGATGCTCTTATCATGACCCCATCAATTATACCATTTCAGTTCTGATGTATAATAACACTATTGCCTCATCTAATGATATGGCTATTCACTGTCTTTTCTCTTTTTAGGCCTAATACTTTATTCGGATCCACTACACTACCAAGTTCGCATAATATAACGTAAGTGCATTAAGAAAATTCATCTCAAAATGTTCCATATCAATTAATCTTTGTCGCCACACACATTTTCTATGCTCTCTCTGGCTACAGAGTGTAAATCTTTTCCCTCCCAAACCACCATATTTCACACAACATCTACATTCATTTGGCATTTGTCTGCTCAACGGTCCCGTAGGGGGAAAATACATTCCAGAAAGACTAATGGAGGCGAAGGATAAAAAAGGGGAGATCCCGATGATGCTGCAGCATCTCTTGAGCCCCCCTTCCCGATCCTGCATCGCATTTTTGTTTACCGCGTCATCTGTTGTACATTCCCCACACGTTTTCATTTCTTTGGCCTTTTCTTTTTCTTTTTCAATTGCTTTTCTTTCTCTACCTACTGAGCCACGAGGTTGATGTTTATTTATTCATATTCGTCGCCTGTCACCCAGCGTCATGGTGACAGCTCTCTCCATTATTCTTTCCAGCCATCCCGTCCTGAATCAACTGCCCTTTCTATCCTTTTAATGCCTTTTTTATTTTTTTTTATTTTTATTTTTATTTTTTATTTTTGTTACGTGACGGGAAAGTGAAGGGACAATAATGGGATCTCATTTCGTGAATACAAAACACATACATTGGGTACCATAACGGTGCATCATCTCTCTCTTCCATCTTTCTCACTTTTCATTCAACTTTCTTCATTCATATATAAATGAATGCATAGTTTTGCGCTGTTCATATCCGACTTTTTCTCCCCTCCACTTCCATTTCTCAACTTCTAATCAAATTCCTCTATACTTTTACTGATTTGCTTCGAACCTTTTCAGTCTTAACCTTCTTGATTGCTCTATCATTTTAACTTTGACCTAGTCTTTCCAGAAGTCTCCAGGTATCAGACCTTTTTTTTCTTTTTTTTTTTTTTTTTTTTTTTATACCTCTCTCCGCCTTTCAATGTGACACATACACTAATTTCAAACTACATTCTTTGGCCTTTTTGGTCCGGGCACTTGATATTATTTATTGAATATCCATCAATATCAGGCTTGGCTAATGCCTCTTACCATCCGTGTGTTCATCGCTTTACAGAGGAATGGATGATATTCCCTCTTCTCTTTATCTCTTTTTACTTTAATTTATTTTATTTTACCTATCCATTTCCTCTATAAAGATCTTATTCCACATAAACAAGCGAAGGAAGAGGATGGGAAGGAATAATTGGAATGTGCGATTTGACATCTGCACGTGTGTGCAAGTTAAGGCGGGAATAAGAGAGTAAAAGCGTGGTTGCCCAAAGGGTTTTTTTTTTTTTTTTTTTTTTGTTTACAAGGGATGATGAGAGAGACTAGGGAGAGGATTCGTACTAAACAAAAACAACAAAGCGTACAAAGTTGCAAATAAGCATGCAGAAAAAACAGAGGTCAAGATGGAAGGGATTCAAGCACGGGCAATGTACACAATGCCAGCACACGGGCATACGAGTTAAAAAAAAAAAAAAAAAAAAAAAAGAGATGGCCTGTGTGTTTCATTTTCCGAATCTTTGCACCACCATCACACGAGCAAAAAAGAAAAGAGAGCAAACTCTTTTAGGGAGCAAAGGCCAACAGGATTGTTGTTTGTCTGGGGTTAAAGTAGCAATGCAAGAGATTCTCCTTTTTTTTTTTTTTTTTTTTTTTTTGCTTACATTGGCTTACACATCTTACTCTCTAATGTTTCTTATTTATTTTATTGGCTTTGATACAAATACTTTGTTAAAGCATTATTGTTTATTTTCCCCGAAAGGGGGGAGAGAGGAAGAAAGAGAGAGGAGGATGGAGCGGGAAAGGGAGAGAGGACGCGATTTTCAACGACACGGATTATTTTTTTTTCCTTATTCATCCTTGTTAATGTTGTTTGTCTGTTCCGTGGACGGTAGTATAAATGTTTGTCCTATTTATGGATACATGGATACATATGAGTTCATTCCATTGGATGGTGAGAGACTTGAGACTTTGTCCGGTGGCTAGCGTGGATTGCAAAAGAAAGGGATACAGACAGATCTGCGCGATGCAGGTGTGTACAGACTATAACAGACCATCCCACACGATCCAAATCAAGGAACAAAAAGGTTTTTGTTGCGAACAGACCTCATTCTTTTCTGAGTTTCTAGACAACTCCTTGTTTATTATTGCTATCATTGTTTTTTTATTTTTTTATTTTTTTTTATTACAACTCTTCCATTTTCTTTACTTTTCTCGCTCACTTTGTGCTTCCCATAGCAGTTTGTTAAAACATTCAATCCATCTTGAAGTTAGCGTTGATACTGGTGTGTCTGGATAGGTCCTTTCTTTTTTTGCTCTGCATTGATCCTTTGTTCCTTTTTCCACTTCAGGCTGGTTGCAGTAGCCGAGCATCTTTTTCGCTTTCTCGATTCATTTCCAATTGAACGTTGAGCTGGTCTAAACGAGATATCAATTGGAATGCAAGGGCCTGGTTTTCGCTCAGGATGCATTGGCCAATGCTTTTCAATAATATGAAATTTAGACCAGACCAATAACGACCCACTGCCATCCCTATCCCTCTCCTACTCTCAATTCATCTTTCTATTTGTCTGACTGATATTATAAACACAAAAAACACAAGCTGACCTTAGTTTTCTTTCTCTCTTATCCCCCTCCCCCTCCTCCTGCTCATAAATAAACAGCAACAAACAAATATCCAACAGATAGTCCAAGGATCAAAGAGTTTATTCTTTCCTTCTTTTACTGCGAGGCAAGTTTTGACTAAATACCATTAGTGACAGGACAATGGAATGGAAGAGAGGAAAAAAATATTCTTTGTCAGGTGCAAATCCCGGATACGGAGAAAAGGATAAAAGGAGAAAAGGAGAAAAGGAGAAAAGGAGAAAAGGGAGAGGAATAGAAAGCTCCCCAAATACAAACCTTCTTGAGGAAAATATTCTTTGTTACTCATTTAAAAAAAAAAAGGGTGTTTGTCCCAGAGCACAAAGAAAGAAAAAAAAGAAAAAAAAGAAAAAAAGAAAAAAAAGAAAAAAAAAAAAAAAAGCACGACAGACATGAATATGACGACAATGACGAAGAAGGTCTTGTTGAGCTTAAAAAGGAATGGAACCAACGTCTATGAATACTCCACAAAACGGACTGAAGACGATATCCTCTTGTGGCGAAAATAATCATGGGAATCTGTTTTTTCGTGCACAATTATGTGGAGGGGATGAAAGGAGTAAGGAGAATAGAAGGATATTGGTGTTTGGGGTATTGAATACAAAAATACAATACAATTCACTGCAACGTATTGTTTGCATAACAAATTCTATACTAATCTTTTCCCTCTTCCTTTTCTTCTCTTCCGCTCCTATTTTTATTCGCCTCTCTTCAATAACGTAGCAGCACTACATCTTTTTTTTTTTTTTTTTTTTTTTTTTTCCTCTGTTCAATCCTTTTATTATTACTTCTTTCAGCAACCACCACACCGCCTTTTCTTTCCCCACTAAGCGATGAAATTCGGCGTGCAGCTCAAGACATACAGGGCACCGCATTGGAAATATCATTACGTCGATTATGATGGCCTCAAGGAGCATATTCGATCCAAGAGTCAAGACACACAGTTTACTCAAGAAGATGAGACTAGATTTATCAACTTGCTTTCAGCAGAACTAGAAAAGGTAAAGGACAAGGAATAGCCTGATTAATCTGATACAAACCCCCTTGGTTTTTCTCATGACGATCAACTCCACTCCCCGAATCGCCCACTCATTTTCATCATAAAACGGAACCTCTCCATCCGTTCTTCTCCTTCCCTCCTCGTCTCTTGAAACATATAGGTCGCTTTATTTCAAGCACTCAAACTGGGAGAGATTCAAAGGAGGATAGAGCACTGCGAACACACAATTCAGCAACATCAGGTCTCTGAAAAGTCATCCGAACGATTGACCTTATCCTCATTTGTTGAGACTGAATCCGAGATCAACAAAATTACGTATGATCTTCAGGATTTGGCTCGATTCCAACGTTTAAACTATACTGCATTTCTGAAACTCGTCAAAAAGCATGACAAGCACACGGGTTTTACACTTCGACCATATTTCATGAATCAGCTTCTCTGTAATCAGCCATTCCATCGAGAGAACTTTGCTCTGTTAGTTAGTCGTCTCTCATGTCTGTACAACATCGTTCGTACAGGAACTGTGCCCGTCGTCACCAAGGCGCAGTCAATCGATTCAGAAGATGAAGATGAGGAACTGGAGTATTCAGGATGCATACCCAAGAAGACCGCATTCTGGGTTCACCCCGATTGTGTCATGGATCTCAAAATGCTGATCCTCAAGTACTTGCCTCTAGTGGTGTATGAGCCACCATTAACATCATCTTTGGCCTCGTCCGAAAGATCAACCTCCAGTAGCCAACTGACTTCGTGCGTTACCAGCGAGAGTCCAGTCTCGACCATTTATCTCGACAACAAGGACTTTGACATGTATATGGGGCAGATCGAGAACCGAGAACAGAGTGAAACTTATCGCCTACGATGGTATGGATCAGACAAGAAGCTGATGTGGGTCGAATACCAACAGAGAAACACCCAGTCAGCAACCGTAGACGCATCATCCTCTACGGTACCACCATCCTCTACACCGCTGTCCATGTCTGTGTCAGATAATGCCTCTGTGACTAAACATCGGTTTCAGATAAAGTCAAAGTATGTCCCAAAGTTACTACAAGGGACCGCTAAGCTGAGCAAGGCTGTGGACCAAATGCGCCGGTCAGGACAAAAGACTGAACAGGAGATTCAACAGTTTGAAGAGTCAACTCGAAAGGTTCAATCCAAGATCCATGAGCATGGTCTCCAGCCTGTGACTCAAGTGTTTTTCAACAGGACAGCTTTCCAAGTGCCAGGAGATGCTCGGGTCCGGATTACGATTGACACTGATGTGGTGATGGTTCGGGAGAACCCGATCAGAGCTTCAGCGTTGTATGAGCGACCATGGGATCCAGTTGATTTGAAGGCAGAAAACTATCCATTCCCACATGTTCGGGACCAAGATATTGTTCGATTTCCTTACGCAATCATGCAAATCCGAACGCTGGCAGAGTCACAGGAAGAAGTTCCTGGATGGGTTGATCGGATTGTAAGGAGTCATCTTGTGGAGATGGTTCCTAATTTTACTAAAGACCTACATGCGATCTCCACCTTATATGAGTCTCGTGTTGCCCTATTGCCATTCTGGGTAAGAGCCTCTTTACACACTCTATACCTCGTTATCGTAATTATTGTTATTATTGTTATTATTGTTATTATTGTTATTATTGTTATTATTGTTATTATTGTTCTTACTGTTATTATTGTTATTATTACTATTATTGTTATTATTGTTATTATTACTATTATTGTTATTATTACTATTATTGTTATTATTACTATTATTGTTATTATTACTATTATTGTTATTATTGTTATTATTATTTGTTTATGGAATAGATCAATTGCTTATTCAATCTTTATTTATTATTAATTATCATTATTATTTTTTATCGTTTGATGATAGTTGTCGGACATGGACCGTGATATCCGCAAGCCAGCGATGTTGACAGGCGGATTCTCTCATCTGTCTTCTAGCCAACATGATTCTAACTCGAACTCTGGAACGAACGATACATTGACCTCGGGTCGGTCTTCTGGCTCTGCGACATCCCTTTCTGAGAATGGATCCCCTTCAGCATCCTCGAAGGGAGTATCGGCTCTCAAGAATAAGGACAACAGCAAACGTTCTCGCAAGAGTATTTTGGACTCGAATGAGATTTATACTCCCCATGTTGTTACATTTGATGAAGAAGTCCTGGATTTAGTGGCGAACCGATTGATGTTGGAGCAACAACAGATGCAACAACAAAATGGTGTGGATGGATCCAATTCGAATGGCAATGCCCTTACAGATTCTTCCGCCCTTAAAGTGAAGAAGCCTGTGGTCAGCTGTCTTAAGAAGCATGGGTCGTTCTCAAGCATGCAGAGCAGAAATGGTTCTAATGAGGATTTGACCGCACTAGAGAATCATAGCAATGGGTATGGATCCGTTTCATCCGATTCATCTCAGGTGACAGGCAATAGCAACAATAGCAACAATAGCAACAGCAGCAACAGCAACAACAACAACAATAACAATAACAATAACAAACGGACCACAAAGCGTGTGACATTCAAGAGAAGCATGGCGCAGAAATGGCATGATATCTTTATGGATTGGAATCCGTTCTACAACGATGAGCCTTATTATTATGATGTGGAGTCTCAAGCCTACTTGGGTAGGAATGGTGTTCGAAGATCTGATAGTTTGAGAGCGAAGATCGGTCGTTGGTTCTGGAGGGGAGTGTCTGGAGCGAATATTGTGTTGCTGTTTGTAGGATTGGTCTTGTCGTTGATGAACCTGGGCGACAGTATGGGACTGGAGGCCGCTTCATTGTTCTTGGCAGTGAGCTGTTTGTGTATGGGTACGACTGTGTGGGCGCATTTGATCCGCATGGATGGCCATGAAGACGGGATGACGGATGATTTTGAGGAGGATTTCTTAAAGTTATCCAGATCCAAGAGTGGCGGCGGCGGCGGTGGTAACTACTCGTATGCATCCTATAGCAACACTAACAACATTAAGAAGAGCAGTAGCAGGAGAAGCAGGCGAGCCCTCTTTAACGAACGGAGCGCATTGTTGGCAGCTGGTTCCACAGCACATGCAAGTCAGTTCACTCATGCGGTACATCATGGTCGATGGATCCGAACACGGTTCATGCCTGTGCTCACATTCTTGTCTCTGAGTGCTGTCGTGACCTTGAATGCCATGGTTCAGATGAGACCCTACAGTGAAGATATTGGAGATGACTAGAAGCAAACGAACAAGAAAGAAAGAAAGAAAGAAAGAAAGAAAGAAAGAAAAAAAAAAAAAAAGCGTTTGTTCATATACCAAGGAATAGTAAATAGTGCATTCCATTCTATTCCCTTTTATTTTCCTCTCCCCTCTTCTTCTCTTCTTTATCTTATTAATATTTGAATTGTAGTAAAAATAAAAAATAAAAAATAAAAAATAAAAAAGGAAAAAAGGAAAAAAAAGAAGCAAAGCAACAGATGTTTTGAACAGGGTCCTCAAACGCCAATGCGGAATATAAATGTCAAACAACTTTGTGGTGGAGGGCACATGCGTCCAAGATTTCTATTGTTCAGAGTTAAACCTCCGTCCTGGGGGCTTTTCTTTATTTTTTATTGGATTTGCAAAAGGGAAGGGGGGGAGAAGAGGTTTTTTTTTTCCCTGCTTGTGTAACAGCCAAAGGGCTTTGATAGGTTATCAGAGAAAGCTAGTCCATGTTCGGACAACTAAAGACAAAAGAAAGGGGAAGGGGAGATGTAAGAGGTAAGAACTAGGAAGTAAGAGAAAGTAAGAGGCAAGAACTAGGAAGTAAGAGGTAAGAACTAGAAAGTAAGAGGTAAGAGAAGAAAAAAAAAAAAAAAAAAAAAAAAAAAAGAGGGTGGGAAATAAAAAGGATGCGGGCAAAAAGGAACAGAAAGAGTTCAATTAAGAATATCGAGAAGTAAAAATAAAATAAAATAAATAGGATTATATATGTTAATGCCAAGAAGTGGAACCGAAAATGACATGGTAAAGTATCAAAACATGAAGAAAAAAAAAAAAAAAAAAAAAACTATTTTACAAGCAGTAATGTTGATCCTATGCATTCTTCAGACATTCATTCAAACATCTAAAGCGTTCCAGGTAAGCGGATCAAAATAATTTCTGTGAATAGTTTACAAACGTTTAAAAGTACGTTTTTTTTTTTTTTTTTGCTTCTAATGACCGTTATCTTGATCCAGGGCCTAGAAAAGGTTCGCTCCCTTTTTTATTTTTTATTTTTTTTTTCTTGTTTTGTTTGTTTTGTTTGTTTGTTGTTTCTTTCTAGTCAGCTGGCGAATATATTTAAAATAAATAGAAATAAATGGAAGCTAATATACCGTGGGAGAGCTGGTGGAGAGTTTTTTTTTTTTTTTTTTTTTTTTTTTCTTTATCTCTTTCCACCTTGTTCTTTCTATATCTCTCTTTCCAGATGAGCTAATTGCTATCAATGCGTATAAACAAAACAAAAGAAAAAAAAAATTGGATCATAATCGCCGCAATGATCGCGCGATAGAACAATAGTGAAAATGAAAGGAAAGAAAGAAAAGGAAAAAAAACATGGTGAAAGAACTCCCAACAATTACAACATTTTCGTTTGATATTTCGTAGTGCTGTCTATGAAAAAAAAAAAAAAAAAAAAAAAAAAAAAACGCAATTGCATTGCATTGCATCCCTTTTTTATTTGACCGATAATCGCGTGTAAGAAGAAGGCCTGAACGAGCCTACGGATTGATTTATATTTATATTATTATTAGTCCAACGTGTACAGATAAGACGCGAACTAAGCAATGCAACAACGTTGAGCAAGCATATCGGTTACCTAAATCGTTTGTAGGAAATGTAACATTTGCATGTAAACATGAATGCATTAGTATGCATTGACAAACGTTGTCCTCATTTTATTTTTCTTTCGGAGACAAAAAAAAAAAACTTCAAACTATGAATATTACATATACACGTACAAGAGAAGAAAAAAAAAAAAAAAAAAAAAAAAAAAAAAGCGAAAAGATTGCATTCACGCTCTGTCCATAATGATCGTGGATAAAATTCAATGTATCGAATGCATATAAATCCATCATTTTGTATACATGTATAAAAAGGAACTCTATACTGTGATAGTGTTTAGTTCCCCACAAAAAATACATGCTTAGGTTGCCCCCAAAATTACCCAAAATTATCTTTTACGTTTTTACATGTTGCAGGATGCCATTTGATGGGGGTAAAAAAAAAAAAAAAAACAAAAAAAAAAAAACAAAATAAACAAGGCGGTCGGAACAACATGTTCCTTTTTCTTTTTCTTTTTTCATCAACTGGTTCAACTGTTCATTGATTCTCATTCATTGATTTCATTATTTCTCTGCTCATTCAGATTCTCTCTTTTTTTCCCTTTCTCTCCTTTTCTTTTTTAATTTATTTTCAGTCTTTAATTGTCTTTGCAAAGAATTCTGCGCTCTCGTTTTTTTTATTTATTTTGGATTTATCTCACACTCTACTCTCTCTCACTCTCCACTCTCTTTACTCTTGACACTCTCCACATTGATATCTGCATCCATTGAATGCCTGTCCGCAAACAACATCTTCCTACTCCACAGAACCTACAGATCTAATCCATATTCACATCAGGGATCGAATCGTCCGTGCCTGTGAACATGAACACGAATATGAATATGAATATGAACATGGGCATGGTCATGACCATGGCTAGTAATCATCCCGAGGCTGCTCACCATCAGATTAGCAGCCATGGCCACAATGACTTCGTCAACAACAACAACACCATCCATAGCCTTGATGATAGTATGAGTAGTAATAGCAGTGGTACAATGTTAATCCCTACTACCATTCCTACCATTCCTACCATCCTTACAGCACCCAGCACCCTCTCATCATCCTTGTCATCAATATCCTCAACAACCCAAAGCAGCAGTCCTGTGCCGGTCGTTGGGAAAGAGTTAAAACCAATGACCGACCACACCCACCGGTCTCATCATTCTCGTCTCGCCCGCTGTTCTTCGTCGCCTCAACAACTCTCTTCTCTCACTCATTCAAAAGTTCATTCAGCACGTTCACGTCCACATTCTCATTCTCATTCTCATTCCCACCCTCATTCTCATTCATGTTCCCATCGCCACTCTCATCCTGACCTTGTTTCAATCTTTTTGTGCTCACAATATCCCAACTCGCATTCATACTCCACAGGCACAGGTACGGTTTCTTTTATTTTTTATTTCTTTTTTATTTCTTTTTCTGTTGTGTACATGAAAAATATGAAAGCATGTCCCTGTGTTTCTGTTGCATTGATAAACACATGGTCGCACGATGAAAAAAAATAAAAAAAAATGTGTTGCAACATTTATATACACTGATTACAACAGCGGATACAAAAAAAAAAAAAAAAAAAAAAAAAAAAAATAGAGCCCAATGCGCAAACAATAAGGAAAAAAAAAAAAAAAAAAAAAAAAAAAAAGGCGCATGGACCATTTATTCCGCCCAAATCAATCTGTGTGGTGGACCAAAACACAATGCTAATCATTGCCACTCTTTTTTTCCTTCTTCCTGTCTATATTACTCTCTTTCTCTTTTATTTCCTTATCTTGTTATCTCTCTATCTCTCTCTCTCTCTCTATGAAAATATTATATTTTTCCTCATTATCTTTTACATTTTTATATCACTGTGATGTGATCAACTGGGTCTTATCTCCCCTCTTCTTCTTCTGTAGGTCCGAACAGTGTCCTTTGGAAAGGTAAAGACAATCTGCTACAAGGCATGCAATGCAACGTTGTACAACACACTTGCTTTTCCTCTGTTGCTCTTCTCTTCTCTCTTCTTTCCTCTTCTTTCTCCCTTAACGGTTTCTCGTTAAGGTCCTGCAGCATATACCACTGCGAACTACATTCCTTTTCCTTCTCGTCTTCCTTTTTACATGTTAGGCTCTTCTCACATGATACAGTCGATTCTATATCCTTCCTTCTTTTTCATTTTAATACTCCTTCCCCCCCCCCCCTCCTTGGATTTCCTACATGAGCAGATCAATTGGTGTCAATTAAATTAAAGACGTGCTATTAACCTAGCCTCTTTTTTTTTTCCGTTTCTATTTCTCTCCAATCGATACGTTTCTATCTATCTATTTTATTGTATTAGCCTACTCGCGTGTCAAGCAAAGTATTGCCGAAACTCATTCGACCAATCCTCTTGAAACAATGACTGAGTATTGGCATTCACTCAGTTCTCCGAGACGGCGGGATCTACAGCAACACCAGTCAGAGAAGTTTCAGGAGAAGACTCAAGACATGGAGCTATGCGTTGATACCATGACTCAGACCGGTCACCTCATTTCTGCCTTACCCTCTGCTTCACCAGCTGAATCCACGTGCTCAGATTCGGCCTACTCTCTCCCAGATAAAGAAGAGTCAAATAACAGCAACAGCAATAGCAGTAGTAGTAATAATAATAATATGATGATGACATTGAAGCCCACAACACCATCGTATGCATTACTGCAATCTGTCCAATCATCCGCAACTGAACATGGTCGAATCCTTGCAGAGCGATCCAGATCCTCCTTTAATCGGCTCTTGGACTCGGTCTTGGACAATGCCACCACCCTTGCTGAATCAAATGCTGTTCATGAATCTTATTCTGAAGAGGAAGTGGAGAAGAACAAAAAGAAGGAGTCCCAAAAACAATCAAAAACTCAGCAACAGATAGCGACGGTGGTTAGAAAGGCCAAGTTCTTTGTTGGTGATTCAAGTGATGAGGAAGATGAAAATGGGGAGGAAGAGAGAGAGGAAGAAGAAGAGATTAAGAAGAAGGTTACTTACATGCGCCCTTCTGCTGACTCACATTCATTGCGCCATCTTCATGGCCGTGAGAGTCGAGGAGGCTATCATCATCATCATCACCATCATCTTCGTCATCATCATCATCATCAAGAATCCCATGATGGTGACTGTGAGGACTTTGATATTACTGAACAGGACGATGATGATGAGGCATTCTATTTTGGCAAACCACCTAGGCAACTAATGAAGCCTAGTGTCCCCAGAGATCGCGCACATTCTCATTCTGGCGCTCCAAGTTCTCCGGCCATACCACGACCATACAAGAATGCGAGCATTGTCCTGCAAAGACGTCAGTCTCTCTTATCGGATCTCCTGATGGCAGAGAAGCAGCAAAAGCAACAACAGAAGCTACTTTTGCAACAGCAGCAGCAACAGCAACTACAGAGTTTGAAATATCAATATCCTATTGGATCCAATACTGATGGCGAGGCCAATGTGATCGCTCAAGTATCTCGTATGGCCAATGTGTCGGATGTAAATGCCAAGTCGTTGCATTCTCTATACCCCACATCTTCTCGATTGCAACAACAACAGCAGTATCATTCGCAACAACGCTATCATCAAGATACCACCAAGCTTTCCATTCAAGAAGAACAAGAGGATGATGATATCCTACACAAGACTAAGAGCACTCTGGTTAGGACGAAAAAAATATACAAAAACTTGGCGGAGCTAGCCAAGACTGCGGAGATAATGCCATCAAGCAATCGAGTAACTTTTACGACATCATCACCTACGATGGCCTCTTTCATTGCCAAAACCTCCTCTGTATTACCATTACCACCATCTTCAACCACCATCTCTATGCCTTTAAAGACACCCGGAGTAGGAGTAACAGCATCAGGAACAACCACAACAGCAACCACCACCGCCACCACAACAGGTTGGACACCTTCTCAAGTTCAAGGTCAAACTTCATCACTGGTTGCACAATCGACTATGACAGCCCAGCGTGCACTCTTGAATGCCTCTACTACTTTGACGGATGTCTTGTTCCGTAGGCGATAGATAGCTTATTTCTTTTGTCATTATCATATATTATATATACTCTAGCGATCCTCTTTTTCATTTCTCTCCACTCCACTCTTTTTCATTTCTCTCCACTCCACTCCACTCTTTTTTTTTTTTTTTTTTTTTTTTTTCTAAAAAGTAATATATAGCCCGTTTCATTTGGTCGCGATACCTTATATTTTTTGAATACTTTCGAGTGTATTGGCAGCCAATTAGCTCGCTTGTTACGAGTATTGTTGCAAGTCCGTCACGTAGTGAGATGCCACCAGAACAATTCAATCATCGTTTTTAGATTAAAAATATAAGGTATCGTGACCAAATAAAATTGGCGATATCAATGCTTGAATTTTTTTTTTTTTTTTTCTATATACATTTTATAAATGGTTTTACTTATTATATATATATATTTATTAATCTCGTTCTCTGTCTACTTTACGCACACGTAAATCATTGCGGATTGGGATTTTCAAGCCTTGTTTCGCGAATGCTTTTGATAGTTCAGTGGATTCTATTTCATTAAGAAAGGGATAAAATAAATCAATCAATCAATAAACAAATCAACTGCAAAGAAAGAAAAAAGAAAAAAGAAAAAAGAAAAAAGGAAAAAAAAAAAAAAAGAGCTTATTTGGTTCTCTTTTTTCTTTTTACCTGTCATTCCCGGGAACTTTTTTGCAGAATAAACCGTGAAAGGTTCACTGATCTCTTCTGCAACCAACGTCGATACATGTCCATCTTCATTGTTCATGAAATCAAAACTATGAAGGAACCACAAAGATAGATATAAAGTATTATAACAGAGCAGAACAGAGCAGAACAGAGCATACATGTTAGCCATGCTTTTCGTATTATATATATATTTGCTTTTTTGCTTTACTTTTTTTTTGTTTTGTTTTTGTTTTTACCTTCCAAACCGCATTAATGAGAACTTGAGTGTATAAACTCCTTCAGTTCGAATGCTTAGGTCTGGGAAACTAAAGTACCAACCCGGTACACCTTCTGCATTGTTCAACAGGACCGGTGACACGACCAAGGAACCCATCAGGATTCGTGTCAACTTGGGAGGGTCCATCTTTCCTGGTGTCGCAATCATGTTCCGTACTTCTTTACCATCGGCTGACCATAGAGATGCATGTAACACAAATAATGGATCTTGTTCTGAAAGCTCTTCATCGTCATCATGAAACCCATCCCCTTCTTCTTCTTCCTCTTCTTCTTCTCCTTCTTCATCTTCATGATCTTCCTCATGATCTTCATGACCACTGTCATGACCATAGGCTCGATCAATGACAGAGGGACTCTTTTTCACTTTCGTCTGTCCTTCTTCTTCTTCTTCGTCTTCGTTTCCTTCTTCAGCCTTGTCCCTATCTTGACGACCACGTTTACCCAAAGTGAATGGCGTCGTTCCTTTTGTCTGCTGTTGCTTCAGATCCTCAGTTTCGTTTGTAGTTATTGTAGTACTAGTCGTAGTGATAGTGGCAACAGCCCGAAGACTAGTGGGTCTTTCACCAGCCTTACTCCCGTTCTTCTTCTTTTCCCCTTCCCTTTCCCTTTCCCTTTCCCTTTCCTTTTCCTCTTTAGTCTTATTGTCATCGCTGTCTTCTGGTTGAAAAGTCTCATCATTGTCTTCATTATCTTGAACTCCATCATCATCATCTGTCTCATGTTCAGGATCACTCACATTAGGATGACGGTGCTGATGATTCATTTTCGTTTTTGAGTTGACAGATTTGGATGTCGTCGAAGCAGATGATATGGTATCCTTGGTCATTAAAGTAGCATCAGCAGAAGTAGTAGCAGTAGCAGTAGTAGTAGCAGTAGCAGTCGCATTTGAACGTTGCATACGTTTTAATGGATGCTGTGCATCTTCTTTATCCAAGAAAAGCTGAACGATCGGAGGTGGGTCCACCGGTCGGCGATCCTTTTCTCCAAACCCACACATTCGTGCATGAAGTGGTTGTTGTACGATTTTGATCCGCACAGGTCTATAAAAAAAAAAAAAAAAAAAAAAAAAACTTTGTCAGAACATTTATTAAAAAAAAGAAAAAAAAAAAAAACAACCTCCCGCTTCCTCCCTCCTTTCCCAACTTACCGCTCATCAAGATGCGATGTAGAAACATGATGGGTTGTTGTGGTTGATGTCTTTTGGTCATTGTCAGGATTGTTATTACTTTTAGGAATGATATTTCTTAGATGACTGCGCCCCAACTCGACAGAGTGAGAATGGTGCTGCTGGTGCTGGTGGTGCTGATGCTTCATAGGGTATTGTTCATGGTTGTCATTGCTATGCCTCTTGATTGAATGATCTCTTCGATATCCTTCTGGATAGTCCATTGAACGAGAGTCGGCTTGAGAATCAGTAATAGTAAAAGTAGTAGTAGTAGAAGAAGAAGAAGAAGATGGTGGCGGTGGTGGCAGTGGAGCTGCATATTGAGGATGGCTACCTGGTGAAGGAGGATAGGGATAGTAATGACCATGATCATGGCCATGTGTCTGTGTCTGTGTCTGCGGTTGTGGTTGTGGTTGTGGTTGTGGTTGTGGTTGCGGAATTGGAGTGTTATCATTTAATGGGTATGGTTTGTGACCATATTCATGTCCTGGCCAGCTATTATCGTAGGGCGGATAATGGTGGGCAGATGCATTAGAAAGATTCTGTGAGGAAGTCGATGGATGATGTTGTCGTTGCTGGTGCTGATGCTGATGCTGATGCTGATGCTGATGCTGGTGCTGGTATTGTTGATCTTGATGAGGAGTTTGATATGGGTGAAAGTGGTGTGAGTGACGTCCCCTGTTGTCTCTGCTGTACGGATAGTCGTTATGACGGAACGGGGGAAGGTGTGACATTGAGCTTTGATGTGGAGGAGGGACTTGGTAAGAAGTTGGTTGGTGAGCTCCTGGATACGGATGATGATAATGATGGTGATAATGGGCAACAGGTCCAGCAGGTCCAGCAGGAACAGAAGCAGAATCAGGAGTAAAAGTAGAAGTAGAAGTAGAAGTAGAAGAAAGGTGATTCGAGCTGTTTCCTTGTGCTGGCTCAGGATTGCAGAGATCGTGGATAGAAGCCATAATTATTATTATTATTTATATTGACTCTGTTTTTTTGGAATCAATGTTGAGAAGAATAGTTATTAAAAAGAGAAGTGGTAATGGATAGAGATGAGGAAAAAGAAGGAAGGAATAAAAAAAAAAAAAGAGAGACAGAGAGAGAAAATATGTTTGCTCTTTGGATTAAACACCAGGCAAAAAAGATGACTACTGTACATGTACTTTTCGGATAAAACAAAGAGGGAAAGGTAGAGTAATGAATGTGGCTCGAACAAAGATGGGAAAATATAGCACAGGAAAGTGAATGTTAACAATGCTAGGCTAAAGTGATGCAAAAGGCAATGACAATGATGAAAATTGAGAAGGACCAACTAATTATGTATACTATCATCATCATTTTCATCATCCCTCTAAATCCATTTCCTAATCGTCATTTGGAATACAGACAGATGGACTTTTTTTTCTTTTTCGAGACTCAACGCGGCTAAACCTTCAATTGCCTCATCCTGGGATAATCTTACTGCAGCCAATCAACTTCACAAAAAATGTACATATATATATATCTATACACATTTGTATACATGTAGGTAGTGCTCTTCCATTTTTTATTGTGAAAATGGATTTAACCCAATTGAATATGCAAAATAAAAAGTAAAGTCAATGCTGCTAAATTACAAATAAAGTAAAAGAAAGAAAGAAAAAGCTAGAAATATAACACATAACATTGACCCATATACTAAAAAAAAAAAAAAATAAAAGAAAGAAAGAAATAAAGTCCTGGACTAAACAGCATCTATGCTTCCTCATATGTTGTTTTGTTCAACGCCCTCGAGGAATTGGTACTGGCACTCTGCTGCTGCTGATGTCCTGTATTCATGTTGTATCCCGGTCCTTGATGCCCATGGTGACTTTGGTTCATATATCCACCTCGCGGACGAAGCTCTTTATAGCCCTGTCCTCCGCCATTGAAACCCCCTCGGCCGCCTCGATGATTGCCGCCCAGATGTCCATGATGACCATTTCCATGTCCATGATGACCATTTCCATGACCATAATGACCATTTCCGTGACCATGGCTGGGACCGTGGCCATGACCATGCGACAACGGCATACTCATCGAAGATGTCACCATTGCCTGATAGCCCCCAAATGGCCCTGTTGGTCCAAGTGGGCCATTGACATTCATCCGGCCATTCCCACCCTCGGTTCCATTTCCAGAGCTCCATGACAATGATGATGAAGGTCCGTTGCTATTGTCCCTCTGTGCATGATTACGGTCCCCTCCTTCGCCGTTTTGACTCATTAAAGGGCTCGTCATTGAACCAGAACCGCTGCCCGATACTATCGTCGGGTTGTTACTGTTTCCCCATCTTTCGGTTGATGAAGGTGGGGGTGATCCATCTTGGAAACTGCTTTCCAGAGACGCTGGTCCTGAATGATGGGCCTGTCTATGTTGCTGTTGTGGGTGATGTTGGTGTTGATGATGAGGGTGATGCTGGGGACCATATGAACGAGATTGAGGCACTCGATTGGCTGTTGGGATGATGTTGGGATGCTGTGACCCTGGTAACTGCACAAGGTATGCTCCTGGAGCAGGAGCTACTGCCGCTGCCTGGACTGGCGGTTCTCCTGCAGCTGAAAAGCGAGGCAACCAGTGGGGGTGGGGGCCAATCACTGAACCTGAAGCACCGCTACCAACGTTATTTCCCATAGAGCCATCCGGCTTATTATCAACCATGACTGACTGTGTTGTCATGACCTGAAGGGCCATATCAGGTGATCCATGACTTGGTGCTATCCCAGCAGGACCATCCCTCGGAGACATTGCCAGTGAGCCATGAGGAGGTAACAAGCCGCCAGGAAACTGAGGCATAGGGTGAGAAGGAGGCATAGCCCCTCTTGGAATCATGTAATAGAGATGAGGTGCATTCATAGGAAACCCTTGAGAGTACATTGGCATCACCATCGGAAACTGTCCAGGATGAGCAGCATTTCCAGCTGGTCCGCTCATCACAACACCATTGGGTGTTATAGCAGGCCCTGCTTGGCTCAAGTCCATCCCAATGGATGGACTCCATGATTGCTGTGGTACCATTGGATTAACGCCTCCAGGCCCAGAAATGTTGACCATGTACATATCGGAGACACCCTGGGGTGTCAAATGGTTGCTTCCGCTAATTTGCTGCTGTTGTTGTTGCTGATCTGATGCAACAGTTGCATCCCATGCCTTTTTAGCATTATCATCAGCAGAAGTCTCCTTGTTGGGCGCCGCTGCCGTTGGCAAAGTGTTCTGTGAAGAGAGAACTTGCTCCAATCCGACGCCTTCTGAAGGTACGCTATCGATCTCACTGTCAACCATGAAGCTCACACTCCCACGGTTCTTGGCCGCCTTCTCAACAATGCTAGGAAAAATGGTCGAAGCATTTGAGCTTAAAAAAGAGCCCCTCTTCATTGATGGATCGGTTTTCCCGCTTGCCTTGCCTTCGCTTGGCTCACCGGGTTTATCATCATCCTGTTGTTGTGACTGTTGATCAACGATAGGCATTCCAATGTTCATATCGCCCGCAGGCTGTAGTGCAAGTCGTGCATGGATTTTGGAAATATGAGATATTTTGACGGCTTCATTGAACCCATTAAGCTTAGCTGGATAGTTGCCCTTTCCATTAGCTGCAGCCATGGATCTTGAAATCCTCCTGCCATTCATGGGTTTTGTCTCCAGCTTTGGAGCCTGAGCATTCGAGTCTTGTACAAGCTCGTCTTTGCTAACATCAACTGCATTACTGAGCTTCTTCCTTTCGACAGAATTTACTGTTGGCTCCAACTTGTTATCCGCTGTCGCTACCTCCACTTTAGGCTCAGGTTTACGCCAGGACGTAGATTCGCCGCTATCTCTTGCTGCACGAACAGCCTTGGCGTTACGCTTCAGGGTCGTCCTCTCTGTAAAAGAAGGCAGCGAAGTCTTTTCGTTACCTTCTTCGGTAGTATCCTGTGCAGATGGTCCAGCAGTCTTACTAGATATAGACCGCGCAGTCTCCTTCTCAGCTAAACCACCACTAATAGCAGACATCTGCTTAGGACCCTCTGGAGCCAAGAGTGATTTATCCTTATTCTCGTGTAGCTGTTCTTCAATCTTATGCATCACCTCATTCAAATGATCTATTTGGGGCTCATGAGAGGTATGATGAGATGTAGCCTTATCATCCTTTTTAGCCCCACCCTTACCCATCGTGACGTTCCCTGACCTTCTCCATGGAGTAGTCACTGTAGAAACTGGGTTTTTCTCTTCTTCCGCCTGTGCTAGTGCACGCCTTTCATCGCGGATCCTCGCGATTCTCTCATTCTCCTCCTTAACAAGTTTGTCGGGTAAGGCACGCCATCCAGCTAGTGCTTCCTGTTTTTCGCGCTCATTCATGGTCCTAATGAGTGGCCTATCTCGTGGGTCAGCAGTCTCACGGGTGTGCTCAGGTTCGTCTGTCTGTATTATTGACTTGATGACGGTGGCATCAGTGGTGGGAGCGCTAACAGCAGCTGCTTCTTGCTCCTGTTTCTTTCGAATCTCTTCCTCTGCCTTTTCTTTTGCTAAACGTTCCTCCTCCGCTGCTGCTTCTTGCTTGGCCTTGGCGAGTTTCTCTTCTTCTATCTTGCGCGCCACTACATCTGCTTTTGCACGCGCTCTGGCCTTGCTTTCTTCCCTCTCTCTTTCTTCGTCATCCCGCCGCTTACGTGCTTCATCTGCGATCTGTTTCATTGCTTCATGCTGATGGTCCGTAGCTCCATATGGCTCAATGTGATTACCTCCATGCTCCCGATGCTCGTGATCTTTTGTATAATTTCGTTCATGTGGACCACGTGCACCGGACAATGAATGTGGATGATATGAATGAGGGTGAGAACTAGGATGACCATGAGAATTTATATCATGAAGCCCCAACCCGTCATTCGTAGATTCTTTCGGACGTGTCAATAATTGAAAATCGCGCTGACGGTCAGGAATTCGATCTGAAGAGTATGGTGGCCGATCATGGCTGTGTCTCCTGTCTTGATGATAGTCACCATCTCGCTGACGATAGGGTGACCGATCGCGTTGATAGCTTCCAGAGCGGTTATAAGAGTCTCTACGCTCATGAGAGTATGGTTCACGGTAGCTAGGGTCCCGGCGAGGCCCAGAATAGGAATCTTTGTGTCCAGTTGAGTCTCGACGAGGCCCATTCTGATATGGGTCTCGTGATCCTAACGATTCACGTCGCTGGTGAGAGTAATGACCCAGGTTTCGATCTGTGGAGGGACGGCGATCAGTTGGCGCTCCTTGCCAAAGTGATGAATGCGCGCGGTCCTGTGGGCCATATCTAGATGGTGTCTCTTGATGAGGCTGATAAAGTGATGGTCCTGAACTAGACTGACCTCGATTGGGCCATGCTCTGGTGAACTCTACATCTCCTCGATCAACAACGCGCTCTTCTCGTTGGCTATCAGGTATCGGCGGCGGTAGTGATGGTTCTTTGTCCTTTTGACTCTCTGCTGTCTGTGCCACTGCTGCTGCGAGGATGACAGAACCATCTCCAAATTCAATCGCTTCTGCATTAAGGAAATCTTCACCTTCGTCCTCATCAGCCTACAAATATAGTGTATTTTATTAGTTTGGGTGACAAGATATCACACGCTGATAGTTAAACATCGGGACGCGTTTGTACGGACTATGTAGTTATTTATAATTATCATTATATATATATATATATATATATATATATATATATATATATATATATATAGACATACCTCATCCCAGTTATCGGCCCCTAATGACAAAGTAGAGACGGTTTTCGACATGGGCTCGCTTGCTACCATACTCGCTGCCGTATTCGGCGCCGTACTTGCTACCGTATTGTTTGGTGTCTATATAATGGTACCATATTCAATTTATACCACATGTAAACAGCAAATTCATGGCACAAGGTTTCAGTTTTTTTTTTTTTTTTTTTTTTTTTCACAAAAAAAAATTCCAAAAGAAGGCTTTCTATCATTTCTTTTTACTTACAGTCGTGTTCTTTTCTGAGATAGTGTTATTGGCTCTACCATTTTGATTTTGGTTGTTTGTATGTCCATGGCTCTGCTGATCTATTACACAGAAAAAAAAAAAAAAAAAAAAAAAAGCCGGTTTTCCCAATCAAGTCATATGTAAAAGCAAAAGAAAAAATAAATAAAATCAGTGTGTGCATCATGCAAAAAGAACTATGTTAAAATATGTGTAATAAGCAATGTTTCGCAATGCCTTCGCCATCACTTGCTCAAGTGACCAAAGTAAACACAGGAGAAAAAAATCTTTGCTTACCATGCTGCTGTGTTATTTTGGCAGCCTCTGCGGCAGTAGGAAATTCATCATGATGCAGTTCTGGGGTATGTGCCACTGTTCTCCATGCTCGAGGCGCAGGCTTTTGAAGAGGCGAACCTACAGAGGATTCCATGAGAGGCGAGTCACCATTACTAGGGATATTGACATTGCTATTGCCATTAGGATTGCTATTGGTATTGGAGCTGGTATTGGAACTGATATTGGTACTGGTGTTGACATTAGTATTAGTGCTGGTATTGCTTGCTCCTTGTGATCCCACAGAGGTGTCTCCTGTATCTGCTCCTGACAATGGATTGGCTCCTTCTGTAGTAGTGGCAGCAGGAGATGATGCGGCTGAGGATGAAGCGGTCAGTACAGCGGTTGAAGAGGTGGATGGTGATCCCCAGCTTGGGCCTGACGCCACCAACGAATCAAGTCCTCCTTTTTCGTGGCGTCGACTAGGAAGATTAACAGGCGCTGGGGCCGACACCTTTGTGTTATTTGCTTTCCCTCGTAGCGTTGAGCCTCCACGACCTGATGTTTGAGGAAGAAGGTACAGAGGGAAGGTCAGTGTTGATAAGTAAATAGTCTTTTTTTTTTTTTTTTTTTTTTTTTGTTTTCACGCTGAAGTTTCTTTATTTTTTATTACGGTACCAGAGCGATATGCTTTCATGAGAGTATGTGAGTATGACTTGCGGATATAGGCGGAAGAGGGAGGGAGGGGGAAAGGGTGCGTAAGAGTAGGAGGGGTAAGAGGATGGAGTAAATGTCGATGTCGGAATAGAATGAGAAGAATAAGATCTATTTTGTATTTTGAATATTGTTCATGAGAAATTAAGGCACAGTAAGAAAACGTTGTGGTTAGTTTGGACTGCACAAAATAGTTTACAAATCTAGGTGTCTGACACAATTTCCATCAATGTTCAAGTGGCATATCCAAATTTTATACACAAAGCATACACACATCCACAGAACAACCTTCGTTCCCCAGTTAAAAAAAAGGCAAAAATAAAAAAGTTTCGTGAGTGGTATGTGCGTGGCCGGTTGAAGAAAGAAAAAAAAAAAAAAAAAAAAAAAAGGGCTCATAAAGAAAGGAGAATGCTCGTCTCAGTTTTGTCTCTGTTTCCTGTCTTGTTGGTCGTCCAGTGAGATTGTAAGGCTGACTTTTTTTTTTTGTTGCGCGCAGGAAAATGTAATGAAACGAAAATGACACTGAAGACAGTCAAGGTTTGTCCCTGTTCCTTGTTCCCTACTATAATCTAATTATGGAATGAATGAAAAGGTCAAAATTACCTTCTTTTTTTTTTTTTTTTTTTTTTTTCCTTCCTTACTAATGGAGGATGCGACTAAATGTGGAATTATTTGTACAGGACAGACAATTGAGGTAAAAGGAATGAAAATGGATGTGAATGTGGAGCAGTGGAGCAGCGGAGCAGTGGCGCAGGATTTTTTTTTTTGTATTATTTATTTTCACACACTCACGCGCACACAACAAGGGGAAAGGAGGTGTATGAGTTTGTGTGGTAACAATGATGGACTCTCCCCTAATGACACAAAACGCGTACTTTTTTATTTTTTTATTTTTTATTATTCATGCAAGAGCAATCCAACTGTCTCGAAGCAATGTGCGTATAAAATCTTGTTGATCTATTGCTGTCGCTGCTATTGCTTATCTTTTTTTTTTTTTTTTTTTTTTTTTTCTATATGACCTTTGGCTCCTCGCGAGGGACATGGTTCATTTGATCACGTACTCGTGAGATTCGCTCATACACAATCTTTCTTGTACGGTTGATAGAACCCAAAGGTTTATGCTCCGCCAAGGAATGCCATGGGTTGAACGACAATCTTTCCACCAGTGCTTTTAATTCTTCAGACTCTGTATCTTGTCTCGGTACCGTCAAAGTTGCAATCTCATAAAACGGTGCCTCCTTCTCATCCCACTCTGTCATCGAGTCCTCCACATCCTGACGCTCGTCTACCTTGGGCTGCACCAAAAACTTGAACTCCACATCTTTTTTCGCCAAAGTGGCCTCAACAACCTTGTGCAAGAACTCCGGCTCTGGGTCAGACGGCATCGCATCGTGGGCTGTCGACACGGGCTTCAACGAGTACTTGACCGCCAATCGACTCTCACCCACACCCAGCTGATATGGAACAGCTGAGAAATATTGAACTTGCAACGGGTTGGAAATCTTGGTCGACCCCAGCTTGGCTGCGATGAGAGTTCCCTTCAATCCCAATGTGAATGGGAGCGTTAGCTTGGGTATAATCGAATCTGAAGAGTTCTTGGCCATCGCTTCCAGATACGCTTTGGAATCGTTGACAAAGAACAGTGGATTATTGATCATCAAGAAATCTTGTGTCGTCGCATCTCGATCGGTCTCCAACAACTTGGGTCCTGGGACATTCAACAGCTTGATGGCGCAGCCTCGACTATCGCCCCGTTCGTCTTCTTTCTTCGCATCACCTGATCCGTTCGACAAACGTACGATAGCTTCATAACTCTTTCCGGGAACAAAGACTCCTTTGGCAAAACGTGGTGGGATGTCTTCGTGAACCTTGAACTGAGCCCTAAGGACACCAGTGGCTCTCGAGTGCACATCACGGAGTGCTTCACCTGGCTTGTTATCGTAGGCTTTATGGATGTTGCCCTCGAGCAAATCGGCCACCTTGACCGCAAGCTCGGCTTCATGGGGTTGAAGGCGCTCACCCAGCGCCTCGTCAATGGCCACTGGATGTGGAACATCATTAGATGAAACTGAGGCCATGGTACTATTATATCGGCAGTGGTGATGAAGATGATAATTGACTTTATGATAGCTAATAATACTACTAGCAACGGCAACACGGGTCTTGAGGGTTGAGGAATTAGATGGGGTTGGACAAAGGGGGGTAGAGAAAAGTCGAAGGAAGGAAGTGGAAGGAAAGGTGGAACGAAGATGTGCAAGCATATTGAAACTGAAAAATCAGCGTGGGAGCGAGGCTATTAATTGGTGTTCCATGCAAAAGAGGCAATTGGAGGCCGATGTTGTAGAGTGAAGTGGCTTGATAAAGCCTCGGAGATAGAGATAATGGTAAAGAAAAAAGAAAGTGACCCAGGCAAGTGATGGCTCTGTCCAATATTTTGTGTTCCGATTGCCACGACTGCACAGGAACAAACTTTTTTTTTTTTTTTTTTTTTGAGCGCCTCCGCCCGCAGCCCGCCTGCATGCGAAATCTTTTTTGTTGACGAATGACGGATAATCACATTTATATTTTATCAGAGAAAAAATGATTAAGAATTCTGAAAAGAACAATTTGTTTTAATAACAAAAGAAACTTTTTTTTTATGAGAGGAAAAAGGTTGGTGATTATAATTCTAGGGCATGGACATCGTCAAAAATAGAAGGGATCATAGTTTAGTGCTTCTTTGGTGTAGGAGGACTAAATTTTTTTTAAAAAAAAAATGAAACGCGTATTGTTAATACTTATTTCCTTTCATTTATCAGCTGACATGTTGATAAAAAAATAAAACGCGTCATCTAATACACTTACTTGTACAAAATCTTGCGGGTCTTGAGTGCAGCCCATTTGTGCCTCTTAAGGTAGATTGAGAGACCTGTTAAGATGGTCAGGAGGGTCAATGCCTTCATGCCCATCTTCTTACGCTCATCCATCTCAGGCTCAGCAGCCCAGCTGAGGAAAATAGTGACATCCTTAGCCATCTGTGAGGTAGTGGCGGGTGTGCCGTCCTCGTACTCGACAAGCCCATCGTACAACACACGAGCCATACCAATGGCTCCACCAGGGAAGTAAGGATTGAAGTTCAGGCCCTCACGGATTTCAATACCAGCTGGAGGATCCTGGTAACCGGTCAACAGGGAGTAGACGTAGTCCTAATATTAACGTATAAAGCAAAGTTTGCATTCCAGATCCATGCAATAAAACAAAAACACATCATTAGACATGTAATGAACTCTCTCTAATTGCTATCTTTCCTAACCGGTAAAGAAAAAAAATATTTGTTCAACATCCTGGATCAGTCCACTTACAGCGCCACCGTGACGAGCCTTGATCATCAACGAAAGATCTGGGGGGAGAGCACCAGCGTTACCAGCGCGAGCCTGTTCCTCATTGGCGTAGGGGCGGGGCATATAATCCGAAAGCTTTCCGGGGCGCTGGAACATATCTCCAACATCGTTGGGGCCATCAGTGTACTCGTTCTCCTCAGCCATGGCCTTGACCTCAGCCTCAGTGTGCGAGACGCCAACCAAGTTGCGCCAGGCAATACGGTCAAGAGAATGGCAAGCAGCGCAAACCTCCTTATAAACCTGATAACCACGTCGAATACTAATTGGAGCCATTTGTAAAAATTCAAATGTCAATCATCGGTTGATTGGTAGAATCCATACTTTCCATGTTTGAAGTTGATGCACTCTTCGTTCAAAAACATATATACACGCCATCAAACACTGCTGTCTTCTGTCATCTCCACAATAATCCCTTTAGCTGCCTTCTGTGTCCTTCTTCCTCATTATTGTTCCCATTGAGTATTTTGATATATTAATTGATCCAGAATTGAGTGAGATCCAATGCCTTGCAATACGCCTCGGAAAGTCTTCCGAGAGAAAAAAAAAAAAAAAAAAAAAAACTGTAATAAAAATCGACCGAAGGAATATAAAGAAACTCAATCCCCCTCATATGAGGCGAACATTTGATGGGAAAGGAGAAGAGGGAAAGCAAGAAGTTTCTTACGCAGCATGATCAAAGGTAGAAAGGTTCTTCTTGTGCTCCCAAGGAAGTGCTGGGGGATGAAGACCATCAGCAAGCATGTTGGCATCAACTGATTCCATGGAGAGGTAAGCAAGAGCGCCGACGGTGGCGACACCAGCAGCAGCCATAGAGATATTTTTGGCGTTCTATAAAGGTTTTTTATTGGTTAAGAATGGCACAGCATGAATAGCGCGATTCAGTTGAATAATCAAATTCCAATATCGGATCTTGATATTCGAAGGTAGGTGAATAAACATTTGTAATTACCATGCTGGTGGTAGCATTTGCGCTGGTAGATTGGTAGCGAGCCTATTTACAAACGATAAGGGGGACAACGGGATTGAGAAAATAAAAGACGTGTGAGAGTTTTTTTTACATTGAGACCATGATACATGAATGTTTGGAGGATATCGGGATTCGGAAATTGCTTCCGCGTTTGAACAAAGGAGTTGAAATCAGGATTCCGACATAGGTAAAGGAGGTGTAGAAGCACTGTGTGGATGTATATATGTATACCTGAACAGCAAGACGCTGAACAGCCTTGCGAGTCGAGTGGGCAGACAGGCGAAGCATAGTGACGGAGGGAAAGGGGGTGTGATTGGTGATGAAAAAGAGAAAGGGAATGATGGATTTGTTTGTGCTCTCTCCTTTGCGCGCTTGCTGCAGTCCGCCCGATTTCTGTTCGGAAAACCAAAATAAAAAATACAGGCGGAGTGGATCCTAGAATAATCACGTGATCTATGACGTACCAGTCGAGCTTTTTTGTGGCGTCGCAACGCATATTCATTTGTTTCCGAAGTCAAGTGCGATTCAATATGGTCTATCTGAAGGACATAATCCTTAATCAATGACGAATCCAACAGAGCTTCCAGATCGTTACTCATCTTTCTCATCTCCAACTTACTACAGGGATCGATAGCACTAGCATTGTTATTCCTGAAATGGCCATGAACCGACACTTGAGCAACAACCCAGGTCTCGAATAAGGCTTTGCTATCCACTTTCTTGGGACAAAAGCATGATGAAAGTGCATGACTCTAGCCTAGCTGCTTGACTCAGCCTATACGTTGAACTGCTACAACATCACCATCCTCAGAAGCAGAGTGTTTATTGGGAATCTCAATAGATAGTGATACGAAGAACCAAGACAGATACCTGGAATGATGGCTTCATCCAAAAGCCAAGATTTTTACTAAGAGGAAAATAAAATCGAATGCTCAGAGTGCGGCATCATTCGGGACTGAAGGGGGCTTTATATGGCGCACCACATGATATCATGAAGTATAGTCTCTTACAAAATCGCCACTGTACAATAGGTTTGCGACGAACACCTCATCAACAGGAACCACAGCTTTATTTTCGAGACAAGCAACAAAAAGAGTCAGAGGCGGCGGTAATGACAGCGACAGAAGAGTGAATGAATAAACAAAGAGGAGGAGATAAAAGAGAAAGCATTAGCAAGATTAACACTTAAGCTGGCATTGGACATCATCAAGTCATACATTCTTGGATTCATGGTCCAATGCGCAGTGGGATCAGTTGTGCTTGTGATTTAGCTTCAACGTGTATAGAATACGGATGCGCAACAGTGGTTGACGACGCTATAGTTGAGGGTCCACCAGAGGTGGTGACGGTAGCTGAGGAGTTACTACACTGAATCATCGATCTCTTTTGCAACAATGACTACTTTTCTGGAAGGCTCTGACTGGAGTGAAGGGAGAGTAGACCATGCACCGGCAAAGCCCCTATGATACTTTGCGGGGATAGATTGATGAGCAATGTACAGAAAAGTCTCGGTGCTGGATAGCAATAGAAAGCGCCGTTGGAATAACTCGAGGTTGTTGTAATGGGCTTGAGAAGAAAATTCAATGACATGATGGGCGCTGACGATGCTTTGGTTCCAATGGCATGTTGGGCGATCAAGATAAGGAGCAAAAGAGGTGAATGAGCATCCTGGAGGTTTATAGAGGGATTGAAGATGTGGCAAGCCTCTATTGCCTTTCATAACTCCTTGCATAAGGAGGCTGTTTGCCTCCATAAGGCTCAACAGAGGATAAACAAAGCAGAGCCACTATCCTTTCTACATGGACTTGCTATCTGTTGTATCGGGCTCATCTTCAGGGTTACAGGCACGAGATCAGAAAGGATGATGGAAGCAAAATAGTATATACCATTCGTGGGACAAGTGATACTAAAAAGGACAAAGCACATGAGTAAAACGCTTGAAAACTTCAGAGGACATTGGGTCGAAGCTGGTTAAGCTACTACTTGGCCCTTGCAGAAGCCAGCTGGACAGAATCGACGGACGATACTTCCATAAGCTAAAGCATTGACACGATAATGGATATAGTGTGAAAGCCTTTCTCGGGAAACATCTTAATGGCTTCTTTGCTTCCTTAGTTTGAGCACAGGAGCCAAGGCCAATGCCAATGCCAATGCCAGCACAAGTACTGCCTCTATAATTGCAAACACTACAGCTACTCCAGCCCCATCCAACGAAACAACTTCCAACACTTCTACTGCTCCTCTCCCCACTTCAGTCGGTGCCCCAGTTACAACACCCGCACCAGCGCCTAACCTCAATGCCAATCCTAATCCTGACTCTAATCTTAACCCCAACGTTGACCCTGCACCTGCAGCCTTTGCTCAACATCCTGATTTGTATTATTGGGGAGTCCAGGTCAGTTGGGCAGTCGAAGTGCCTATTCCCCCCCGGAAGGATCCTACACAGCGATGCTCGCTCATTTAGGATTGTCATTTTGGCAGATGGTGCAGAAAATGAATGGGAATCTTGCTGTTGGCACGTCGATTGAACACTATTTGCCTGAACACCTGGAGACAAATAGGGCCGAGGAGGGTAAGCCGATCATCTTTATTGCACATGTGATATGGAATCCCTATTGAATTATTACAACTTTCGTGATGTGGGCTGTGGGAACACGTATTAATCTCATCTCTATTATATTCCCCTCTTTTGCTTCCTCTTCTTGGTGCTCGAAAAGTCAAGTCCGATTCTATTATGGTCTACCTCTGAGAGGACAAAATCCTTGATCAACGACGAGTCCAACAAAGCCTCCAGATCGTTACTAATTTTTTCCCTCATCTCCGACTCACTGCAAGAAGGATAAACAATACCAGCACTATTGCTCTTGAAATAATCATCAACCGACACCTGTGCAACAACCCAGATCTCGGATTGGACTTTGCCATCTACTTTCCTAGGACGAAAGGATGGTGGGAGTGGATGGCTCTGTCCTGACTGTTGGGTCCGACCCATATGTTGAACTGCTGCAATGTCGTCATCTTCAGAAACAGAGTGCTCACTGGGAATATCAATAGACAGCGCTACTGTGTTCCGGACATCATCCAGCGAAGAACCAGAGCCGATGGCCTCCTTCATTAGCCATGATGCGACTAGAGCATAAAAGGAGGGATGGAGGGAAAGAAAAGGAAATTGGATGGTTAGGCGTGTGGCACCATTCAGGACCAAAAAAAAAAAAAAAAAAAAAAAAAAAGAGATATGCATATGACACTCAACATGATCCTATGAAAGGTAGTCTCTTACGGAACTCGGCGTTCCAAAATGGGTTCATAGTGGACGTCTCATCAACAAGGACCTCAGCTTCGTCTTTGAATTAAACAATAGAAGAGTCAGAAACAGAAGAAATGACGGCGGTAGAAGAGAGAGTGAACAAGTAAAGACGGAAAGGATGTTAGCATGGAATGAAGGTAGTAGAACGAGGTGGTATTTAACATCTTAGGTGGCATTGGACATCAGGCCTTATATCCTTAAATTTATGACTCTATGTGTCCTGGGATCGGCTACATTCATGGCTTACCTTCAACATCCATAGAATACGGATGCACAACGGCGACTGGCGGCGCTATAGTTAAGGAGCTATCAGAGATGGTAGCTGTAGCTGAGGAGCCACCACACTGGGCCATCAATCTTTTTGCGAAAGTGACCACTTTTCTGGAAAGGCTTGGATGGAGTGAATGGAGAGCAGAATATGTACTTTCAAACCCTCTACGATGCCTGGCAGGGGTAGGATGACGGACAATATACAAGGAAGTGTCGGTACTCAACATTAATAGGCGTTTGAGTAAGGTAAGGTCACTGCCGTACTGGCCTTTTTGAGGGGAGCTAGAGGAGAACGTAAAGACGTGGTCGAGATTGATGGTTGATTCTGATATCATGTTATGCAAAGAGTAAAGTGAGGATCAAAAAGATGGGTGGGCATCCTGAAGTTTATATACGAAATGCGGATGGGCTTTTATGTTGCACAATTACAATTACACCATAAGAGCATGAATAAAACATGTTTGGTTCATTTCATTGTAATAATCATTTGTTGTATTCATTTCTCAGAATGTTAATCAACCATACCAATCCGCTTGGATTAAATAGCAGAATGAATAAGCTACTCATGCACCCATGTCTTTTTTTTTTTTTTCTTGACAACAAGGACCCATGAGGTCATATAGAATCTGCACCAATGTTTTTTCGATGCTCAATGGAGGAAAAAGATTATCATTTGTGGAACGGCCGGAAATAATATTAGACGCGTCAAAAGATCGGTGTGCTCTCATCTTTTTCTTTTTTTTTTTTTTTTTTTTAAAAAGCCCCTGCAGTGAAAACGCGGTAAATTTATACCACGCTACAATCTGTGCAGTCATGAACCTAAATTTTTTTTTTTTTTTTTTTTTTTTTTTTTTTTTGCTTCGCCATCAGGCAATAAATATAGAGAGGAAAATTATTATCATCACAATTTGGCGATTTTCATCCATCACATTTCATACATTTCAATTGCGGCATAAATCATACATTGGCTTCTCTGCTCGAACTAAGAGAGCAAAGAGGCTATTAAAGTACTTCCTGAGAAAGGCTTCCACGATACATTCATTACCGCTTCGACGTTTTAGCTTATGGAAGCATCGTCCGCCGATTCTGCTCAGCTAGCTACTGCTAGGGCCAGGCAGCATAACCAGCGGTCCAAGCTACTGCAATGTCCTCCAGAGATCCTCAAGATTATTGCTCTATGGATCCGCGACCCACTTGAACGGATGCGCTTCAGTCATATATGCTCTTTCCTTTTCAGCATCACTTCCTCCCGTGATTGGTTTGACCTATTTTGCTTCCATCACCCTTCCTGGTCTCGTGGTTGTAAACTTGAAGATGAACCCGACAGAGATGGTACATCCATGTGGAAAAAGATCACAGTCAAAGACTCGTACCTATTCAAAAGATTGACGGCTGATCTACCGCCATTACCACCACCACTAACGTCATTGTCGCTGCAACAATCTTCCGATGCCGATGTCAATGCCGATGCTGATGCCAGTGCCAATGCCAATATTGCTATGGATGTTGACTCAGCTTTCGAACACACTATACCAAATTCTGATGCAGTATATGTAATAGCACCATCAGAAACAGTGGCCTCTGAAGTAACCGGAGCTGCATCAATGTCAGAAGTATCAAATAATGTCCAAACAAGAGTAGGTCGTCTGAGAGTGTTGCTTAATGAGGCACAAGTTTTTCACTCAGATACGACCACCACAAATGGCAAATGGAGACGCATTGGTTCCCCTGTATATAACATCCACTATCCATCCGACAGCATCATTTCAGCTTCGATACCCATGCGACCTACAGCCACAGATGGGGACTGCCTTCAAGATCGCTAAACCCTTCTATACCAGCTACCTGATCTCACCAACCCGGTTGCTGTCTGCGGGAGCGAATACTGGACAGGGGATCTAGATCAGGGGAATAAATGGTATCATGATCTACCTGATCAACGACGAATCCGACAGAGCCTCCAGACCGCTACTGATTTTTCTCTCATATCTAATTCACCGCAGGAAGGGTAAGCAATGCTAGCAGTATTGTTCTTGAAATGATCATTTGCCAGCACTTAAGCTATGATCCAGGTCTCGAATTGGACTTTGCCATCTATTTCCATGGGATGGAAATACGGTGAAAGTGCATGGCTCTGGCCTAGCTGTTCAATTCGACGCCTACATTGAACTGTTGCAGTATCGTCATCCTTAGAAGCAGAGTGTTAACTGGGAAGATCAACAGACAGTGGTGTTGTCTCCTGGGTATCATCCGGCGAAGAACCAAGGTCTGACTAGAGCATAAAAGCGAGAAGAGGAAAATATAATCGAACGTTCAGATGTGTGGAGTCATTCAGGACTAGAGAGATCTTTATATGACACATCACTTGGTCCTATGAAAATAATCTCTTACGAATCTCGCCACTAACGATGAGTTTACAGCGGACATTTCATCAATAGAAACTTCAGCTTTATCTTCGAAACAGACAACAAAAAGAACCAGAAGTGGCGGTAATGGCAGCAATAGAAGAGAGTGAATAAAGCAGGGAGATGAAGCGGTAAGAATATTAATAGAAAATGGTAATTCATCTAAGCTGGCATTGGACATCACCAAGTCATATATCCTTGGATTTATAATTCAATGCGCTGCGGAACCAGTTACACGTATGGTTTACCTTCAACATGCATAGAATACTGACGTGTAATAGCAGTTGAAGGTCCTATAGTTGAGAGACTATCAGAGGCAGTAGTGGTAGCTAAGGAGCTACCACACTGGACCACCAATCTTTTTACAACAATGATCACCTTTCCGGAAGGCTTTGACTGGACTGAATAAAGAATTGGCCACGCGCAGGCAAAGTCTTTACGATGCTTAGTGGGGACAGGATGGCGGACAATGTACAAGAAAGCCTCAACACTGTAAGGTAATAGGAAGAGGCGTTGGGAAAATGTAATGGAACTATTATATTAGTCCCTTTGAGGGGGGATTCAATGACATGATGGCCATTGAAGATGGCTGGTCCTAATGGCATAATAGGCGGTCATAAGGATAAAAAAAAAAAAAAAAAAAAAAAAAAAAAGAGTAGGTATCTTAAGGATTTAAATAGAAAGTGAAGATGAGAGCAAGACGCTATTGCCTTGCATGACTATGCAATATGGTATGAAGAGAAATAAATATTCATTTAATATTCATTCCCTAGCGCAGGGTGTCTGAATCGCTCACGTAGTGTAGATGGATTTAAATGACTGACCATTACCGGATTTCAAATTAAAATATTTTTGAGAAGAACCACTATTTATTGGTTGCGATACATGACGTTTTGTACTGTAACTATAGCCATGTCCCCTTTATCTTCATCTACTTTTGCATTTTCTTACAGCTCTTTCGTTGAACTGGTCGAAGGTTGACTATTTGCGTCCTTTTTAAACCGGGACACTGTTGGAGGAAATACTGTAAATTGTCCCAAAGTCCATGGGTGCCTCGTTACCGAGCGACGATATGTCGTGGCTTTCGTACCTTGGTGCTTCAACTTCCTCCTTCGTGCTCCCTTAGCATACCCTTCCAAGTATTTCTATTAAATGCATTACGGTATCCACAATGAGGACGTGAACGGCTCTTTTTTCTATTAAAATGGCATTTACCGTGACATTAACCTACCGAGTAATCCCATAGTGTAGCAATCGTCTCGTCTGTGCCTGAAAGGAACTCGTTCCATGACGTGTTGCAGTGAGGCAACATTGGACCATGGTCTGTCACTAAATCACAGACAAAAACATCTTCTATGCGCTTCAAACAGAAAATACTTGCCGTTCATCCTAACACGGACCGGCTGGTGAGATGTTGAATATATTTCCGTCGACAAAATTTGTTATGTTACTTACCATGAACATCCATCGCCAACAAATGGAAATCTTCCCAGGACCACCATTCGATCTTCTCCTCCGGATGCAGCAGCATAGAGTGGCTGACCAATAAGTTCTTCCTGACTTAGAGGTCGAGCTTCTGTTGAGAGGTAAAGCACTTCTTGAACTCACTGTTGTTCAGCTCCAAGTCATCTTCAATCCGCACTGTAGATTGACTTTCTTGCCGTAAACTGAAATTGAGGTATCCGTGTTTAGTTCTTCTCCAAAGATTTCGTTCTGGTATTTAGATGCTTTACTATCAAGTTCTCCACTAATAAAAGTATATTCTATGTAAGATACCTCTATTTCTGAGATGTTTTCTACGTAGGCTGGAGTCAAGGAGATCAAAATTGGAAGTACTCCCAAGCCTCGGTACAGTGTGCCTAACAATTTCCTTCAGTAAGTCATAATAGCCATAAAGTGAATCCACCGTTTTCAGTATCCACCTTTTGAAATTCATGTTATGGTTGGTGAAACAACTTAGTACATACTCCCAAATGGATACAACTTTGGATTCTGACATCAATGTGTTCGGCTTTTCCAAGGCCCTATTAGTATTCAAAAACATCAAAGATAAAAACAGTGGTAAGTCAGTTTCTGCCTGAATACAATTGAAACCATAAATGCTTTGAATTTTCTCTGAACTGACTTACATGAAATGAACCGCTGAAAAAACTGCCTTGTGAATCCCATTGTGAGCCTTAGTCTTCACTGCCATCAGCTGGATCATCTTATCTGAGAGTCGATTTAAATCAATGACTCTGTCTTCTTCAGTCACTTCAGCTGAGGCTTCTTTTAACTCCTCCATCACCTCTCCTAGTCCATCGATTTTACTGGATTGGGAGAAGTCTACTTGAACGCATTTCGTTCGAATTTCGTTCAATAGGTGCACATTAAAAGAAATATTGAGGATCTTGAATTCTTGTATTTATAATCCCTGAAAGCGCAACACTACGCATGTTCATGTAATAAAACCCTGTAAGTAAAGCCGACCATTATGATCATAAACAAAATAGAGTTATCCAGGATGACATACCACACATCAAGCTCCATCACTTTGGATAGCTGCTCCTTTTGGGACAAACGAGCGCAGACAAAGTCATATATATCAATGTGTAAGTTGCTCAGGTGGACTGTAGACCTAGTGATAGTAGTTTGAGGCTCTCCTTTGACCTGCAAATGCAATGGATGTTTAAAACATGTCTTCATATCACGTATACGTTTATTATTATACATTCAGAGAAAAATACCTTGGCCCTCAAATGATACATAAGAGAAAGCCACGGCTCGGCGAACCTCGAAACCCTGCCTTCCGTCCTATCTCCCTTCCGTTTCGAAGCTACAGGTGAAGATTCCTCTCCAGTAGTCTCCCACGCATTTCGCATATGCTCTAGCTGTATCATATGGCTTACTTAAACGGAGCACTTTTACATTATAAAAAATGTCAACATTCATCATACTAACCTCCACCTGAGCGACCAGATTCCCTGCGACCTTCTTTTGTTCATCGGACGAAGCAGGATCTTCCAATGTAGCACGAAGAGAAGACTGGTACAACTTCAGATGCTTCTCAGGTGCTTCAGAAGGATTATTTTTGCTTAAATATGAGATGAACATGGCCAAGTCTGACCAGTGTTCGACTGAGCAGTCCAGAAAGAACTGTGAACCGCGGCTCATGTTTTGATGCTTTGAAACACGAAAAGGACAAGGTGCGATGTGTCCTTTAATTGTGGCGTTAGATAGTCCCTTAAATATCACTTTTTTGTAGCAATAACACGTTTAAGCAAACCATGACCAAGCTGCACCTTTTAATTTACCATGTGCAATGCCTTGGCTCGCGCTTCCTCTCGATATATGTGGATATGTCTTTTTTCTCAGAGGCACCACCGTCGATATACAGGATAAGGTTTAATGGTGCTCCATACTTCCCTGCCCCCTTTCCATGATCTTGTGGACTGTATCAAGGGGATGATTGGAGTATGCGTTTCAAATTATGGGATAAAAGTTCCTAGGACATCGAATCTTATGAGAGCGCCGTAAATTGAAAGGATAGGAAGGATTAGAGGTGGAGCAGATTGAAGAATGGCAGTGGGGAGTTGTCTCGTAGCCTGTCTTTAGAAGAAAAGGCCAGAGGTCCTCCATTCCCATTGCTAAGGGGCGATATTAATATGGATGTGGAAATATTGATGGAGCTACTAATGAGAGAGATGTTGAGTGATAAAAAAAAAAAAAAAAAAAAAAAAATCATCGTGTGAATTCTTGCATGATATTTCATGTGGCATCAGTCCAATTTTTTTAAAATTCGGTGTGAACGAGCATGATGTTTTTAATATAAAAACTGGCATTACATTGGAGCGCGACGGTGGAGAATCACACTAGGGACCGTCGGCGGTACTTGATGGTATTGTAATTGTCAATATATATACTTGGCGGCGTTGCCGAAATAGAACTTACCGATGTTCTTCTTCCTCTTCTCTATTCTGTTTGAAACCTCGACCATAACCAAAGCATGGGCCGCTTGACGATAAAGGACATCTTACCACACTCGCCAACTTTTAATCCACATCAACCAGTAGCCTCCTGCCCCATTTCTAAGGAAACAGCCGGTCCTTTTACTACAGTTTCCACATTCAACGCGTTCCGAGAGTTTTGGAGCCAAGGAAGGCTTGTGTATCAATGGGTAGAGTGTTCGGAGAGCAATTCTCGATCCATTCTTACCCACAAAGAGAAGCTGGATAAACCATTTCCTACGCATACCCTGGCCGTAGTCATTCATGTGAATTCGATTGGACAGTCAATACATCTGTTGGCGTCAAGATTCGAAAGAAAAGTTGACCATTCATCGGGATTCAGTTGGTAATAAATGCCTAGTCTATAGCAGGATTAAAAAGCCTGCTGAACGAGATCGGGCTATGATGGAGTATTATAGACATCACAATCAAGACAAAGGCCCTAGCGAGCGCAACTGGATGAAGTCAATAGTCCCCAGCGGCTATGATTGGAAATATATCAATAATGGTCTGAGGTCAAGTGAAGAGGCTCTTCTGATGGTAATGATCACCTCAGTGTGTATAAAGTTTTTGCATTTACTTAGGCCTTGACTGATATCTCATGGTTTACAGATTGAGGCTGAGACGAAAGTATCCCTCTAATCTTCCTTATCATTTATAACGGTGCACGTGCAGGGATCTACCATAAACAGATAAAGGGATTCACAAGAAACGATAGCATTGTCACCAGTGTTGAGGGATGGATGAAAGAAATTCAAGCAAGCGAGGGTAAAAGATGGTTTTCTAATGAAATTGGTGTCAACAACCCATAAAGCTGTCTGATTGCCTGGTGTACGAAGTCCCAGTTGGAGGTAAGGAGATCCATAATATGGTCCATTTGGCGTTAGCGTTACTTACCGTCCTCGTTTCTACCTTCAACAGGCTGTAGAGAGTAACAGCTTGATAGCCTGTATAGACTCCACACGGAGGGTCGCTATGCCTCTGAGAAAGATAGTGCTTACCAAACTAAGACCATTGCATTATGTTGAACGATAGGTTCGCCACAAAGAGATGGTTATCATGGCTTAGAACTGAGTGCGGCTTCAAGATGTCAAAGTTCATGGTGGGCTGTTCTATGACACAGAGTGAAGCTATTCAGGGGGTATTTCCCTCCGCATCAATCCACTTCTGCCACTTCCATGTGCAGAAGTTATGGGAAGATCGCATGAAAGATGGCTTCAAAGCGAGGTATACCATGTTGATGCTCCATCAAAACATCTTGGCGATAGCGTTTTAATACGACTTCATATTCTTTAGGAGTGACTGGTTGCGTATGAAGGGCTTGCTTAAAGGAATACGCACTGCAAGATCTGACGAAATAGCTATGATCTTTGGAGAGGTATTAAGGACCAATTTTATGATCCTAACAGTGACAGAACAAAACCCTTCTTTAACTACAGGGCATAGTATCAAGGCCAAAAATGGAATACAGCTTGCAACGCTTTCACAGTATGGCCAAGAAAGACTGGCGAGAGCAATGGCAATGAGTTCCGCGGACGCAAGGGAATCCATATAAAACACATACCTTTAAAAATAAACTGTTCCCAATCACTAATTGCCATCAACGCCCCATGAGCTAACAAATGGCGCCTTGTTCTTCATGCCAAGGCATTATAATACTATTGATCTTATTTAACGGTTTACTTTAAAGAAAAGCAGCAGGCAGTTATTGAAATAAATTCAATAGAAGCTGATGCATGACTTCTTCCTTTTGGATCCAAAGCCCAGTTGTCCAAAATTTTGACATATTGAATGTACTCAATATGTCCATAGAACTCATTATTATACAACTGCTGTATTACTGTCCTTCGTTGGGTCCATTGATCCGAAAATGACTCACATACATCAAACCACACTGAAAAGGAATAAAGGATTGACGTTTTACATTAAGTTCTCTTGATTCATTCGCCTGGTGAGCTTTTTTTATTTTTGTTTGTTTGTACATTTATTGTAATAAAAGAAAATGTCCGTATGATATATTCTCAAATCCAGTATAGCGGATTAATGAATCAGATCTTTAGGGCACACAGTTAGGAAATGCCCTGAATAATGTCCAGTTTCCCTAAATCAAAGTACCATACATGTATGCTAATTTAATAGATAACCTGGACGGTTGTCAACGCCGTTGTTTTTTCAATTACATTTATAAATGTATGAATGTATAAAGGTCTCTTTTTTGCCCCTTTTTTGCTCCATTGTGCATTCATGGGTTCACATCTTGGTTGGGCTTTCCTTTCTGAGTCCACTGATCCAAATTTTCTTTTTGGGTTGATACTTCACTTCTGAATGTAGGTCAATGCGTTCATTCTTTCCACCAATCCCCCAAGGCCACACCTTTGTTTGTTGTTCTGTTCCGCGGAAAAAAAACCCTCAGTGAATGTGAAGCCAAAGAGGGGGTATGCGCAGACCTAAGGTTGGTAAAACTTCAAGATTCTAATATCCCTCCATGTCCTTTTGATGACATGTCCATTTTCTTTTGTTTTTTTAGTTGTGAAAAAGCGCTGCTATTTTAACCTTAGTACGTGCTCAAAAGACCCTTTTTCAGTCCTTACTATGATGTTACACTGAAGAGCGTACTGTTGACTGTTTGGAGGTTTGGACAGGAAGGAGAGTTTGTTCTGTCATACAGATCAATTATTCAAACTAAATAAAATGTATTTGTGTTTTCACCCATCTTTGGCGCAGCAAAAGCTTTTTTTTTCTTATGCCACTCTACAATTTACAATTTATTGTTCGATTCAATCTGCTCTATTCAATTGCCTATTAAAATACATTTTACTTGAAATCATTCTCAGTCCAGTCCTGCACTATTTTATTCAACACACACTGCTTCCGCCATGGAGGATGATAGCAAGCTATCTAGTTTAGTAGATACTGGTACTTTTTGCTGTTGTTGTGATGAATCATCTGAGTACTCAAAATACAACCAACAACCTAGCTCTCTGCATTGGCCGCTTTAGGATGGAGCCAAGAGAGGCTCTGTCCAGAAGAACTGTCGGAGCGAGTACCCCTTATACACGTATCTCTTAACTGAAGACTCGAACACACTGAGTGATGATGATGATAGTAATGGCAATGATAGCAATGGCAATAGCGGCAAAGATGACAGCGATGAAGCTTTTAGCCCTCACGGCAACGAACAGTCCACATATCCCAAGGTTACCAGTCAAGTTCTCAGTGATATTAGGTGGAAACCACTACTGTTACTGATGCTGCTGCTATTGCTGGAGCATAGTTAAATTGACGCCTAATTACGACGGCGCAGGTTGGGCTAGCAAGTAACAGCAACGATGGAGGGGGAGGGGGGGGGGGATACGACAATTAAACTGCATTTACAGGTAGTCATGATATTGAGACGATCAATATCCATAGTTGCAACGCATACTTATCCATGATCGCTACATCATCTCGATTTACCCAGCTATGGTTGCTAGCGAATACTACAAGGCTCCTTGAGCGCTTTGCTAATGTACTATTTGTCTGTCTGTTTTTATTATTACTATTATTATTTATTTATTTTATTTACTCGTTTCCTCATAATTACTATTTGTTGCTGCAAATTCTCCAGGAATTTAACTTTTTAGGTACCCACTTGAAGGAGGAGAAGTTTAGTAGACGAGGCTGCACGCTCGACTATGCCTCTACCGCAATAGCACATCCTCTCACCCCCGAAAGTCGACCCCAATCCTACCCTGGGCTACTTCAGATAGTACGTACTCCTTGATTAAGGATGAGTCCAATAAGACATCAAGGTCATTGCTGATATTGCTCCTTAATTCTGACTCATTGATGCCATTGTTATTCTTGTGATTATTCGCTATATACTCAGCAACCGATACCTGGGCTACAACCCAGATCTCGAATCGAACCTTGCCATTCACTTTCTTGGCACGGAAGCATGATGGTAATGCGTGACGATTGTACAGAGCTGTTCCATCATTATCATCCTCTTCTGATGTAGGGTACTCGCTATGAATATCTATGGGGGCCGGCACAGTGCTCAAAAGAGGTACTGCCAAGTTCTGTCCCTCATAGTTTGTACTTGTGGGGATGATATTATCTACAGAAAGGAGCCGGACTAGAGTACAAGAGAATCAGATGTCCATTGGCAGAGTCAGAATACGCAGAATGCTATGCGATCTAGTGAGACTGAACTAAAAAAAAAAAAAAAAAAAAAAAAAAAAAATTGTCTTACAGAACTCTTCATTCCAAAACAGATCCGCTACAGCATCAGGGAAACCTAATTGAACGAGGAGAAGGAAATTAAAGTTTGGATCGACAAAATTTTTTTAGCGTGGAAATATAAAGGAGAGGGCCACGTTTATGAAGGCAAAAAAAAAGGTGTCATTGTCGTCAAGCAATTGTGTTTATGCGTCTTACTTTGGAAATGCGCAGCATGCAGACTAGGATATGTTGCAGAGGCTGTAGAGGCAACAGAAGAATCACCACATTCGATAGAGAGTAACTTTGCAACAACGACTGCTCCATCAGGACGCGCAGACCCGAAAGAAGACCAATGGCCAGCAAATCCTCTGCGGTGTTTCGCAGGTTCAGGGTGTCGGACAGTGTATAGGAATGTTTGGGGACCGTTAAACTGGCCGAAATAGTGTTTTAGGAGGTTGACTGCTTCGTTATCTCCGTAGAAAGCAATGGCGAACGCCACGAGATGGAGAACATTGATGATGGGTGGTAGCATGATAAAGAACCAAAGGAATAGGGTATCAAAGAAATAAGAAATAAAGAAAAAGATGAAAATCAAAGTACATGGTATTTAAATAAAATCTAGGATTAGTTTCCAAATTTCAATTGAGCATTCTGAATCCCATATAGAAATATCCCATCCATCAGACATCTACCAAAATGAGCCCGCCGGCCGACTTTCCATTTTTTTTTTTCTGAATAAGCCGCTTCCTCTGGACGAGTAAAATTTAGGATGAAATGCAGAGCACATGTATACATTTAAATATATAAAATATATTGTCCTCGTCATTTGGTCATGAACATATTCTAAAAACATATAATTATTGAATTGATTTGGTCGGCTCAGAATTTTGAATAATTTTAAATGAGTTGGTGGCCAAAATCAGCCACCGATTCAATACTCAAATCCCATTCAATCAATATATTTTTACAACATGTACATGAGCAAATGACGAGCACAATATATATATCAGCGACAAAATATTGTTCGATGGCGCGGTTCGTTTTTCGAATTCAACTCGCATTAAAGAAGACCCTTTCAATTTCTCAGGTTTGTGGAAATGAGCCCGATATGGTGGCTTTAGTTCATCTCTACCCTTCACTCTTTTTATTGGATTGCTATTTTTTTTTTTTTTTCTATGGTTGCTTTGGTGGTGGCTATTGTTATTATTGTTGTTTGTTTTTATTCAACCTTTTTTCTACTACTTACCGTTTATATTAATGTTCAACTGCAAGACCCTTCCAATGCAGGCCGAGCTTTCCTACCTGCCATCACAGGACCATAGACGTTATTCGTTCGTTCTATATGGTCAAGCGTTTTGTTTGTTTTTTCACACATGGGCTACTTTACAATCTTGTTGGTTGCTATTGTATCTGTTCTCAACCTAACAAAGCGCATACATGAGTTATAACATATTTATAACGAATGAATCAACTTGGCTGCTTGTGACGAAGAAAAGAGGAGAAACAACAGAAACAAAAAAAAAAGAAAAAAAAAACACAAGGGTAAATGTTGTCCGACCTCGTCGTCATTTTTATTTGGTTATGAACATATTCTATCCTTATATTCCTTATTTTCCTGATTTCGCCCACCGAGAGTGTAACATACACCAAAAGAAGTGAGGAGTAGCTGAGCATAGCAGCCGTTACTCAGCTCTACCGTGATTGGTTGGTTACTTTTTTTCATTGCCGCAGCCATCCTATCTCAAATACTTCAAATAGAATATTCAAAAGCGAGAATAAAAAAAAAAGAAAGAAAAAAAGAAAACAATATCATGGGATCATCTGTTCTGTTTAAACAAACATACCCATCACCGTTTATTAATTGTTCCTTAGTCTTGAGCTCCCTGCCGTTATATCTCTTCAATACGCATTGGGCTTCATCAGCGATTTATTTATTTAAAAAGATATACTGAACAAAAACTTGTCTTGATATTCATTTCACTATTTTTTCGTATAATTCTAAACGCATATCTCTATTCACTTCTCTATTTATTTCTTTATCTATTTCTCTATTTATTTCTCTATTTATTTCTCTATTTATTTCTCTATTTATTTCTCTATTTATTTCTCTATTTATTTCTTTATTCATTTCTCTATATAAAAGTATAGTATAGCAAAGTGTTATTTTTTAAGTAATGTACTTATCGGATGACGCGTCGACAAGCTTTCCGATTCAGTCTTTTTTCATCCATAATCCTCTTAAAATCAATCCCGATCCTCCCTTGCGCCACCTCATCCAATACAAACTGCTTCAATCTTGGAGACGATAATAATCTATCCAATTTAGTGGATGTAGGCGTCTGTTGTTGTTGCTGTAGTTGCGGCAAATCATCTGACCGCTCATGATGGAAACCAACAACCCAGATCTCGTATTGGATCTCTCCATCGACTACTTTAGGACGGAACCAAGGCGGCAACTTGTGTTCAGAAGAGCTATTGGAGCGGGTGCGTTTGGAGGACGAAGACTGCCCATTATTATGAGAACCAAACTCTTTATCACTATCGCTATCATCAAATGCTTCCGAGCTTCCGGAGTAGGAAGCATAAAAGCTACCAGTCAAGTTCTCGGCAGTGTTAGATGCATGTTGTTGCTGTTGCTGGCGTAAAGCTAGGTCAACACTTAATGATGGCTCATCTGACCAAACTTGATAAAGTTTAAAAGAGTGATATATTTTTATAATGATAAAATATAAGAGACATTGTTGTTGGCATAGTGGAATAAAATATAAGCTTAGTGGACAGTACGATGCGCCAAGTACAGTACACAGTACCGAGAATAAAACTTTTACTCCTTACTTGTAGATTCCAGATATTTCGTATGCTCAGCCAACCACTCCTGCACATCAGAGTCCTGTGCAATTGACATGAATACTAGAAACGCAAGAAAAAAAAATGAGGGGTGAGAAAGGAAGAAGGATGAAGGCGGCGTGATATGAAGCTGGGCATACAATCAGTTTCGCATATACATGTATTTTTTAATATTATCATTAATTTTTTTCTCGCGCTCGATGATTGTTGTTGTTGTTGTTGTTGTCATTACCTGCATTCGAGCCCACCTGCGCCTGCAAAGTTGCAAAGGCCTCATCTGGAAGTGCAGGAGGCGGAACCAATAGCTGATCGCATGGCTTGACTAATTGACATACTGTGACAATGTCCTTCGCCTTACTCGTAGTACTACCAAACCGGTTGATATAACTTGAACGATGCTTGTCAGGCCTTGGTTGCCTCACAATATAAATCGATGGGTAGGATGGGAACGAAGAAGGAGTTGCTGTCATATTAGGTCCCGAGAAGAGAGTTGGCGGATACAGGTCATAAAACAACGCTAGGTCATCTGGGGACGAAGCAAGGGCAGCCAAAAGAGAAGTAGGGTTAATGAACATGGGTACAGACGACATGATGATGAGAGACAGATAAACAGCTTACTGAAGGATACAAGATCAAGAGCATGAAGAACTGGTAGCATGTATTTATACATGGGACGGAGCCTGGCTACCTGCTCGTGACGCTACCCTTCATCCACAGCTCTATCCTCGTTCTCTGGTATCCATGAAGTAGAAGTTTCAACCAGCTTCATAAAGCAATGTCAATAAATGCATTAGTGTGCAATTACTTGTCAAATTCCTCATTATAGAATTATTGTGGTGAAGAGGACAGGTCCAGATTCAGGCCTAGTATAGGATTGTGTGGTATTATGGCTGGGTAGGGATGAGTCTAGAAAAAGGAAGCTGTCTGATCTGTTACTACTCATTGTTGTTTCAATGCCTGCGCGTCTGCTTGGATTGATTTATGAGCCACAAGTGATCAGTTATTTGCTTCGCCATTAAGAGCAACGGACCGAGAATTTTTTTTTTTTTGTTATTTCTGGTGGAATGTAATGCACCACAGATAGACCAGACATCTACCTTCCTGGTCCCGCGCGTTTTCTGAGCGGAGAGTATACGGTTTATATGACAAAGAAGCCGTGAGTGCTTGATCTATATTGATCATACTCATGTGTCATTAAAACACACCAATTAGAAGCTTTGCTACGCAGAAGCGTTTGGGACTCGATCCACCTATTACCATTCTCTTTGTGGACAGAAGTTGCTCTTGTATAATCCCCTTCTTTTACACTTTACGTCGCTCTCAATCGCTCTTTCTCGCATTCAATGTCCCCGCCTAGGACTTGATGATGAGTGAAGGGGAAGCCGGAGTGAAGGCGCTGGTATATGCGATAATTCGCTCGATGCATTGACCCTCCTTTTTCTGCTCTTTCTTCGCCATTTTCTCCTTTGTTCCTCAACTCTCTCTGGGTCCTCAGGTTTACTGCTTCTAATGCTTGCTCAACTATTGATGTCTTCGATTCTTTTGCAGACGCTCTGATGGCGAATTTCAATTCGTTCATCCGTCAATGTTGCATTTTGATTGGTGTTGTCCTGAGAGGTTGGTGCCCACACGCCTTAAATTTTGCTCATATTCCCACAAGCTCTCATGATGCTGTAAAAAAGATCGCGAAATGTTTAAAAAAAAGGGACCAATCGTTCATTTTTTAATGCATGCCTGTTTTCCAGAGTTTCTGGAGTGGTAAAACTGTTTGTCCTTTTTCTAAACAAGGACGCTGTTTACTGTCGATCAAAAGTATTAAGTTAAAAAAAAAAAAAAAAAAAAAAAAAGGCGGAGAAGCTACTAGAACAAGTGAAAGAGAACTGAACAAAGGGTAATAAGATCCCATCTCATTTTGGAACATTCAACTCTATAACTCTATCTGTTATTTTTCTTTAATGATCTTCTACCATAAATGTATCGCATTAGCTCTAAGTGTACTTAGGATGCAATGAGTCACTGGAGTGGCGGCTTCCAATTTCTGTTCGTATCTGACTAAAATAATCGCAAAATTTGGTATTGCTTTCATGACCCATTGACCTGTATATGAACCAGCCTCGAGTGGGGTTTGCAATTTTCATTCCTTTAAGAGACCTGGAGGCCAAGATAAAGAGTCAGCCCCAAGGACCCGAGGAAACGAGATCTCCGAGATCTTCCTGAACCCAGTTGTCTCTCACTACCTAAGTAAATCGGGTCATCCTTACTCAACCCCATGGTATTATACTTGATATCAATTGACAAATAAAGATTGTCCAGGGTGCTTCAAAGAGTTATTGCTGAAGATAAGTAATTACCACAAAAGAGCCTCCAAGACCTGTAAAATGGGTTCTACTCGGAGCTTTCCAATGGGCTAAACCCCGGGATATAGGAAGAGGATATAGCGCTAGGCCCTTCCTGCATACACGTAGGCCTAAAGCATTTCTCGGAGACGCCTCTTGGACTGGTTTGGCTTACAAGTCTATAAAACCAACTATTAGGAGATGAGGACGTGAGCATATATATCGTGGATACGGTGCAGAAACCACAGACGTGAAGATGACCGCGATCATATTACAATCTGAAATGGCGCATTGACCACAGCACATTCTACGTTCAAGAGGCGAGAGTCATCCTTCTTCACGTGCTTTCACCGTATAGGGCGGCCTTGTCCAAGGTGAAACCCTTCATTGTAGATGACTTGGATTAACTTCCTTGACTAGAAGTCTAACTTCCTTGACTAGAAGTCTAACTATTCTATAGAGCTCTCGACATTATGCTTGGCTACGGGCTTTGAGTACCTGTAGGGGCTGCTTTCTTACGCTGAGCCGTTTCTGTCATTGCCATTGCCATTCTTGTAATCATTGACCTACTCGATGTAGTATGCCACAGTCCTTTCCTTGATTACAAATGTACACTGTAGTGAGCATACAATGAGGTTGAATAGCATTTTGCAATCCTCAAGATTATTACCACTTGTGAACCCTTGTTGACTCGAGTTCTATTGTTGGTCATACCTATAATGTGGAAAAATAGCATGTTACATTGATAGTGCATTCTTCAAAGGAGGCTTTCGAGCTTCTCCCTAGAGTATGGTCTCCTGTACAGAATTTGCATAAGGCGACAGAAGCAAAACCTAACCATCCGCACAATCATGTCCCCTTTATCTGGATTGTTGGCCGTCTTGTCGCTATTGACGAATGAGAACAAGAGGTCAAATAGGCTAAATGGGGATGTGGATGATAAAAAATCTCAACTTGTTGGGACAAGAGTCAAACTCATTGGACAGATTCAATTCTGGTACATGTACCAGTTTACTGGTTTTTCAAGAATGGTTTTTGCAAATGGTAATCATAGCCTCAGACCCAGTTGCTTCTTTCTTAAGCTCGTTGAAACATAAAACACAAAAAAAAAAAACTCAACAGAGACTGTGCACAAAAGAGGAAAAGGAAACAGCGCGCGCTCTCAATTGTCCTGATGTAATTTGCCGACTCGGCAACACGGCTGCTTCATTGGCAATAATTTGTCCGGAATATGGCTGCTGACCTGGCTTGAACATGCAGATTCAGAAGGTTTGATTAATGCAACGTCGTTTTTGTAAGAGCGGCCCGAGAGTCCGAATGTGGAGAGATTAGTGTCATACATGTGCTGAGCATAGAATCCATGCACACGCCACGCACACCTCGGCTTCTTTTTTTTTTTTCTCTCACGGACATTCGGCTTGCATTTCTTTTTCTTTACTTTTCTCTTCTCTCTTCACAAACATCATAACTCTCTCTCTTTTTTTTTTACAAGCAAAACAAGAAAAAAATGGTTCTGTCAAAGCTCTTTGATATCAAGCACCAGTTGTTGCAGTATGCATCTCATCACAACAACCCATTGAATGTCGGCATCCATCTCACTTGCATTCCTCTCCTTCTGTGGACAGGCCTAGTCTTTGGCGCAAAATCTGGACCACTCCTTCCTGCACCTTCAGCTGCTGCTGTTGCCTCGGGTGCACCAGTTGCTGTCGCACTCTCAAAGATTTATCAATTCTGTCCACCTAATGTCTCGTTCCTTATAATGGTCGCCTATAACTTGTATTATATCTGTTTGGATAAGGTTTCCACTGTAAGTAAACTCTTTATTGTATCCAAGAAGAACACCATGAGGAATACTTGGCGCGTTTTTATTTTTTATTTTTTTTTTATTTTGATTGCTTACTTGAATGACTATCTACATAGCTTATCACGATCCCATTGTTCCTCGGACTCGCTCGTCATGCTACATATTTCCGAATGACTAACCCCAATGCTGACAGGATTGCTCTTACAATCCATATTTTGGCTTGGATTGCTCAATTCATTGGCCACGGTGTCTTTGAAAAGCGTGCTCCCAAACTCCTGGATAATTTGGTACAAGGTAACGAGCAAATGGTGAAAGAAGAGGGATACATTGATATATATTTATATGAAGGGGAGCTTATATAAAACCCTCTTCCTAAAACTGTGTGATTGTCTGTCTTCCAATATGTTATATATTTGTATAGCTTTTGTGTTGGCTCCTTACTTTGTAGTGTATGAGGTGCTTTTCTTCTTGGGATACCGTCCTCAGCTCAAGAAAGAGTTGGATGTCATGGTCAAGGCTGACATTGCGAAATTCAGAGCCAGGAAAGCTCTTGCAAAGGAGAAGAAGTAACATTAAAATCTTCGGAAGTCATGAGTACAACGGCGCGGCCATTTATTCGACACAAGACAACATCTGTTCAGTAAACAACTGTAGCTTGTGATCAGATGAAGAGCAACAAAACATTCGGAATACGACCTGCCATTGCTGTACTAACTTGTTAGCCTATTACGAATAGCTATTAAAGGGTCTTTTTTTTGTTTTTACTTCATTCATTGAAGTGGTGGGCATTTTCTACTAATGGTGTTGTTGAAACATTCAAGATAATCGCGTATGATTTTGAATTTAATGGATAAAAGATGTCATTATGCTTGTCACGGGGTATGCACACTTGAGCATTTAACTTTCTTTAAACCATCACTTCCCTTTCCCATCCTTCTCTTTTTGTTACTTTTTTTCTCAACTCGTTACACACATTCACATTATATTTTTCTTAACTTTTAAAACACAAGTTTCTCTAACATGCGTCTTTCAACAGTAGCATTCTCATTGGCCTGCGCATTAGGTCTGGCTGCTGCTGCTCCCTTCGACTTTGCTCCTCCACCTGCAGTCATTGAGAGTTGTGGTGGTGAAACTGATCTGCTCACGATTGACTACGTCAACCTCACTCCTAATCCTCCTCTCAAGGGTCAAAACCTTACCATCGATGCAAAGGGATTCCTTACTGAGGATATTGTCCAGGGCGCTAAAATCGATGTCGTTGTCAAGTAAGTCTTTCTTATACACATTACATTCCATCACATTAAACCACATCACTTTTTTTTTTTTTTTTTTTTTTTTTTTTTAAAAAAAAAAAAAAAAGAAAGGGAGATAGAGAGATAGAGAGAGAAGCAGGAACAGGAACAGCAGCCATTTGGTTTATTTTTATTGTAAATCCAACAAGAAATAAGATGCTTGCACGAAAGAGCTAAAACTTTTACTGAGCCAAAAGTTTGGTATTTGCATACATACTGTTCATGCAGTCATTGCAGTATGGCTTTATTACAAGGCGCAGCTCATTGTATCTCTTTTCAAACCTGCAAAGAAAGGAAAATACATAACGTTGACTAAAAAACCGTCAAGCTTACGTGACGATGGAGGATTCTTTTCTTTTTAGGAAGTAAAAAGAAAAGGATAAAAAAAAAACTGACAGTATGAAGGACAGGGGAGACATTTATTAACAAAAACGTCATGAGGCCAAAATTACATACATCTCCCCTCAAACTCTTCTAAATCTTCATCTGGCGAAGCAGCCAACTATTGTATATCAACTCTATTTGTGCCATCTTGTTTCCATCTCTGATCTATAAGACGTTCTTGCCATAATAACAATTTTCGTCATTACAAACAAAACAAACAACCGACCACATCGCACCCTGGATGAAATCAGTAAACTTTAGCAGATGATAATGAAGGATACAAAGCAGCTACTCCCGCAATGATAGCATATATATATATATATATATATTCTTCTTCTTTGCTTGCATAACGAGGGATTCATTAACCTCAAAAGTTGATTGAAAATGACTGACCTTTGTTTTTGCGCTTTACACTTCTTCATTTTTTGATTAATAGAGTTGGCTTGATCAAACTGTTGACCCAGACATTTGATTTCTGCGAAGAGTCTGTCAAGATTGACATGCCATGCCCTATTGTCGCTGGCGACCAATATGTCCAACAGACTGTTGAGCTGCCCAAGGAAATTCCTCCCGTAAGTTTTCTAATTTGTTCTTTGCTAAAAACCACTTTAAATACTAAAATTAATTTCTTTTTTTATTTTTTTATTTTTTTGAAAAAAAAAAAAAAAAAGGGCAAATACACCGTTAACATTAAGGTCAGAAACCCAGACTCCGATGGCATGCCAGGCAAGCAGGTGACTTGCTTGATTGCCAAAGCTGTGTTCCTCCTTTAAAAAAAAATCCTCCCCTACCTCTCAACTCTTCTTTCGAACAAAGAATATAGTTCAGCAATATGCGCAACTCATCTGATTTATTGAAATAAATATATATTTGTACATTTCTTTCTAGTCTATTACCAACCTCTTCTCACAGCATTCAGCTAGATTCATGAAGCATTTGAAGTATTTTTATTAACTTGTTTGAATACAAAAAACAAAAATTAAGGATTAAATGCAGATGCACATATTGCGGTGCATAGTGTCTAGACAAGGACAAGCTCTAAGGTCCAGGTCCGTCGTGCCCAGAGTCGGACTGGTACTTTAACACTGGTGCTGGAGTCATCAATTTCGACTTGAATACCGTCCCACCAGCACTTTCTCTAATAGTTCATGGTAACAAATGATCAGCAACCTTTTTTTTTTTTTTTTTTTCTTGATTGTTTTACTTGTAGTACAACGCTGTGTTCATGTTGACTTACCGCTGGTTTCCGCCAAAACAGTAAGAGCTTTTGTGCAATGGCCATTTGAATCTGATTTTGTTCTTGTAAAGAAGGCCCTGAAACGGATGAAGTTGTCGCTCCTGCTGTGTTACCAGCATCATCACTATTGCTATTGCTATTGCTATTGCTATTACTCTGCTCACCATTCCGAGGCTCTTCATTCGCAGTATTGCTGTTACTGCTTCTCTTTGTCTGAGCATCCTCAGATTCTGTTAAAGGCATAGCAACCGTATCCTTCAATATATTCACTTCATTCGTGGCTGTAGACTCTTTGGACGCTGTCGCTGCTGCTGTTGCCGCTGCTGCTGGTAACATTGTTGCCGTTGTTGTTGATCCAGGAGCAGTCACTTGTAAATTCATTGACGGCGCCATAGATCCCACTGATAGTTGCGTTGTTGATGCTGTCGCTGATGGTGTGGTTAAAACTGAATTCGATGAGGATGGTGATGCTGATGCTGATAATTTTGTAGTAGTGGCAGTAGGTTGGGCCGTTGTTCTCAGCATGACCATGGCTACACTCACAACAGTGGTCCGCTTGGGTTCTAATCGTCGGTAACCCCATTCGCCATCGCGTTGAAAGCCTGATACGCAGAGCATATCCATGAGGTGTTGCTCTGCTTGATTTTTTTCCTTATTGATATTACGCTGTAGAGCCGTAAAGATCTTACGGTCCTCGAGTAATATTTTGCCACATTGTGTCTTGATCATGGCTGGTGGCGGAAGCGGCGGTAATGGTGGTGATGATAACGGCGACGACATCGAACTCCCATTCTTTAGTGACACAGACGGAAGAGCAGGTGATGACGTTGCCATTGTAACCGTGGCTGTACTAGCGGTAGTGGTGGTTGAAGATGATGGTACAAGTCCTGAAGCCTTTGGTTTTGATAGGGATGAGGACGATGCATTGCTCGTGCGCATAGGTTGAGGCAGCTCTTCTGTTGAAAGATGTCCGTCCTTTTTAGTAACTTCTCCTCCCCCTCCTCCTCCTCCTGCTGCTGCTGCTGGCGTTGTTGATGTTGTTGATGTTGTTGATGACTCATTATTCCTCCTCTGCGATGTTCGATTTGATGGTGGGATTGCAAAATAGTCAAGTTCTTCACGTAGGACAATGATGGCCTGTTTCGTCAGCAATGGATTCTGAGGCATTATCGATCCCAAGGGAATTGGCTCTGACGTATATCCAGCTGTTGTTCCATTTCCTGATCTACCATAACCAAGCCCATAGCCATAGTCACGACCATTATCATCCTGCTGTAACTGCTGCTGCTGTTGCTGTTGGTTCTGCATCAATTGTTGCTGCTGTTGCTGTAGTCGCTGACGTTGTAGCATCATCATCTGCTGTTGCTCCTGTACACGCTGCCTCCGTTGGGCCTCGCTCATCTTTTGAGCTTCTCGGTAAAATTCAAGAATATATGTCAAACAGACAGGATCAAAGTCAACTTGAATCACCTGTGGTTCTTCCTCTTCGACCTCATCTCCATCGTCATTATCTTCCTCATCCTCGTCATTGAGTTGGTCATCCTCAAATTGATTTTCGTCATTCAACTCTTCTTCATTGTCTCCTCTAGCTGCCTCTCCTCCATTACTGTTACCATTGCGGTTCTGTTCTCTGCCATTTCCGTTTTGGTACTCATCTTCCTCCTCCTCCCCCTCCTCCTCCTCATAATCGTCATAGCTATAATCGCTGTAATCACTATAGTCAGTGGTGTAGGTACTCTCGGACGGATAATGTCCATGTCCATAGCCGTATCCAGGTCCTACCCCAGTGGCTCTTGCTTTTGATGATAAGGGCTGTGGTCGAAGGATTAGACCATTAGGGAACATCACGATGAGGATGCTCTCAGGCAGACCGATAAGTGTCTCGCGCTCGATTTCGAACCGGGTACCTCTGACATCTAATATAACCTTTGAAGGGTATGCATATTGTTGTTTGCCTGGTGTGTAATACTGTGATGGTAATGGTGCTGGGGCTGGTGGTACGACTTGTGTAATAGGATTCGATGACGAAGAGAACTGTTGCTGTTGCTGTGAGACTTGGGTGATAGGAGAGCTTGAGGAGGACATTTTGCTATTTTGTATTTGTGTTGGAGGTGATTGCTCGTGAGACAATACAGTGGATACAATACGTTTGTTATTCACCTATTGCTGAAAAGGAGTAAAAAGTAAAGTGCAAACTAACAAGTTTTATTTAATTTTTCACAAAGATAGAAACAGGACACATGAACAAATGCATCCAAAGAAATGAAATGGAAGTTCAGCAAAGATGTCGAAAAAAATCAAAGTAACTGTGGTAAGATAAAAAAAAGTGAATTGGGACAGAACGCAGGGTATTCATATTCAATAGCACATCACATTAGCGCTCTCACGCTCTACTTGGGCTGTCAGGGTAAACTTCATATTCACACTAATAGAATAAAATTGGATATGATAGGATAGGAAAGGATAGGATAGGACAGGACAGAAAACCATGCCATGCATATTTGCATCCGTTTCCAGTTGGAAAACCCACACACTCTCTTTCTTATGTGCTATCTCTACTTTCAAGTCTTAAAGGCATAATAGAATTGAATGACAATGGTTCATCTTTTTTTTATCATTACCATTATTTTTTAATCTTCTACCGTTTTGTACTGGTCGCGTTACATCTCATCTTAAGCATTAGATTATTTGGGAGGCTATTAATGCAAAGGTGAAAAATAAAAAAGAACGGGTGAACAAAAAAGGGTAAAGCATAGGACTAAAGTAGGGGAAATGTTGGCATACAAGAATAGAGTGTATCTAGAAATGATAAATGGTCCATGATCCATGCAAGCAATGACACAACGATGCAAGATATTAAAAAACTAAATAAAACAAGCCCCATGCTGTTCGAATGTGTCATCCTGCAGACTTTTTCTTTTTACAGAAATGGCCCTGGAAAAGCGCAGGGGTTACGTGATCAGTAGCGCAGAGCTTTGACGTCCCAAATCGTCATAATAGGCATTCTCCCTTTCTTGGGCCTTCCGGTCTATACTCTCATCCATAAAACGACCATACCATATGGCTGTGGCGCCGAGTGATAACAAGGTTGTCTCCAACAGTTGCTATATCCACCAATGGATTGTTTTTTGTATCATCAAGATATGTGACCCATTGCCGATCCACTGGACGTGTCTCATCGGGCTCCTTTGTACCAAGCTCCTCCATATCAAAGATAGTCAGTCCCATTTGGGATGTCAATGCAATTCGGAAATGATTCCAAACGACATATGCAATAAAGATAATCGGCTTGCCCTCCTCGGCCTTATTTGCCTCCAATTGTTCAGGCAAACAGTGTCCAATCGTTTGTCTCTCGTATCGTTTCGAATCGGCGTACAATGTATTCTCTGGTGACTCGGAAGGTTTATATCGCACTTTCCTCTCGTTCGGTGGAATAAACGGAGGTGCTTCCAAATCACGCTCCGAAGTTCCGAGTACAGTACTATCGACGTGCCAACAGCAAGATTCCCATTCATTTTCTGCACCATCTGCCAAAATGACAATCCTAAATGAGCATCGCTGTGTAGGATCCTTCCGGGGTGGAATAGGCACTTCGACTGCCCAACTGACCTGGACTCCCCAATAATACAAATCAGGATGTTGAGCAAAGGCTGCGGCTGCAGGGTCAACGTTGGGGTTAGGATTAGAGTTAGGATTAGGATTGGCATTGAGGTTGGGCGCTGGTGCGGGTGTTATAACTGGGGCACCGACTGAAGTGGGGAGAGGAGCAGTAGAAGTGTTGGAAGTCATTTCGTTGGATGGGGCTGGAGCAACTGTAGTGTTTGCAATTATAGAGGCAGTGCTTGCGCTGGCATTGGCATTGGCATTGGCATTGGCATTGATATTGGCATTGGTAGCATCGGCTGTATCGGCTGTATTGGCTGAGGAAGCATTAGAGTCAGAAGAGTCCTTGGGTCTATCCTGAAAAGACTTCGGCCTATGGTCGACGGGCATATGCAACTGAGCAACCTGCTTTTCATTCACCCAGTCCCATATGAGGCCCCGCCCGTATCTATTAAACAACACAAGCATGCGCTCATAATTACTATGATAAGGAAACAGAGTCATGCAGCTGACGCCTCGACTGATTTGCTTTTTAGACCAAGATGCGATACTCTTGGCTTTATCTTCGAGGAAGAGCACTTTCTTAATAACCATAGCTGCTGAAGTATCTGAATCCTGAATTCCGAAAATAGCGATGCAGTCAAGCATCTCTTGGCTCTCTCGTGAGCCACCAGACGACGTTGCTGCTGTTGTTGTTGCTATTGCCGTTGATGACGATGAAGATGGCGAAGATGATGGCAAAGATGATGAAGATCCTCCTGTAGGCGGTGCGGTGAATAACTTTGCTATTCTACCGCGGAGTACATTGTCATTTCTACTTGGAAAAATAGTCTCTACTCGACCCTTGCGTGGAATACTTGGTACCCGTGCTGGGGTTTCCTGTTCGGTTTGTCGAAACCACGGGTTAGATTCCTTGTCCATGAATGCACCATTTGAATCTGAATTAGGCCGTCTAGGGAAAGCCGGAATCCAGATCTCGATAACCTTCAAAAGACGCCAGATGTCCAAAACATATGATTCTTCTGCTGTATCCTGAGGATGACGTTGTGAGTTCTCTCCAAAGGCTACGATCATCACCACTCTCATTTTCCTATTGATGATTTGCTCGGGATAGTGTCTAATGTCCATGATTTGGCAGACCGTAACCTGGTCGCGAGGTAGATCATGATACCATTTATTCCCCTGATCTAAGTCTCCTGTCCAGTATTCGCTCCCACAGACAGCAATCGGGTTGGTGAGATCAGGCAGCTGGTATAGAAGGATTTGGCGATCTTGAAGGCAGTCCCCACCTGTGGCTGTAGGTCGCATGAGCATCGAAGCTGAAATGATGCTGTCGGATGGATAGTGGATGTTATATACAGGGGAACCAATGCGTCTCCATTTGCCATTTGTGGTGGTCGTATCTGAGTGAAAAACTTGTGCCTCATTAAGCAACACTCTCAGACGACCTACTCTTGTTTGGACATTATTTGATACTTCTGACATTGATGCAGCTCCGGTTACTTCAGAGGCCACTGTTTCTGATGGTGCTATTACATATACTGCATCAGAATTTGGTATAGTGTGTTCGAAAGCTGAGTCAACATCCATAGCAATATTGGCATTGGCACTGGCATCAGCATCGGCATTGGCACTGGCATCAGCATCGGCATTGACATCGGCATCGGAAGATTGTTGCAGCGACAATGACGTTAGTGGTGGTGGTAATGGCGGTAGATCAGCCGTCAATCTTTTGAATAGGTACGAGTCTTTGACTGTGATCTTTTTCCACATGGATGTACCATCTCTGTCGGGTTCATCTTCAAGTTTACAACCACGAGACCAGGAAGGGTGATGGAAGCAAAATAGGTCAAACCAATCACGGGAGGAAGTGATGCTGAAAAGGAAAGAGCATATATGACTGAAGCGCATCCGTTCAAGTGGGTCGCGGATCCATAGAGCAATAATCTTGAGGATCTCTGGAGGACATTGCAGTAGCTTGGACTGAATCTGGTTATGCTGCTGCCTGGCCCTAGCCCTAGCAGTAGCTAGCTGAGCAGAATCGGCGGACGATGCTTCCATAAGCTAAAACGTCGAAGCGGTAATGAATGTATCGTGGAAGCCTTTCTCAGGAAGTACTTTAATAGCCTCTTTGCTCTCTTAGTTCGAGCAGAGAAGCCAATGTATGATTTATGCCGCAATTGAAATTATGAAATGTGATGGATGAAAATCGCCAAATTGTGATGATAATAATTTTCCTCATTCTTATTGCTTAATGGCGAAGCAAAAAAAAAAAAATTTTAGGTTCATGACTGCGTGGTATAAATTTACCGCGCGTTTTCACTGCAGGGGCTTTTGAAAAAAAAAAATAAAAAAAAAAAAAAAAGAAAAAAAAAAAAAAAGAAAAGAAAAAAAAAGAAAAAATAAAAAAAAAGACTTTATCAATTTATGCTTCGCCTTATTCATGACATCAACATGATGGATATGGAGCTATCAACTTTCGGTGACATCTCCTGACCCCTATTCATTCGCGTTCAGGTAGGGATTGCATTCATGCAAGAATAAAAGTTTTGACGCGTTTAAAGTTATTTCTGGCTTTCCAGATATGATAATCTTTTTCATCTGTCGTTATCGTGAAAAAAGAAGTGGTTACACGGCAAACATATAAAAGCTCCAAACTGGGTCTCCAGGCTTCGCCAATATTTAATTGATCACATCATTTTTTGTGCACAGAGCAACCAATAAATGCAACATTGCAATATTTCAGCAGAGCCTGGACAATTCTTTCCTGATGTCAAGGCGAAGTCCAATGAGTTCTTCTTAGTAATACGCTGCTTTAAAACAATTGGCAGTGAGTGGCAAGTAGACGACCTAAGCATTATGGTTTTTTGGCTCAGCACCCATTCTTTTAACTTTATTCTCGGGTAAATCTCAATATTTCATGGATGTTTCTCCGCATTTTGGGAAGTGCTGTAAGAAATCAGGCCTTCTAGACATCTCATGTTCATAATTGAAAATCAGTGCGTTTCCTTTAGATCGCCTGTCGAAGCAATTCATTCTGCCAAAGTTTATTCATGGCTAACTCACTATTATTCTCAAATTTGGTGTCAGTAGAGCTCTCACGCGTAGGGCTCTTTATGCTTAGTAAGATCTTATCCAGCTACCAAGTATGTATATATTCATACAAGCATGTCTGAAGTGATTAGCATTATTAAGTGGTAATATGAATGGGTTAATATTCTATCCCGAATATACATCGCGTTGGCCATGGTAAAGTCAGGTCATATTGGGCATTTGTCCTTGTATTGACAATTTGACCATTAATTTACTCAAGTGAACCTGCCTGCAGTGCGTAAATCAAGAGCGAGCTGTCGCTGATTTCATGATCAAGCAAGCTAAGAAGTATAATAACACTGGGTATACTACATGATCCGACAGCCTTGAAAAGATGATTATAATTGCGATGTTAGTCTCAGGAGTAGTCTTATCCAAAGCTGTCCCAGGATGCTGTGATAATTCAAACTTTTTTTCCAACTGACTGGGAAGCAAGCTCCACTCTACAGAAGTCGTCGTAAGTCTTCTTCCCCAGTTACTATACATATATGGCATATATGGCATTGGCAGGCTCCCTTGCCGTTTGGAGCAAAAGAAGAAATATTCCGGAAGAGAGTCTCATGATGGTGATCACCTAACAAGAGGCTGAGACGGAGGTGAGGTCCCACATTGTAGTGTTCTTATTGAAGATGAAGCGATGTAAGAGAAAGCCAACACTTTTAAGGGGTGATCTATGTCTGGCTCGTAGTTGATCCATGATGGCAACCCTGGAATTTATAACTTCAAGTCAAATGACGCGCTTAAAGCATCCGGTCGATGGTCTTGATGTCTTGAAGGCTTTGCTGACGTTTAGATCACATCTCTGATGAACCAGCATGAGTATGCTCTGACTATGTTCTGCTCTACTGTCCTCCGTCTATTAGGTGCCTTGGACTGAGTCTTTTCGGCTATCGTACTATTCATGAGCGTGCCCTTCTATGGCATTGTCTCTAAACTCAAATCTCGCTTCTGCACAGGCGCAAATGAACAGCTGGACCCATACTCAGGATAATATCTCGATCTAAATTCACAAGAGTTTAGTCAATAATACAAAGGTCCCCAGCGCTTAGTTAGACGCCTATTCATGGTATAGGCTTGTCGTAGTTGCATTAATGTTCGTGAATATTAATAGCATGCTCGGGCATTAGTTTTTTTTTTTTTTTTTTTTATTGCAAAACTGTAAAGGACGACGTTTTCGCAAACTCTTCGTTTTCCTGTTTGGAATAGTCTGTTGATGAAGGTTTTTTGCGACATAATAAATCACAGCCTTCTGTAATATGAATCATATCCTCCTTGGCTTGAAGTAAAGCGGCTATGAAGGCGCTATCCCGAAGTGGGGTGTGACAGATATGTAGCCAACCAAGCTCCGTAATTCTTACATGATACTATTGATTGCCATTTCTGATGATTGATATAGCGATCGACTCTTACTGTAAAATATCGAAGATTAGGGACCATCCGACCCCTTGTGCGAGGTGAGCAAATGCAATAAATGGCGGAGGTTTTAGAGAGCTAATGAAAGTCATAATACAAAGAAAATTCATAGGAGCAAAGTGAAAGAGAAATATATGACCGACGCTAAATACTGGAAATTGCTGTTTAGTACGCGTATTTCACTAAACATTACAATTCAAATAATAATAATAAAATAATAATTGATTAAAATTCAACACGCTAAATAAGAGCATCTTTTATGCGTGAGAATAACTCGAGCACGCCCTGGCACGGATAACGAATGGGAACACGTGTATATTAAGACAAGCTCCCTTTTTTGAACAGACAACTAAAGGCTGGTCAATGAGATTTTTTTTCCCTCACTATATAATGTTCTATTTGTCTACTGCACCAACGAAGTTTAATCCTTTTGGGTATATTGTACAAGGTACCTGTTAAATAGACGTGAAGGCCATTGGACAAGAAAATCATATTCTTTCTTTTTTTTTGTTGTTGTTCGTATGCATGCTTAAAAAAGGGTCCTAATGACGCTCACTCTGCATCCATGTGCACAGACACAATTCTTGACAGCGTTTTATTGTATCTATTGTCACCTGACGTGGCGATGTTCTCTCTAATTCCTTGTTGCCAGAATTAGCCTCGATTCGAGTCATAATTGACACAAAATATGATGAATAAACAGTTTAAGCCTCAATACCTTGATTTTGATCAACATGGGTCTGGGTCTTATACAGCGATACGTATTCCCGCTTCTTACTTTCCTTTTCTTTTGCTCCCCCTTTTTTTCCGCCTCTGGAAAGAGTATCTTTTGTTAGTTTATTTTTAGTTCATGCAACAGTTGCTGCTCGCATTTTTTTTTTTCTTTTTTTTTTTTTTTTTTTTTGCTTTTTCTCAAGAAGAGGAAAGGATGAAAAACGTTAATCGGTCACTTCTAACTCAATGTACAGCAGAGTAGGACCATAGAAGAGACCACAAAACTGTAAAGAAAGCGGTTAATGCTCAGGTGGAGGTGGGACAGCGTGATAGTTGCTCGAACCATTCGATGAAGGCATTTCTGAGCCGGGTGGTGGGGGTTGTGAGCCGGTAATATTAGCAGGTAGCGCTGGTGATACTGAAGCTGATACCTCTGCTGCTGGGGCTGATGTGTCGGCAGGGGGAGCATACGCATATCCATAATAAGCCAGTGCAGGATCAGAGGAAATAGAGGCTCCTGCCGAAGAGGTTACGGCCGCTTGGCTTTGGTCGACGCCTGGGGCTGCATACGCCTGCTGATAATACTGACCATACTGTTGATAATACTGCTGCTGGTAATAATATTGGTTATACGCTTCATACTGGTCATATGAATATCCTTGTAGAGATGGATCCGCTGCTGCTGATGTCCCTGGAGCTACCGCGGAAGTGGTGGTTGCAGCTACTGTTGGATCAGTTGATAGAGCAGGTGGCGGTCCCGGTGGCAAAGGTGGATTAGCAGGCGGAATAGAGGCACCAGGAGGTGGAGGCGGAGGTGCTTGGTAGTGTTGATTATAGTTATATTGATGATGAGGCTGTTGATGTTGGTATCGATTATGTCCGCCTTGGTATCGCTGATGGTGTCCACCATTGTAGTAACCCTAAAACATACAAATATCAGTTAAATTCCATTAAAAAAAAAAAAAAAAAAAAAAAAATGCAGTTCATGATAAATAAAGCGCTTACAGTTCGTCCACCATAGTGCCTGTTGTGGCTATAAGATTCTTGGTGCATTGGAGGCCGACTCTTCATCCTCTCATGCTCGGCCTTAACAGTCTCGACAAGGTTTTTACATAGACTTTCGGCCTCATCCACATCTTCCTGACTGCTTCCTCTAAAATTTGAACAGACATTAAAGAAAAAAAAAAAAAAAAAAAAAAAAAAAAAACAGTATTAGAGCACAATAGTCAATGTTCCAAAAAAAAAAAAAAAAAAAAAAACTCAATTCATGCAGATAAATCAATCTTACAAAATGTTGATATAAAGCGGCTCATCTGATTCACGGCCAGTTTCAGCCTCCAGATATCCAGATCCATAGCCCTTCAGCTGGACACGCGTCCTAGTCTTATTTTGTACATGTTTGACATATTCACCCTATATATATTAAGTAAACTGATTAGTATTTGTTCCTTAATTCAGGGTAATGGAAATTGCTCATTTTTGTCAAAAGCTGAAACTAAACTTACTCCTGGGCCTACAATCTTTGCTCTAACATTAAACATTCTATCCGATTCTATCCCAATAGCGACACGAGCATGGAACGTTTGATGTCTCTATCAGAGGAAAAAAAAGAAAAAAAAAAATCAAAGTATATTCAATTAGGAGCTCAACCAGCAACACACCCATGATATGGCTGTTGTTATAATCAGCTGAAGACTTACTGGTGGCCCTCCATGGAATCTAGGGCCTGGTTGGAATGATTCTCGCTGAGAGGGTAATGGGGGGGGATTTTGTGCTTCCTCGATGAGCTCGTTGATTTTACGAACTGCCGCATCCAAGATCTCCTGGCTAACCGCCGTAACATGCAGATAGAGTGGTGGATCCTTTTCAGTCGCCATACTGCGATCTGCGTAGTATATTCCACGAGTAGTAACATCAGCTCCTGTATCACGTTGAAGCTGGAGAAAAATTAAGTGGACAAGTGAAAAAGAGGGTCTATAAGTGTCTTTGTATTCGCCTCTTAATGAATTGAGCATTTAAACCATAAGATAGTCCAGCATACTTGAGTTTGCACTGAGCCTTTTGTAAGTAAAGAGCGATGTTTGACATCATTAATATCAATGTCAGTAACAAATTCATCTCTCTTCTTGAACTCTTTAGCAGGTCCTCCATTATTGACATTTCCACTGTTAGATGCAGGTGTCTCAGAAGCAGAAAAGGCTGTCTGAACTTCATCTATCTTTGACGCTGTTTGGTTAGAATCAGCATTGGTTGATGAAGCCTTTCCTTGTGCTACCAACTTGGCGCTTATCCTTGCCGCCTCAATAGCTGCTGCTGCTGCTGCATCAATACTTGACTGCTCTGTTGGAGCATCCTGAGCTGCTGTAGTGAGACCTGTGGCAGGGGTTTGGGCTGTGTCCTTTAAGGCAATGTCAGCCTCTGACACAGTCTTTTTGACTGCAGTATCCGGTTCACCTTGGCTATCCCACTTTCGTTTCCTCCTAGAATATTCAGGACAAAAAAGATATTTAGATCAAACTTCTCTTTTGATCAATCCTGCTCAAACTTAGAATGTAAACAATAAAACGGTTTCTGTTATTTCGATCCAAAGTCCCAACATTGTTCATGTGAGACATACCTTGGCTCATCAGACATGATTGTACAGTAGCGCGGGGTGATGGAGTGATGTAGACCAACATCGCTTTGATCTCATTTTTGAAGTCCACCTCAAAACTATATCACATGATTAAATATATGTTCATGCTACTCCGAGATCCGCATTTTGAAACGGTTGTTGATAAGGAACTGAATTGTCTAACAGAAAGGCTTCATCCTCACGATGTACAGGCCAAACTATGACCTTCATGTTGCCATATTTGAGAGAACCTTTCAAGTTATGAATGACTTTCTAAGGGCTCATAGTCATAAGGCGGCGTGCCAAAATGTGTACCTTGAAATGACTGACTTGGATTTGAAGTTTTCCTGTTTAGACAACATTGAACAGATTGTGCCTGATCAATGTTTGCCACTTCAATTGAGAATGATATTTGAAATATAAGCGTATACTTCGGTGGTCTGCTTTATGGCATGACAAACATCTTCTGTTAATTAATTCGATTTTCAAACACTTTTAAATTTTGGCTTGCACTACAAATTACCAAAAGGATTTTTATTGCGTATATTCGTGTATAACCCTTTGTCCTAATGTATTATATGCTTTCACTTTGTCTTAGCATAAGGATATTCTATTAAAAGTAATAATAATAGTGCAGACAAAGTACACCGATTAGTCGAACTGAAATACCTGCAGTTGTTTCTCGTGATCCTTTCAGATGATGAACACATACCAAAATCTGGCTGGTCCTTGCGTTTCCACAATTTCTTCTTGCGCTTCGTAATGACATGCTCTGCAAAAGCCTCTTCGCAGTATTGCCTCTTAAATTTTCGGACAAATGATGGATCCCTTGAAGGTAGAAGTACGAACACGACCCAAACATTTCATTATTAATCAACTAAAACGTCATGGGTGGTTGCGATTAGAACACCAATGACGCCCTGAATCATATTGACACTTACCAAAGTTCCGAAGCGACACCCAGATCTTTGCAGCATCGCATCAGTGCATTTGATTTGCACCCTTCTGTCGCTGTAGCAATATTGTTAGGGTCAAAATAATCCTGTTCACCACGAGCCGTACTAACGAAACGACCTCTACAAATCAGAGCGTATTCTCGTGAAATGGTCTTAGGAGAGATAGAATGTTCACTTCTAGGTGCCAATCCCCATCCTAAAACGCAACAACAAAGCGAGATAACAAAATGGGTTAGAATGTGAAGTCTTATGCAAACCATTACTACACAGGATTAACCGTCAGTTGTACCGTACCTCCAGGCCCAAATGCCTTGTTCAAAATTCTACGATATTTAATTTCTGGAAGGTAAAGAATTCCGTCTAGTGTTTGAAGAAGAAATAGTTCGCATTACTAAGATTTCTTCCCATCAACATACATGTCTTTAGCTTCTGAATATCGTAGGGCTAAAAAACTAAAAGAAAAAAAATAAAATAAAATAAATAAATAAATACCTGGCTTGATTTCGATATCTTCAGGATCCAACGGCTTCATTAACAACTCAGCAACTTCCTTTTCAAAGGGTTCAACGGCCATTCCTGCAAAAGAGCGTGTCCAATCCTGAGTCTCATCTACTCCGCGCTCTCCGATGGCGGCGTCCTTTAACACTGGACCATTACTGGAAAAGGCCTCGTTAGCTACTTGACTATTTCCGCCACCAACTTTAGAGGAGCCATTGATCTCTGAATCATCCTCTTCCGAATATCCAGATCCAGAGGATGTTGCAAATGAAGATGGAGTTGTGACAGCTTTAGGAACTGGGGATGAAGAAAAAGCTGTTGCACCAGTAGTAGAAAAGTCGCTCTTGCTGTAGGCTGAAGCTGGCTTCGAGGAAGAGACACGGCTGGCAGAGTTGGCTTTGGAGGCATAGGTGGATGCTGATTTCGCAGCAGTTGCAGCGGTCCCCGTAGATTTAATTATAACAGTCTTTGTAGCCATTGTCCGCATGCTTAATAAGGGCTATATATTGGTTAGGCAAGCAACCAGCCGCGACCACCAAAAACGTTTTAGTCACGGGCTATTCAGTGATTCTGTACATCAATTCTTGAATTGTAACTTTCTTTTTTTTTTTTTCTGCATTCAACTAAGGTTTCCATCAGCTGGCTTACTTGCGAGAGCAGCATGGCTCTGCTGGATGCAATTGAAGGCAACATTTAGTACGCTTGGCAATACTTTATCAGTTATGGACAGGTGGCGACAAAAGGTGAGAAAGACAACCCATACTTATTTACTTATTTGATTTTATGTGAGAGAAGTCACAAGAAATTCGTGACTGTTACGTTTCGTACTCCACAGATAAATGTCGGCATACAAATAGGACCATTTGGACGCAACTATATTAGCCTTATCCCTTCGTCCGTAACAAGGACAAATTTGCCATTATAAATGGGCTTAAAATCCAGCAATCCATGGGCATTGTCTTGAAATTTTATTTCGATGTCGAAATAAATGACTAAAAACTAAATTGTCATGGAGCTATCCTGGCTTCTTTATTTGTGCAAATAAAAAACTCATGAAGACTTTCGCATGACCCTAGCATCCGCTTGGGAGTCCATTGTATCGTTTATTTATTGACTAGTGTAATAGCAGTGATAATATTCGCCGCCGTAGTCTCGACTTGAAAGGAGGGCAATCTGAGTTGATTCATTCTACCGCACCATGGAGCTTGCTCGGCAAGACTTGATTTGTCACATCATTTGCTTCCTCGTCTTCTTGTGTTCCCTTGATATATCTGGGTTGGTAAACATTGCTAATAGAGTTTGTTGGGCCTGTTGAAACCAGAGGAAACCACAGCAACATATCATACCCAAGGTGATACAAATATCTCTGTTGGAGTGAGTGGTGAACTGTGTGTGGTTCAGATGTAGTGGACATAAACGGCGAAAGAATGCATCGAAAGGATGTGAGCGAAGAAGGGGTTGGTATGCCTGTTCAAGTCCTTGGCAAGAAAGCATGAGTAGCAGTTGTGATCAATGGTATAGTTTCTAAACCCTATCTTCCACGTACAGCATTGCATTATTGTTGTTTTCAGACCTGGCACCAATCATGCGAGGTGTTTCTTTTTCTGAGGGTTCCTTGTGTTAAACGGCCAGACAGAAAGCTTAGAAGAGATACAGACACAACGATGAAAAAAATGTATGTGAGCAAACAGATGCTGTGTTTATTTGTTGTCTGCACATGCCTTCTTTCATCGCGGGCTTTTTTTTTCCTTTTTTGTTCGTCATTCACTGTGTGCACGAATAAGCAGCTGAAGCATCTCTTTGGTTTCTGTACATGTATAAACACATTTTACATCGCGGCGTCTTTTTTTGTTCAAAACATAAGCGTTTTCCATTGGTGCCTCCAAACAAACTTTATTTTGGTGGCCACTCCACAATCATCCCATGGTTATAACAATCTCTAGGAAAGGATCAAACGCGTCGGTATTCTGTATTTCTAGATGCATATGTTTTGGCGATTGGTATCAACTATCAAATTCACACATACACACACCAAACGACCGCCAAAAACCACCACTCTCGCTTCTGCTCTCCCTCCATCCACAAGGCGCTGCGCAATATCACCATTAACAAGGCATCGTCCAGTAAGAAAGGGTGCTTAGATAGCTTTTACTCCAAGCAATAAGCGCATGCAACTACATCACTCCTATCTCCGCCATTGATGTCGGAATCTGAGAGTCAACCTTCCCCACCGTAGACGGAAGTTTGGGGTTTACGATGTAGACAACGCTATCCAAGCACTAAGACTGCCATCACACGCGCATCTGGTGTTATTCTGTACCATCGCAGGTAATGACTACTTAAGGAACCTCGAGACGTTAGGCCCGGTTAATAATCTTCGATTAATTCGAAAGGTTGCGTGGAACGAGAACTACAATAAAATGCTTCGGGACTACCTAAGGAAAGCTAGTAAGGTGTTGGGAAGGAACGCAGCCTCTGAAGAAGGCCGTTTCAGAGTAGCTCTCCGCATTTTTACTTCCGGCCATCAAACGTCGGCCCAAGCGTTACCATCGAACAATGAGTTCGATAACTTCAAGCAGCTTCTACTCAATGGAAAGGATCTTCGCCATAGAATGGCTCAGCAAAGGCGAACGCAGCGCAGCAGAACGTAAGAAAGCTCAAGCTATAGTTTTGACCTCGAAACCAAACGTCCCCAATACTAATCGTTAGTCCCTTTCTTGGATAATGTAGAGACACACCATCATTCTATATAGCGAAAGGGTCACATAGGAACCAGTTCCGGCCCATCTTTTCTGACAAGGCGAGCATATTGAATGGGTGCACAGTTGATATCAGTAACTGCCGTCAGAACGATAGACCGGGCCTTAAGCATCCACCACGTCGGAAAAAGGCAAAAAAGAAGCAACAGAAAAAACAAAAGCGGAAGCACAAAGGCAAGAAGCCCCTCAGGGCTAAAAAAGAAGGTGCACCAATTAGGAACTTGAAGGATGCTACGAAGGTTGATCACAGCTACAGCAGTAAGCACCCTATCAAGGCCTTAACAATTGGATCCCTTAAGGCCTCCATGGCAAGGAAAGGCGGACTGGACGCAGATGAAAAGGATAGTATTGCAAACCAGATCCGAGGGGCAGTTGTTGTCCTCAACCGACTACGCCGCTATGCATACTGGGCGACTGCCTTGGACATTGAGAGGATCATGCGGTTACCAGGGGCAGCAAGGTCGAGGAAAAAGGCACTGGACGAGGTCTTGGATAGCAATGACTATTCCTTCCGTCTCGCCACCCTTCTTTTAAGTGGTCAAGGTGGCCCCAATTCAGCTTACGCGAGGGCAAAAAAACAAGGAAAGGCGGTAGAAACGCCCCATTACCTCCTCGCTTATGAACATTTCAAGGCCACCACTGAACTTTCCCCAATAAAGGAAATAGACATCACATTGGGGACGTGCAAGGCTTTGATCCCAAAAAGATCTCATTTCCAAGAGCGTCAGAGCTACTAATGGGCCAAGTACAGACATCATTAAAGCAGCACTACAGGAACCCAATGGTATAGCTTGTGTAGGGTATTTTCATGTATATTCTGCAATTAAATTCTCTTTATTCAGACTCTTTTTTTTTTTTTTTTTTTTTTTTTCTAGTTTGATGTCGAGAAAACAAACGAAGATATGAGCGACATTGAGTTTTTTTTGCGGGAGAACAAAAAAGTGAAAAAATACTCAGACTTTCCTACGTCCTCCTGGTCACCCGGGTATGTGTATCTGTCTGAACACGCCCTAGTTGACATCCTCTGGGCGAACGAAGATACCAAGCAGCTACTGGAGCGTATTCTGCCTCTCGACAATCCTTCCAAGACTGCAATGTTTGAGTGTGTACAGGGAACAAAAGGGGTTTTGATTCAGGCTCTCTTTTGTGACATTGGAGGCGATCGCATGGTTCTTGGATATCGAGACAAAGTATCCCTGCAGTCACAGGACAAAGAGCTAACTCGGTTCAAACTCAAAGGGACGATTTCTACCAACGGTCTAGTTCTGAATCTACTTGCCTATGACACAACCCAGACGAAGAGACAGCAGCAGTCTGACGTAGATGAAGAAGACCCCAGCCAAGAACTGGAGCTTTCTCAGGGATTTCTCAACACGACGTGTTCAAAGGCAGCCGGTGAAGACCTGACAGATGAAGACTATGCAAACATAAACTGGAAGAGCTCACATTCAACAAACCAGGGCGGTACCATCCGCAAACAGCACAACTATCGTCGGATGCGATCCTGGTATTGTTAACGCCCTTACGTTTTCCTCCCTGGATCCTCACAACTCTAACTTGCGGCAAACAGTAAAGGTGAGAAGCAGGTTCTTGTACCTCACCGTCCTCCGCTTCCATCACCTGTTGAACAAAAGGAAGCGTGAAAAAGGAATGATTGAGGTTGAGAGCGCCATCCCTGTGTTTGGAAGGGATACGTACAATGAGTACTTTCAATGGATGAACGAGGAGTCCCAGACACAGATAGGATCAAAGAATTTGGATGTGCTTCAAGAGTTCTACGAGCCCAGATGGTGCCTGAAAAAAAAAATGGGACCTACGAAAGGCTCAACGAGCTACGTTCGATTACGCGGTACAGCGAGTGTTGAAGATGCTCGGGGAAAAAGGAGTGCTTGTCGTCGGCCTAGGGTCCTTTGAAAGTAGTAAAGGAGTTCCCAGCAAGCACATAGCGACTGCCGCCTCCCTTGCAATGTACTGACCAATAATTGGGATAGAATCGAAGTGCATACTCTTAAATGAAGAGAAAAAAGTATTTTAACGCGATTTGCACATGGGTATCTTTATTGAGAACCATTCTCGGCTGGTACACTTGTATAGCAAGAACTGATGGCTGAAAGCAACTTGTGCATCACCCCTAATATGCGTGTTCTCGAAGTGCAACATTTTTGGATACTGACCTGCTCTGTAGAAACAGGTGTCCTATTGGCATCCCACTTCATATGCATGGCTCCTTTGACTCATCACGTCATATACGGCTCTATAGGAGACTTCCAGGGCTGCATGCAAAGACTACGTTGTGCTGCTGAAACTCAGAACAGCTGCCTGTCAATAGTGGCTCTTGCTAGACAGCGGTAGTCTCCAAAATATTACTGTATTAGTAAACACAAGGTTTAATTGAACTTTTTTGAATGTAGATGCTGCATTTTTAGAACAAAAGCATCCTCTCAATGTCACTGCAGGATAAGTGCATTCTACTGTCATGTTTAAAGCCAAAAGGGATCAGCGCTGGCGTTGATCTTTTGGTTGACTCGACTTTTGCTGTTTTTCAAAGATTGTACCCAAAGAACACCCAAAGAACAAGTATTATGCGTGTTTCGGTAATAAATACCAAATGACATTGTTCGTGGTGTATATCATTTTGACCAAAATCAGTACAAAGATGAGGCTCATTTTTATATTTTACACATGTGGATTGTGCAAGTAGCAACATAACCTTTATCAGATTCAAATAATTGAATAGTAATGAGGCAAAGAGCACGGTATTATCAACAAGGAAAAAAAGAGGGAGAGAGAGAAGAGATGAGGATATGGATGTATAAACTAATAGAAGGAAATGGGGAAGCGAGTGTAAAAGAAAGATAAGCGGAAGATTATAGCGATGAAGAGAGCAAGAGTAGAAGGGTTGGGAGCTTTCTTTGTGTTGCAGTTTCCTCTTTTTTTTTTTTAAAAAAAAAAAAAAAAAAAAAAAAAAAAAGACATCTACAAAGAAGTCCTAGGCTTGTTATCTGACGGATTAGCGAGCACAACACATATAACAGCAAGGTAATGGTGGTGATACTGTGAAGTATCTTGTGAGGCAATCTTTCTCACGATCTTTTTTTTTAAGGTGGCAGCTCCACTCTTTTCTGCCTTGTCAAAACAAACAAGCAAACTCTATTAAAACTATATTGCAAGAGAGCATAGACCGGCGATATTGATACTTATAGATGTTTCAAAGTACCACGAGTGTCAAGGATTGCCAGCACCTAAGAAGCACTTTTCATACGAAAAAAGATCCCACAATGACTCAATACCGTTAAGAGTTGATGACAAAAGAAAAGAAAACAAGTCACTATGCTCTGAGAATGTATAAAAGGACCTCTCTTTCATCTCTATCTAGACTCCCGCTCCGCGCTACCAGCAGGGGCCTTAGGATCACTATTCAGTATGTTTCCCTAAATTGATTGGCAAGACTCACTAGTCCGAGTAGCGTTATGATAGGTAGAGAGTGGTGTTGAAAACTTGCTGAAATCTGCTTTGAAGGGGCACAGGGGTAGAGCTTCTCTCGGATGCTGCAGCTACCAGTTGGGGCGCGCAACCAGCTCACCTCCTGGCGGTGCGCCCTGGGCTGCCTGCTCCAGATAATTCCCCAGACAGTAATGAGTTGGTTTTCTTTTTGTATAGATTCAACATAAAAAAATTAGTGTTGTTTCGGTTTGCCACCAAATACATCTATTCTGCTCAGGTGACCCGATTAATGAGCCTGGAACGTGCCCTTAAACAAACATGGTGCTTCAATCTTCTTACAAGAGAAGGTAGGGTGACAAGTCTCATAATCCATCGGATCCTTTTCATTCCTTAAATTCTGCAAAGAGGATTCATTGAGCCATGAGATTATAGGCTAAGTGTGCTTTCATTTTGTTCACCTTCCCTCAAAAAAAGTCTGTTCTTTGTAGTCTTTTCCTTGCCTACTGCCTAATATTGCAACTAGCAGCTATGAAGCGAGCTGTAGAGGCAGAAGACAGCCAAACTAGTAGCAAAAAGGTCCCCCGGATCGAGCAAGCCGCTTCAGATGATGATGCGCCTGTGGCCACTGTTTCTAGTGTAGCGACCAATGATGTTCATCAAAATACCAGTAATAGCTCTGGATCGTCAGCGGTAACTTATCAATGGCCTATACCACAATCACTATATCAGCCATACCAACCATATCAACCATATCAACCATATCAACCATATTCAACATATTCAGACTCACAATGTCCTTTATACTATGATCCAAGCTGTGTGACGTACTTTGCATCATATCCATCATTTGGTCTTGGAGACAATCCAAATCGACCGCAACTATCTGAGACTGAAAAAAATCCCCTTCCACCTACTACCACACCTCTCCCACTCCGCACCATCTACCTCGGCAAAATCCCTGAGGAATCCACTCTCCATGAGGTCTTGGACCTGATCCGAACAGGCAATTTAGAAAATGCAAAATTGATTCCTGAAAAGCACTGTGCCTTCATCACATTTATTGAAGCGGATGCGGCTCAAGTATTTCATCGTAAGGCCTCTTTCAAAACACCATTACGACTCAAAGGTCGAGAGCTCAAAGTTGGCTGGGGGACCCCATCGATATTGAGTCCGAACATTCAAAAGGCTGTTCAAAATGAAGGAGCCACTCGAAATGTATTTATCGGCCGATTGGACTCAAGTTTTACAGAAGAAATCATCCACAAGGATTTGTTGACCTTTGGTGCGGTAGAAGAAGTTAAGATTGTGCGCGAGAAAAACATTGCTTTCGCGCACTTTACTCACATCAATAATGCTATCAAGGCTGTCACCCAGTTACCACTTCAATCACGGTACGCTGGAAAGGAAATTAGTTATGGCAGAGATCGATGTGCAAAATTCGCGACACCTATACAGCTTCCAACTCTCGATGGTATAACCACTACTGAACTAGACCATCAGAAATGCATGGTACCTTTTAGTACTCTGATTGCAGAAGGCAAACGGACAATATATTTGGGAAAACTTGCACCAGAAACAACATGTGCCGATATATGCAATTCAATTCGTGGGGGCATCCTAAGCAAGATCAGATATTTATCTAAAAAGTATTCGGCATTTGTGACGTTTGTTGATCCCAAGGCAGCTCAAATGTTTTACGATACTGTTTCTAAGGGAGGTTTCAAGATCAAAAACCAGAAACCAAAGCTCGGCTGGGGTCCAAAGGCCTTGAATCTCCCGCTCGAAGTGATTCAAGCGTTCCGACAAGGAGCGTGCCGCAATGTGTATTTGGGCGGTATTGAAGGCATTGCAGATGAAGAAAAACTTCGCGCCGATTTTTCGGAATATGGAGAAATTGAGCTTATCAACGTTGTGCCAAGTAAAAACTGTGGATTTGTCAGCTTTACAGACGTCCTCGCGGCCGTAAAGGCTGTTAAAAATATCCCCCTTAAATCCGAATATGCAACCGTTAAGGTTGGTTATGGCAAAGATCGTTGTGGCCAACCTCCCAAGGAGGCCGAAAACCCCAAGGATGACATGAAAATCAAGAATAGCAAGGAAGCCAAGGATAATGAGGAGACGAAGAATACCAAAAAGACCAAGGATAACAAAGGAAATCAAGGACGTCAAGGAAATTGGAGAAAGTAAAACTACTAAAAAATAAAATAAAATAAATAAATAAAAAAGATAAAAAGAATTGTTGACAGTGTAATAAATCATATCAATCACGAAACATATGCTGTTATTCTAGGAGTTTTATTTCTAGTGGCACCTTTCCCTTTTTCCTTTTTTCCTTTTTTCCTTTTTTCCTTTTTTCCTTTTTTCCTTTTGCTTCTTTATTAGTCCTTTCCTGATGCACAACAATACTCAACATCGACAATCTCTTTAGGGGCTGTGACACTGAGGACATGAGGAACAGTCTTGCCAATGGCAACATTGTCCTCGATACGGATACCAATACCCTGATATTTCTCTGGGTATGCAGGATCCCGAGGGATATAAAGACCCGGCTCTATTATATTCATAAAAAAATTGATCAAACATTATGCAGTTGAGTAATTGAGTTACAGCCATAAATGTACAATAATATATAGTCGATTAAACTAGAGGACTTTACCAATGGTAATGACCATGCCCTCCTTGAGTGCTCTAGATCGCGATATGTCTCCGGTGTCATGGACATCCAGGCCGAGGTAATGTCCGACATGGTGAGGATACAATCTTCTATCCACATCCTGAGAACCACAAACAGTTAATGAGACCACGAAGCTGGTGGAGTGTTTAGGCTTACTAATGGTTCCAGTCGTTCACTAGCGCTTCATTTTCAAACCTACATGAGCTAAAGGCTTGATACCTAGGCTCGAAAGCCCTTCTTTTGTCAATCGCATAGATACATCATGGATCTGGTTTAATGACATACCGCTATTCTCGGTACATAGCTGCAGTAAGGCAAATTCATATTAACGATCTTATGAACTCAAATTCTTGTTCCCCTCATAACCACCAAGAGATGAGAGACCCGTTCAAAGATTTTCAGGCCCTCGATTTTTTTTTTCTCCCTCCCCTACCTTGATACACTCCTTATTTGCATGCAGTACTACTTCATATAGTTCCTTTTGTGCCTGTGTAAACTTCCCATTGATGGGCCATGTCCGAGTGATATCGCTTGCATATCCATTCAACTCTCCACCAGCATCCATCAGAATCAAATCCCCGTTATGTAAAGGTTGGTCATTATTGACATAATGCATCGTTAGCGCGTTCGAACCTCCGGCAACTACTGGGACATAAGCCATCATTTGCGACCCTCGCATCCTGCATTCATAGTCAAACTTGGCATAGATCTGATGCTCAAATCTCTGTGGGTTTGTAAACTTCATGGTCTACAAACGTACCAAAAATTCAAATTAATATACTTTTTTTTTTTTAATGTATTTTTTATACAGTGCTTGTATGTGTTTTGGGTTCTCACCTCAATAAAAGCTTTGCCGCTAATTTCGCCCGCCTCTCGCATAATTTTGATCTCAGCTTCGCTCTTGATCACTCGCAGTTCTTGAATAAGTGGGGATAAACTCTTAGTTGTGGACATGGGGTCTGAGTCTGCAATAGTGTTGATTTTGTCATGTGGACGAGAAGTGAAGGTGAGAGTAGATGGCGAAGGTTTTTTAGCGATCGTTCTGAAGGTATGCTTCAAGCCTGAAAAAAACGACGATACTGCTTGAAAGTATGAAGCCGAGTAAACAGAAAAGATGGGAAAGGAGATAAATAAAGGTGGGTAGGTAGATAGACACGTGGTCCTATACTATTTCATCCATATTTTATCCTGCAAAATATGCAATTGACCCTTCTATACCTGGTTTGTTATGTAGTTTCTTGGCAATATCCAATGGCATGAACATGGATGGGGTAGGGTAGTCAAAGTACACATTCTCATATCGGCTCGCGATGTCAGCAATCCTATATCTGAACAAATTAGCATCGATTGCCTGCATAGCATGAATACAAAGATAATGGCATGAATGATATGAATGGTATAAACATAACATCACTTGGTGCTCCCGATGAGCCAATGCTTCGTCCTCAATAGTCCTTTTTCAGTTTTGCACCATTACCTCATCTGCTCCAAATATTTCTTTTGCGCCATCAAGACCCGTTCTTGCACCTTCCCACATCTCAATATTGGCATTCTTTGGCGCCACGAACATGGTCATCTTGTATCCGCGTGATGAGTCGTTTTTTTCTATCATACAGTGTTGTGGTCATCACTTAGACTCACTTTTTTTTTTTTTTTAGTTTTTTTTCCAGTATTTCATGAGATCCTATCCTTACCCAATATGAGTGCAGAATCCGGTTCGTTAAATCCTAAGTATTTCGCAAACACTAGTTAATATCATCTCAGTTTGATACATAAACTAGTCGGAAGGAAAGATTTCCAGATGATGGGTCCTTACCACATAGATAAAAGAAATCAGTGTGCTGATGGAACGGATAACTAATAGTCAAGTAATATGAATTAACTCCTATCCTTTGATATTATAATATTATAATTCACAAGTCTTGAAAAACAGAAATGCTCTGGTGTCAAGAAATCGAGACAATCGTACAAGATATTATTACTCATATATCGAGTCTTGTGGCTGGTCGAGATGACGATACTGTTCTTAGGTAGACTCTGCATTAGAGTTGTTCTTCGAAGCTCATATTCGTTAGCGCTCATTCCCGGTGTGACTAATCATGAGTAATATTAGTTGCAAAGGTGTCAGTGGACGGTATCAATGAAACAGTCCTTCTTTTTTCTAAATCAACAATGATCGGTATGTCAGCGGCTAACTAAGCATTAGATCGTACTTTCACCTTCCTTCATCAGGTGAGGATGTGTCATCCACGTAGGCTGTCCATAGTGTGAAGACGAATATGCCCGTCTCTGTATGGTAGAGACTGTCGAGAATGAGGCAACTGAACTTGAAGGAACTCCAAATCTTTTGTGGATCGAGCGGCGAAAATTCCTGATCGCAAATATTGGCGCCAGTATAGGAGAGGTATAGCTTGTCGCTGCTCCATTTCTGTGGCGGCCGCTTGCAGTGGCGGAACGCAAGAGTTGTCCAGCGAGTGTCCGTGTCGTCTAAGTACCCAAAAGTATAAGCATAGGAATCAACTACTGGAGTTCGATAAAGCCTAATTTTTTTTTTTTTTTTTTTTTTTTGTTCAGGCATAAATGGTTGGTGCGCGTTTTCCGGTTTCGTTGGCAAGATTCATCAAATGTGCTCAACGCCCTTACTCCATGACTTTACCATTACAATGAATGATTTTGGTGTATAATGAGAAACAAGAGGCAAGATCAGATTTTAATTCGGCTATTTGACGCCACTTCCTAAAATGGGCTGCAAAGGAATAACTCGTATGAACGGAAATAGACACATGAAAGCAAAATGCAAAATAATAAAAAGAAAAAAAAAAATGTCTTTATTATGATAGAATGGATTGATCGTTGATGCAAAATAATGTATTCGATGAGTCCTACTTTCCAGATTCTCCGCTTGACGAAGAAGTGGACGAGGCGTTGGGGAATGGGTTATCCTTGCGTGCGTCAGCAAGCAATGTATCGAGTTTTTTTTCTTCCAATGTTTTCTAGGAACAATTTATTTGAATAGAATTCGTTTATTATCAGACCGTTAAATGTTGGAAATAAAGACAGAAAACCTTTATCGCTGTTGCATCTTCAGTTGATTTCAAATTTTCTTACTAAAAGACAATCCTTGTACTTAAAAAAGAGCTCGTCGCACATTGGTGTTGCGTCGCCTTTGAGAAACTTTTCAGAATACCATGTGTTGAAGCAACTATCATACTCCTGCTTGATCTTAGTGCATTTTTCGCCAATGCTGGATGACATTTTTTTTTTTTTCTCTTTTGGATCCACTGAACAAGTGTTAATGATCTGCTCAATTGTATGACAAAAGGCGAAGAATGAATGCAATTGCAATTGCAAAAAAAAAAAAAAGCCTTCCAGAAAAGGTAAATTTCTGATCCGAGAAATTTAGATTTGAAGCTGGGTGCACACTGTTCGCAGATAATTGGGAACCTGAACAATGCAGGAACAGGAGAGTCTCTCAGAACTATCCCAAGATTGTGGGATTCCCCCTCATTAGTATTGACAGTCAGGCAAGAGGGACTGCTAATATTAATAGTAAAGACAAAAGATAGAGAACCCTAAAACCATATATGATTTTAATAATGACGTTGACTTATCAGTCGTCCAGGATTTTACTCACGAAGTTTCGTTTCAATCCAGACATCATCACACCTTCGAAATCCAGACTCTTTCATTTCGTTCACGATCTATCTGTAGCCCTTTGACAGGATCTTCTTGGTCTTGTATTAGTCGCTTTGTTTGAGAGCGTTATTGAGTTTACAGTCTTCACCCATTGTACCCCTCAGAGACTGCCCTCATTGGAGGAACAGATGTCTCAGTGGTGAATATGCGTGGACAGTGTCCTTAACCAGGCACAAGCATACTGTGTGTCTTCCAGCCAACACGACTAAGTGACAACAATAAGCCCACTTTGATATTGAATAAAAGCGGTATAGTATGATTCTATACAAGTAAAGCCAAAGATGGTTGAAGGCCATAGGCACATTGACAGTCAAATGACATTCCATCAGATGCATGAACAGATCATTCCGAGTTCCTCTGCAGAATGTGATTTTATGAAACAATTTCTGCTTGACACCGCCTGCTTGTCTGCTTGCTTGCTTTCTTGTCTTTTTCTGCATTATTCCTAGTAGAATCAAGAATATGATGAAAGGATAGAGAAAAGAGAAGGAAAAGGGAGAAGTATGAAAGGCAGGAAGAAGAAGAGGAGGGAGAGAGTGAAAAGGCCGTGATGGTTGGAAGGGTCCCTTTACGTCCGGATACAGCAAAGCCACAAAGTATAATTTAAGGATTAAAGGTTCATTCTAGGCTGGTAGTCTTGCCAGTGGTTTCTCATAAACACTTAAATTTTTTCAGGCTCCCTATAAAGTTTTAATTGTCCTGTACATGTACACATGCATACTGAATAGGAGCCAGTTTCTAATGTATCAAAGACATGCATTTCAGCATGCCTTGGCCCATCAGTTATAGTTGTATTCTGTTTTTTTTTTTTTTTTTTTTTTTTTTTGATCTTATGGAAAGCTGAAACAGAACTCTTTCAGACGAGGCCACGTCTTAATGATCATTTACAATGCAATTTGCAAGGGGATTACCCAATGCTGTCCATGCTGTTTAGCCATTGATATCTTTTAGACTGGCCATGGGATAGAGTGTTTAGTCCTAAACAGTTGTTAAGACAGGATTATTTCTATCAAGGTTACAGGTTCGGGCGTGCTCTGCATCCAAGCAAATGCTCAATAGACATGCCACAATTATCATTGTTTATACATGTACAACATTGGTGATTTGTAAATCTTTTTTAAACTCGTAGACACATACCATTTTCTTTAACTCTCTTCTTTCACTCACGCCTCTCCCCCCACTCTCTCTTTTTCAAAAGAACATCCATTTAATCTTGTTTTCCTCTACTTCTTTCTCTTCATCTCTCTCTTTCTTCTTGCCTCGTATCTTTATCTTTTATCATGTCCCCTCTAAGGTAAGGGACAGACCCCCGTTCATTATTTTCCTCAACCTGTCCATACACTTTCATCTGCATTTATAGACATTTACACTCTTCTTTTCACAACCGTATATCCATTTACATCAATATGCTTCTGTCTGCACCACTACATCACATTTAATTGTCGTAAAGATAAAAATAAAAAAAAGAGCAGAAAACATATTCCTTTGACAGTGCACTCCTACACTTCATGTAATACTCCTCGATATGCCCCTCATACGAATTGCAGCCATTAGCTTGAGCTTCCGATAGCTTTATATCATTAACCCACCAAAAGAAAAAGAAAAAAAAAAAGAACTCTTGCCCATGTGCGTTTGTTTATCTGCTATTGTTGTGCAGTGTGATTCGAAATGTCAATGACTCAATAGCAGCGTGCCTGTGTGCCATGTTCCTGTGTGTGTTACAGCTGTCTAATTTATGGAGCCAAAGCAATGGTTTGTTATTTTGTTATTGTTTGGTGATGGGTCCATCAGCTCTGCCATCGCAGGCTTTTTTTTTTTTTTTTTTTTTTTTTTTTCTCTTTTTCTCTTTCTTATGCTCTTTGCCACCTTCTACATTTTATTGTCATTCCTAATTTTCATCTCTATTGTTTTGTTCTCCTCACCTCCAACTCTCCACTCATTTCTACAAACGCCTTGACTTCAAAAAGCATTTCTTCATTACAACTATACAATAATATTAATACTTTTACAACCATGGCTTCTAGTGCCACCCAAAGGTAGTGTTTAAACTATACCAATGTCGGCGTACTTCTAACAGTCTAGCCTAATTCTTCCACCAGTCTGTACCTTTCTGTATCAGAAACAAAGAAGCAAAGTAATCAATACGAGCTCACATCCCCTGGGCTGGCTCTCATACAAGTTCTATGAGGGTGATCAGCCCATCGCTCAGTTTTTATTATTTGTTTTGGGCCAGACGCATCTCTAATTGTTCGCTGTGCTTTGGGCAGCATCACCGTCCATATCCTCCTTCCTTCGTTTACAGTTAGGACACATATCCCACCTCGTTTTTAACATTCTTGTTAGCCCTTATTGATCTTACTGAAAGAACGGAAAAAAAAAAAAAAAAAAAAAGAAAAGGAATTATCAGACCGTTGTATACTGAAAATCATGTTTAAAACACACTGAGAAGAACTATCCACCTCTAATGAGGTGTATAGGTTCGTTCCTGTCCCGACTTGGTTGCTTCAATATTCCTTCTCTCTCACCTCATGACTTTTTTTTTTCTTCGAATGGTGGTGATAATCATTACCTTCACACATTGGCATGCCTTTGTGTCGTCAGTTGTAGTTGTCCGTTGCTGTCTCACAAGGGGAAAGGATCCTTCCTCTGTCTATTTGTGGAGTCGATGTCATTGTGAACGGACATGCAGCCGATATTATTGTTTATCTCCTGCTTGCTATTGCTACTTTCATATCACCTGTTTTATCTTCGTTTTCCCTCCAAACACCCTCCAGTCTTTATTCGTCCACACTTCGGCAAACACATATACAAAAAAAGGGCTCATGTCTTCGAGACAATGATAGCGATGACCTGCAACAACAACTCACTAACTATTTCTTTCTGTCTCCTTATCGTTGATTAAGCTTCACCAATGTGGAAGAAGAACTGGAATACTATAAGACTCATGCCAAGAAGATGGAAGAAGAATTGGCCGATACAAAATACCAGCTGGAAGAATTTCAGCAGTCATCCAGAGAACTAGAAGAGGAGCTTGAAAAAGAAGTAGAGTCTACAGAGCGCCGATATAATGAGATCCGAATCCGGAATGATGCTATGAGGCAGGAAATCGATGAATGGAAGGTAATTAAACCAATATGCCTCCAATCTTGTTCGTACAACACAAGTATCAATGAGCACGTTGCTTAAGGTTGTTATGTCTAGCTAGTGTACCAACAAGAAAAGTGCGAGCTTGGAGAGACAAAACACACAGTACTCGGCGGAGATAAAAAGAATACATTTACCTCCTTTTTACATTGACAGCTGACTTTTTTTTTGTGATCATGTTTTTCTGCGTATCAATCATAAAATAGGAAAAGTACCATCAATCTGTCAAGGACTCCAATGCTCATATTAATCAACTCACTCGTCAGCTGGATATTTTGAAGCAGCAGACAGAAATGTTTATTAAAAAGGAGCGAGCACTGGAGCAAGACAATGATGACTTGGAAAGAACAGAGAGGTATGGATCTTTTATAGCAGTCTGCTATCTTTTAGTAAACTTATAATTTGAATTAATAGTCTTAGCTGGATGTTTCTATTACTTATCATTCGTTCTGCTTCGCATTGCTGTTCATTTTAGAGCAATCAAATGGTCACTACAGGAGTTAGAGATCAAATACAACGCAGCAGTGGAAAAGACAGTGTTGCTGGAGAACGAGGTTGCTAGCAAGAATATGCTGATAGAAGAGGTTCAACGACTGAAAGATGAGCTTCGAGGTAACGATGAAACTCACCAGTATCTTAGCAGTATGTTTGCAAGGACATATAACTTCCTTGAGCTAGGGTATCTAACTATATGACTCGGATTGATTATCATGTTTTATAACAATAGATGCAAATGTGGAATTAGCTGTGATGAAATCAAATCAGGCAAATATGGGTGCAGCTGTGGCGAACAGTGGATCTTCTACGAGCCTTAGTTCGTATAATGGGAGCACATCGTCCCTGCCTGAGGCAGCCACTCCCCTCCGAACACCCATTGGAAGCAGTTACGAGGCAATGCCTTCGCTCAGAGCGCGTTTGGCAAACAGTGCACTACAGCGTTCCTCTGCTCGTCTCGCTGGACAAAGTCTTAGCACTACTGGAGCTACAGGAACTACAGCAACTGCGGCAAATCACAATCCTGTCAAGGCAGTGCAGGACATGGTTGGACGTGTCAAGTCCTTAGAGGCGCGTCTGGCATCTTGTCGCTCCTTAGTGACACCGATGCTGCAACCTCCACCATCTTATTCTACCTCCATCCCTACATCTGGGCGATCATCCATCTCTTCATCACCACGGCCTGGATCACCTACAGTACATGCACCTACTCCAGCAGCCATTGGAAGTCCAGTTACCGGTCGCAGAACGTCATTACTTTTGAAACAACACCTCCAGCAACATCGTGAACAACGAGAGCAGCAACTGCGGGAACAACAAAGAGCACTTGCCAATATAACAGGAGTTGTTTCTACGTAAAGTTTTTTTCCCGTCCTCTCAGTATTTCCTTCTTTTGCCCATGATATGCCTGATTATTCACTTTTTTTTCCATTTGTATAATAATTTTTATATTCATTTTCCATTCACTTCTCTTATTATCGCATAAAACGTACGCCTTTTTTTGAACTTGTTTTATTATTATTATTATTTGTCCTGGCGACTCCATCTCTACTCCATACCCCTTTCAGACCTTTCTCTTTATTGACTCTCTCTCTTCCTCTTACAGTTTATGAAAAATAAATAAATAAATTTATTGTGATGTTGATAATAGCGAATATCCTATGCGCTCTTGTAGGGTTTGTGATATGGCCAGACTTTCTGTCATTTTACAAAATTCTTGATTAAGACATAAAGAATAGGAAACGCCTCCTTGTTCTACTGGTGAGAGAAAAGTTGACTTGATTCGATTTCCGTCTACATTGCTGATGGATGATGAAGTGGTTCAAAGTGCGTCCCGCGCCTCTGTCCTTGCCCTTGTCCTTGCCCTTGTCTTTGTCCTCGCTCTTATCTTTATCCTTATCCTTGTTCTTGTCGAGAGTAAAAAGAAATGAGAATTGAGACTTCTTTTCCTTTTTTTATTTTTTTTATTATTATTATTATTTCTTTTTTTTGTTTTGTTTTTACTTCTCAATTCCAGTTGTGGCGGCGGCGCACGACCCCAGTCGTATTCTCATCATGAAGTTCATTCAAGTCTTCATCATTGGATACGTCCTCATCTATATCCTCCTCAGACTCAGATTCAGACTCGCTAGTTCCTTCCTCATAATCCTCATCTTCAGAATCGCTGCCCAACAACGGAGCCTGTTGAGCCAAAGTAGCCAAATGCTCCTGTCTCCGCCTCTTCAAGGTTTCCTCATCCAAATCTTCCAGTGCATTTAAACTCAAGTCATCTTTACGAGACTTTTTTTCTGAACCATTGTCCTCCTTACGAGCTGCAGCCTCGCGTCGGTTCGAGATAAATGTGATCAAGCGAATTAAACCTTGGGAAACCAACATGCCCAGGGCCACATAGTAAAGCATGTCCTGATTATTGAGTGCTTTAGTCTCTGCCTCTTGTTCCTCTGATTTAAAAGGAAGATCCCTTGAATGAGCATCAGAAGCTTGGTTAGATGATGACGAGTCCTTGGGATGATGATGACTGTAGATGGTCCTCTCTGAGCCAGCCGCAACAGAATCCGCGTGAGCCTCAGTCACGGCAGCGAGAATAGCGACGAGGATGAGCATCCCAGAAGCGTGAGTAGCCGAAGGTGAAGTGATGGATGCGAACCAGGAGCGCAGTTTTTGAGAAGTGGTGGCAATCATATTAAGATAAAACTGGGGGAAGGGGTAGGAGCGGAAAGAAAGAAAAGAGTTGCTCGGTACAACAATCGTTCGAGTGGGTGGGAAAAGAATTCATTCAGTTTCAAATGATTGGTGGATTGTGCCCACGCACTTGAACTTAAAAGCCACACTTTTTGCTCATCTAACCATCTTACATCTAAAGTTTATTTTTCGAGTCTGGGCGATGGATATATCGTTTAAAACAAGGGTAGAGAAGCGTGTCAAGGATATATATCACTATAATCTTTGGAATTAATTCCTTGTAGCTTCCGTTAATGCGGGTTAATGCAGGTGATATGTTCAAGCCCTCTGAGAGTTGTACCCCTTTTTGAACGGAACATATTGTTGATCGCGCTTTCCAACAGTCATATTGATATAGTATCATACATATGTTAATTTAGAAAACAGAGGCTCGAATGTCGTACGTTTGTAGCCCTCGTCGGATGCTTGCCGACCAAGTTATGAAACCTTACACTTACTAAGGAGACCATTTCCTCTATGATTTATCATTCAAAACATCGATCAAATGATGTACATTCGACCTTGACTGTAGACACAGGCACCGAGGGCTTCTGAGTGACTTGATATAAATGTTTTATAAGTAGGACACTGTACCGACTCTACTTCAACGGAGTCATTTCCGCGCTATACGCGTCCAGAATGCATCTGTCAACGTAAGCAACAGTATGAATGCTATCGTACCATCCTACCATAGTTGTTATCGTTGTTTTTTTTTTTTTTTTTCATTTCCCCAGAGGCGACTATTCGGGTTTCATATGAAGTTGTATAAACACTTGAACACTGCCACACGTCGCTATCCACTCTGCGTTCCTTGAACAATACTTTATATGCATGTACTTTTACCACCTTTGCTACAAGCAGCAGCTCCAATTCATAGTGATTATTCCTGCAGAGGACCTACCATCTTCATCTGAGGCCCTTGATGAGGGAATGATCTCGGGCATTATAGAGATCCTGGTGAGGTTTTATTTTTTATTTCATGTTTATTGACGGCAGCGACAGTGCACCTAGTACCAGAGTCTGACTTGGATTACCTCAAGAGGTGCTATCTAGCTGAGTTTGATAATGGTTTAGAAAGAACCAGATTTATCGATGATAGTGATAGTGAAGACGAAGAAAGTAGAGACAGAACGAAGTACTTAGTCGTGGCATAATACTTTGAAGAGCCATTTTTTCCAGGGCAAGGGGCAACGACGCGTCGAGTCATATACATCCTTATCCATAAAGCCATCCCGCACTACCAACATATGTGCATCCATCACACTGTTCGTGTTGGGAGGATGACGCCTGGAGTGAAGCAAGGACTGGCGGCCAAAATCAAGGCCTTGGATTATATTGAGAGGAACAGTTAGAGGGCCCTGTGGCTGTCCTTATGTCTCCGACAACAAATGGCAAGGTTTTTCGTGTAAAGTTTTTCATTGACCCAGACAAATTGTATGAGGCGACAGTCAACTGGAAGGCGAACCAGTTCAATGGATCCACATGTCTTGATTTCTTTCGAGCAAAAATGTGCTGCAAGCATATCGCATTAGCGACGTTAGAGCTCCCTCATACCAATTTTTTTTTTACCCTGAACATTGGGAAGTTAGAGAACAGCCTCTTTTAGAGGAACTAGTACACGAGGAACCTGAAGTTCCTAGGATGCCTGTGACGGAACAGGCAGCAAGACAGCTTATTAGATGTCACTTACAGCGATGGCTCGTTTAGAAAGCATCTTAGATGATAATGCACGGGGGTACAAGGTAGTACAAGCTGTTACAGAAAGTCTCTGAGCAATGCGAAGCACAGCTTCCAGTGCTACCAGGACTCAAACTTAGTAATAAACGCCAGAGGCAAGGGTAAGTAAGTAATATCTAGATAAATATAAAATATGAATGAATAGGAAAATGGTTTACAAGGTGAAATAAGAGATCGTTTGTTATTACTCCATATTCTTCGTTGAATAAAAAAGGCGTATTGCTAAGATAACTAGAAAATTAAGTTTCAGCGACTCTTTTTTTTTTTTTTGCCTGTCCTGGTCCAGGAGCCAGTCACCGTCGGCCATCGAGGGACAAAACAATCGTCCTTAACGTCTTAGTCCTATTAAAAACTGAATACTTTCTGGGGATTTGGGGGCTTTTAAAGAAGTTTTCATTGCATAATGATGTTTTTCTTAAATGCTTGATACTCATTTAAAATTAGATAGCCTAGGCAGCTTTCTAAGAGTGTTATTTATATATCTTCATGAATAATTATAGTTATCAAATCTCGTCTTTAAGTGCTGAGCCTTGCTGGAGACTTCTGAAATGGTAGATAGAAGCCGTTGTGGAAATTTCGGCTCCAACTGATGCATATATGAGGACTTTTCCTTGACGAGCCTGTTGACAGACTTGAAGTCTGGCAATGGCTAGGTCAGCACGTGCCTATCACACACATTTAACGTACATGTACATTGTACACTGTCTTTTCTGCATCCCAAAAGCACACCACAATCCTATTGAAACACATTGTTTGTCTTATGGTTTGAGGATCAGCTGACTTTGAAACTAGTTCCTCAGGGTGGCAGCCATTCAGGAGATGCTAATCAAATCCCGTAATTGCTATTAAATCGAGGGAGATATGGAAGAACAACAGGCATCAAACAGACGCCAGAAATGAAATAAAATTCTATTTAATGAAATGTCTTTTTTTTTTTTTCCCTACTTTCAATCAAATTCCAGTGTTGGCATAAATGGATTTGGATGCAGCAATATGATTCTTGTATCCCTCAGACTGACGCCACTCTCGTAGGCGAGGATCCGTGTCGACACGCTCTTTGACACGCCAGATCTCATCACTCTTCTTGATCTTCTCAATAATCTCATCGCCTCTGTACACGAACTGGAAGTGATCAATGTCATTGGCCGTTTGGATATCCGCCAGAGACAGTTTATTCCCAACATAATGACCGTTCGATCCATTGTCCTTCAAGTGTTTGGTATGAGTGTCAATCCAGAGTGGCAACGTCTTTGTGATAAATCTCTCGGTTGCTTCTTCCACCTTGTCTTTGTAGTTCCTTGTAAGAATCCATCAAACAACGTCATAATAGAGAAAAAAAAAAAGAAAATGTATGAGTTTCCTATCCCTCTTTACCCCTTCTCTCGCATTATCCTTCTTTCAACAGATATCATGAGCGCCCATATCCAAATCCATATCCTTATAAATTAACTAGGACTTTCTCTTTACCAAGTTACGCCCGTAAGCGATCGCTCTCGCAGATACAGGGATGATGAATGGAACATCTTGATTTGTAGCTCCTCCCATTCATTATCGCCCAATAGACCAAACTTCTTGGCCAAAAAATGCTCAATCACGAATGACTCGGCTATCTTAAACTCAGTACCGTCTGCAGTACGAATATGCAAAACAGGGAAGACTCCAAATGGCGCCTCGACCGAATGGGGCCAGCTCTTTTTTTTTTTTTTTTTTTTTTTTTCAAAACAATTCAATCTTTTAGTACATTTCATCTTCGTCATTTTTATATCATTGTTCTCATTTGAAGATCTTTTATTTTCCCACGTTTCACTTTCAGAAGTAATTTTCTCGATGGATATGAGAATATTAAAAAACTTACAGTAACGATCACATCTTCCCATTCTACTCCTCCGAAAGCCAGAAGGTCGCGGGGGACCGCACCTACACCAGAGAGAGAATAGTGTTCCAACTTATAGGTTGCTGGTCGGTTGTCCGAAAGAGCCTTGGCGATATCGGATGAGGTCTTGTCCTCAGAGGATAATCGTGTGATAGTATACTGCATCTTTAATTTTTGTCAATATTGCTGAAAGATCCTATAAAGCCTTTGCAGATGGGCACTTCTGTATGTGTGTGTATGTTGTATGTGTCAGAGATGGCGAAAGAATAAGGGAAGTAGCTTGTTCTTTGCTTCCTTTTTATACTTTTTATACCCTTAGCTCTTAGAGCGTGTCTCAAAGAATTACTCTCTCATCATTAACACGCCTTGCCATTGAAAAAAAAAAAAAAGACTGCGGATTTTTAAAAAGCGAGATGGGTGAATGTGATATCATTGGCAGGGTACAAGATCTACTACATCCATCAGGCTGGAATGCATTGATTTCTACTAAGCAAGGGCCTTCTGTGCACTCAAAAATCAAAACTTTGAGCAATAGCCCTACCCAATTACACATTTTTAATGTTTGCATATAAAAATACCATCTTGTTACGTGTTGCATATTCTTTGTGATCCTGGCTTTTTTTATTTTTTAGTACATTTAAATTTATTCAAAGGGTTTTCTGGATTTTACTGCATAGAAAAACGTATACCCACAGTGTACAACCCATAATTGAATTGTTAACACATGTTTCCCCATCGATATACAAGAATTACGTTCTGTCCTTCAAAAGTTGATTATTAATACTCTACTTATGCAATTGTTACCCAGACCGTAAATAAAAAGAAACTGTATTATATATGTGTTAACTTGATAACACTGTAAAGAGATCGCGAATAGGTTGCTTTTGCCTTGTAACCCGGTATATGTAAAAGAAAAAAGAAAAAAGAAGGACGAAAACTGCAGGAAGATGTTATCTAGTAAAACTACGCGCCAATATCGACTGCGATGTAGGTTGCTTAAAAAGTCGTATAGAAATCAGTTTTATCCCTGTGATGAGTCGTATCCAATTTGTCCCGTACCGCTCGCGATAACGACTTGCCAAACTAGCTGTATTTTGGAATTCTGCAGCCATAGCACTATAAAATGCATCCATGTCAATTGAGGACCACCCGACTTGCATAAATGCATCGACTAGCTTGTCTGCAATCTCACCCAAAATATTCCGAACTTCCTTTTGTTGGTTGATCATACAGCCTATCGACAACATATTCCGCAGCACGACCTTAAAATTGCTCTGTATCCGTTCTAAGACTGGAGGATGAGCGGATTGTGAAAGGTTGTTCGAGATTCGGTTCCGCAGTTCATCTATGACTGCCCGGTCGTTCAGCACGAGCGATTTAAGGTCACGGACATCTTGTGCTAACTGTGGATCAAACTCTGGTAATGTGTCCATAGTGGATGCAGTCCAATACTGCATTAGAACCGCTCCGCAATATTCAAAATCTGAGAACTGGTAACATGAGAGTCGTTTCCGGAATGTGTCCAACCTGTTGTTTGCTATAAATAGGATATGAGCGTATTGTCTTAATTGGCAGAAAATGTACAAGTAAAGGATTTCATGTTAATGGGGGGACTGCCAGTACACCGACGAGTCTGCATGTCAATCCACATTGTATCTCCCCTGAATAGAGACCAACCTAGCTAGGTAATGTGGCAACAAGAACTGGTGTTCTATATCCTGAACCAATGTTCTGCCTTCCGCATCCTCAACTTTTTTCATGACTCGCTTCAAGTTGTCAAACTATATTATGGGGCAAAATCAAAGTGAGGAATTTACACCAGACATATTAGCATAAGAGGATTCTATATACTCTAAATAGGACCTGAATCATGAGCCATATTTATATGTACCTGTCTACGACAGCTAATAATCTTCACCCCTGTCTTCTCGTGCACTTCATCCAAATCCTTCCTGGTCCTCGAGTTGAGCTTCTTGCCAAGAATTTCCCTAATAACAGACTCATCAAAGCTGTAATACCTAAAAGGTATGAGAAATTGTTGCAGATAGTGGTAGAACTGATGTTGAGTATAAAAGGTCAGGAGTGATTTTCTTTGTTTTAAGACTCAAAAAAAAAAAAAAAAAAAAAAAAGAATATGTTTGTATATTACTTTTCAATGAGATGTTGTTTTGCGCTGTGAGACAGAGGGAACATGAATTGCCCTGCAAAGTGCCGAGGGTGGTGTAGATAATGGTGCATCATTTCATAGGTCCTGTATTGAGATGTGATATAGCTCTTGAGCACGCGCAAGGGCACAGGCGGCTGAATAGCAGGCATTCGTTGAGTCGTTGCTTGTTCAACTGAAACATGGAGGAAACAAATGAATAACCATGACAGATCACTGTAATAAAAAAACGAACATAATGAATTGTTTTGTCGGTTTGTATCTACCACTGTGTCCGAGCAACCAGAGCTGCAGAATCGCCTCGTCCAGAACAACTGCACTTGACGTGGTGACCATCCACTCTGACATGATGAATGTACGTCGAGAAAGTATTAATAAGGTTGAGAATGCAGTGTAGAATGAACAATTCAAAAATAGTCCAATGAGCAAACAATGTGTGTAAATATAATTGTCTTTTTGAATGTGTAGGGGAAAGGCGGGCAATGTATCCAGAGAATTTTGCTTTTCTTTTCTCGCTCTTCCTTAATATTAGTTGCAGCTCTTGAGTAACGGTATATGCAGCAGCAAGTGCTAATTGTTGAGTGAAGAAAGAAATGAATTGAATGTGAAAGCAAGACAAAGTTCATAAAGATTGTTACACGTGATATGATCCTCCAGCGATGGTATTTGTATACAAAGAAAGTGGGATATCAATCTCAGCTGTGCCAGCTGCTCTCCATAATCAATCCTTCGTTCTAGAAGTTTCAAAATAAAAATACACCCATCCTTTTCCTTCTCTCCCCTCTCCCGTATTCCACATCTTTAACACCCATCATAACGTTCAAACATTCATCAATCCATATTTCAAACCCGAAAAAATGACTCGTAGGTGTCCCTAAATTTCCCTTGTCCAATTGCTTTTTTTTCAATACGAGAAAGTCAGGACTGGTTCATCTCGCTCTATTAAATTTGGATGAAGCCTACAGTACAGATTAACAAACATTCTGAGAGACTTTTGACATGTGCTACTCAACCCATTAGGTGGCAATCAGCGTGAAATGGACCGTGCTAAGGCACAGAAGAAGGCAGCACAGCAAAACAAGAGCAAAAACTCTACTGGCGTCTCCTATGCTAAGCGTGCAGAGTCGTAAGTTTCTCATGTTTATAAACAGCATCATAACTTGCTCAAAGTTGAAAGAAAGATATGCTATAGAATTACGGTTAGAATAGTCGACTAGAAGCTCTGTTTCGTCAATATATTCTGGAATGTCATTTGTAGTGATGCCGAGATTATGCGAGCAAAACAAGCTGCTAAGGAGGCCCTAAAGGCGGCAGGAGGACCACAGGCTGCAAAGAAATAACCCTTCCTACACGATGGCTTCTCCCTTTTTATTCCCCTCCTATGCCGCACGTATGCGGCGCGTCAGCCTTTAAATTATTGAGAATCATGGAGTCACTTGAAGAGCAAGAAAGAAACCCACAATTCTAGTACAAAAACAATAACCAAGCAAGTGGAGACTGCGTACCGAAAGAAGCATTTAGATGATCTTTTTCTTGAGCATCGAGACATTTTTTTGTATGAATTTTTCCTTGATTTAATATTACCATGGAACTATATAAAAATAAAGCTCTTTTTCGGCCTCTTGAATCCCTACAAGATGGATAATTGCCTTTGCTGAGATATGCAAATGTAATGACAAGCCACAAGACAATCGCTTAAATTTCCCTTGTTGTTCTGGTTTACTGTTTTTCTCTCCCTCCTTTCCAAGATTTATTCAAGGTACCCCTAAACAGTACTATTATATCAGGTTTTAGAAATTTTTCGTTTCTATCCATCCATCCGTTCATCTATCCATCCATCCATTCAACTGAACGTTAGCAATCCGTCTGTCAGTCAATACTACCGACATTACTCAACATACTGCTTTCGTGTACTGAAGATTGAATTAAATATCGTCCCATGAATAATAATGACAATAATGAAAAAAAAAAAAAAAAAAAAAAAAGAAAAAAAAAAACTCTGGTGTTTAACCCGAGTTCTTCAGCCTTTCAGCAGTGGTTATCGGCTCAATACCCTTTTTCTTACTTTCACTTGTTATGTTTCCGGAGCCTTTTTTAAAAATGTCAGCTTCTGTTCTGCGCACCATCATCTAACTATGTCTGCTAACGACGAATAATATGTATTTTAATACAAACCGTATAGATGAGAGATAAGTGGAAGAAGAAGCGCGTTCGCCGCCTCAAGCGCAAAAGAAGAAAAATGAGAGCTCGCTCCAAGTAAACGTCAGCAGCTATAAGCGCGGTCCTTGGATAGCCTGAGAGGAAGAAGAAGGAGGAGACGAGTCATTTTGTTTCAAAGACGGCTGAAAATTTTTGTAAGCAGAAGAGTTATTTGGCCTGGCCGTTGCTGGAGGAAACGCGGCCCCATTTTTCGGTTTCTTTCAGCTGGAGCAGTTCTTATCCTTTCCATCTTTTTTAATCAGTCTTTTGAGGCACCAGTTTACATCCAATAAAACCAACCTTTAAAAACCAAAACCAGAAACAACAACAACAAAATGGCGTGCACTAATAGTTGACTTGAATGATATTTGCAAATTTTTATTTATTTTTTGTCTCCAACTTGATATCGTCTTCGACCTAGGAAAAAGAGATGATGATGGTACAAAAGATGAGAAAAGTGATCAACTTTGACAAGTCTAAGTGGATCTGAACTGGCAAGTAGGGTAAGATTCTACAGTGGAAAAATTTAAGAGGTGGGCCATTTGTTATAGCTATACTATTCAAATGTTGATCACTGAGCAAGCTGAAGATCATTTACAGAAGTAGCTCAATAAATGTATTATCGATCCATCGATCGAACTTGTATCCGTTCTCCTTCATGGTTCCAACTACTCTGAATCCGAACTCGGCAGCCAGGCGTAGACTTGCTTCATTGCCTTCACTGATGCTTCCTATATGAACAAATAAGTTGCGCAGGAATTTGCAAGTATAGAGTAAGCAACATCATTATGTTGCTTGCTTGATGTGATACTGATTAAGGATAGTGTGCTCTCTACTTACCAATGATTGCATGGAAGTTACGCCTCTTTGCTTCTGCCAAAAGTTCTCTCAGTAACATTCGTCCAAGGCCGCGTTTTCGATGCTCATGATGGATATACAATGAGTATTCTGCGGTGCTACAAGATAAAAGATAGTAATGGTAATAACTCTTAGTTTTCATTCATAAAATAAAAAAATCTCATTTTTGCTTAACTTCGGTTTTTGACGCACAAACGATATCCATCCTTTTGTCTGAAGCTTCCTAAAGATGCATATCCTGCAACCAACTCCTTGTCTTCGACGATAGTGGTTGCAACAAGAATTGGGTATCCGCCTTGAATTGTGCTCCTGAACCATTCAAGACATGCATCCTCTGACCGTGGACCATAGTTGAAGTTGTTGACAGAGACTTTGATCTCATAATTGACGATGTCATTGATTTGCGAAGAATCTGTCTCCTTTGCTGGACGGGTACTGTACTCAGCCATGTTAATTTACTTGATGTGGAATGGGTTGGTGGACGCTGAAATGTAAAAAATGGAGGTATACTTAATGATTTATTTTCTGACCACAGCTCTTCATTTTATACTTTGATCAGTCCTGGCTTATCAGTTGCCAATCTCCTCATTTGCTCATTTCGTATACATTTCGAGTCACTCTTTTTTTTTTTTTTTTTTTTTTTTTTTTTTCCTCATACAATTTATCAGGAACAGATACGAAATATAGAAAGTCATGTTTGTTGACGACGGCTCATGGGCATCTAAACTACATATTAAAGATAAGGCACAGAGCACAGTCCTTGACTTGTTCGCGATTGTCAAGGTAGCGATGACAAAGGAATTGAGCTCCATCAGGACAGTATTTTTATTGCTGACTCACCTTATCTTTTCATCTGCCTGAGCTTATTTCTTCACGAGGGCCATAACTTCCGGTACTCATTTGATTTACTTAACTACTGTCATTATTTCACTATCTCACTTAGGCCGTTAATCTCGATGCCGAACTTCCTGAGGTTACAAAGAATAAATCGCCGTTATTTCAGGTCATGGATTTATGATAAGAGCAGATGTTAGCACGTACTACGGGTTCTCATTCATCAAGGTTTTTTTTTTGCTCATCGATAGCCTTTAACGGAGACGGCGAGACAGTTTTCTATGCTGGATGGAACTATGCGCACCACACGACAGGTATAGTAGCAAAAAAATAGCTCAGGCCTTCCGGGCGTGAAATCCAGTGTTCACACTAATGGGCAAATCTTGCCTACCATAGAATACATTAAAGCTAGCGCACATCCTCCAACAGGTCCAAGACGCAAACTTTAATCTTTTGGATAACCTGCGTGCAACTGAGCAGGCGAGTCAAAGCCTATATCTCCAACCGCCCCCCCCCAAGGAATGAAACATAAAGCTTGTGGCAGGCTATAAACCACCTACTTCGTCATTTGTTCTTATTTTTGTTAATCGGGAAATTTGCCAATAAATCATGAAAAGAAAGGATATGCACTTTATCGAATGAAACTGTGTTGGATGAAGGAGCAAGGCTGGAAAAATCGCTAAAGATGTGAGGATCTTCGGGAACAAAATCAGAATAAATGGATAAGTGGGAGGAAGCTCATACTGCTCGGGATGGTGTTTGATGTAAATCTAAGCTGTTTAATAGCTAAATTTGCTAACTTTCTCAGTACTGGAATCTCAGACTTGTGATCCTTAGCGAAATGGCGCCTTGCAGTGATCAGCTCCTCCATGTGGCTCTGCTTTGTCAACTGCACTTCCTCAAGTCTTTCATACTGGTATATTTCCTGATACCCATTCATCCCTTTTATTGGTCCCACAAGCTCCTAGGCTCCGACGCATAGTTGGAAGATCTCCAATACCAATGTATAAGTTCGGTGCATTTTAACTCTTTTAAATACTTTTATAGATTGATCCACTCTTGATGGTGGAATAACTTCTTAGCCCTTTGGGTTCTTTGGACTGAAATGATAGGAACCACGAGCTCTATAGATACTTTCTTTGACGACATTCCGTCTTCAAGAGGAGAGATTGCGTTTAGGCTGTATCTTTTGATGATATATTATTGTTATTCACTGCCAGTGAATGATTAAATGGATGGCATGCAAAAGCAATAAAAAACCTGGAAGTAGACCTGGTATATATAGCAAATATCCTTTTTTATATGGATGCTACGAGAACTATGTGACATTATAATGAAATTATCGTTATCGGGACTCAAGCCGTTTCTTGCTAAGTTTTTGAGAGTTAAATACCAAGCACCTCTGTCATTGGATGAGGGTAGTAAGAAATGTTGTTTTCTCAAATCAAACGTGCCAATTCTCTGCAATCAAGAGCCTCCAGGTTTATATTCAATATTTCTAGGTGCAATAACCCGATATGGAGTATATGGTATCTAAATGATAGGTAACTTTGAATTTTAGTATATTATTGCGCAGACGACTGTCAAAATTTAAGATATTAAGATATTGGCTGCGGTTGTTCCTTAACACGTTAATAAAAGAAATATGGTTAAACTTTTAGACGCAAAGACGAATGTGTAACATTCGTTTTCTGGAGGGACATTCTCTCCTCTCAATAGTGTGGATTTGGGGGGGGGGGGGGGGTTTAATAACAAGGATGAGGTGTGGATTTGGAAGGATAAAATCTTGTCTCCTTACAAATGTGTTCCTAGATTGGCAGCCTTGTAGATCTAACATGGCTATCCTTTTTTTTTTGACTGCGACAATTTAGTTGTGAATAAGGTCGAGGGAAAAAAAGAATAAATACCATTGACATTGCACTCGTTTTTAACAAGGAAAAGAAGGAAAAGTATATATATACTATATGATGGATAAGGAGAATAAAGTTCGCAGTAAATGGCATCTTATGGCATCTTATGGTTGAAGCAAAAATAGCGAAAATAAAGCTGTGTTCTGTGAAGAAAGGAAAGAAAGAGATCATAACCATCAACGTCATAACAAGGGCAAACCTTTTGGAACGAAAGTCTCCTTGGTCTTATAAACACAAACTGATCTGGAATTGCTTCGTCAACAGCTCGAAGCCATGAACATGAATATGAACATAAGGATGGAAAGAGTAGCATTACGAACACAATCCGTGGCAGATGGATGGTCTAGCGATAACAAGGATGGATAGCAGGATAAGTTGTCTTAATCGACTGTGCCACAATTGACCTACACGTCTTTATGCATTGTGGATCTCAAAGAATATAGAATCAGCATATAGGGACGTCGTAATCTTTTCTCTTGTTCGTCGTTATTTCCTTTTGCCCATCCCTTTCTCCTCCTTTTTTTTTCTTTGATGTGGTGTGTTACATTATTTATTGTAACACATGTCCCAAGATTCCAGCCATCCACACCATGTCCATTTCTAATTTCTAAAATAACCAGCCACTCACTCCCCACCCCTCATCTCTTTCTTTTTTAATTATGCCCCAAGCTCACCTTACTACCTTCTCAACTCTCAACTGTGACTTTTGTACTGCACACACTTGAACTCAGCTTAAACATTCTTCTTAATATCTGTTCCACTTTTACTTCCTTCCCTTCCTTCCTCCTCTCCTTCTCTCTATCTCTTTTCTATCTCTCTCTTTTTTTTTTTCTTTTTTCTTTTTCTATTCTTCTTCTTCCTTCTTCCTTTCTCCCAGGTATCGTCACGATTGCAGAAAACAATCGGTATACACTCTCCATCATATACACCATATACACCATACACACCATGACTCTCACTCCACATGAAGTCGCTGTTTCCCAGTTGGAAGCAGGACAGGCAGTCACCATTGAGCGCATAAGGTCGCTTCGATTTATCAAGAATAACATCATTGGCAACAAGACGAAAAAGGATCTTTATATTCAACTCGGTATTGTTTCAAGGTATTGTTTTATTACTGCACACTATCAGAGGAATAGAGGGGCAAAGAGAACAGACTGTCAACCAGTTCTACACCTTGTTCATGCTGATGTAAATGTCGGTACAGATTGTCGATAGCATAAAAATGTAAAAAAAAGAAAAAGAAAAAGAAAACAACCCATGACATTGCACTTTGTCAATGCCATGCACAATACGTCCGTGCCTTGTGTGATTTCACACTATACAACCACACCACAAGTCAAGCAATCGACATTCTCATCAGACAAGGAATTGAGCCTATGGGATTCGCAAACATGGACATGGCTCGTGCTCCAACATTATTATTATTATTATTTTACCTCCATTCGTGGCCTTCCCCTTCTTCTTTTGCCTCCCCTGAGGCAGTCGTTTCGCATTCTCTCTCCTGATTTTTAAATGTGTGCTAACACAATAACATTCTCCTCTCCCTTACTGCTATTGGAATTGTGTCGCCTGTCGAATGTAGGTTAAAGGACATCGTTACTACTAGGGACGAAAAGGATCCACAATTAAAAACACAGGCAGTCATCGTGCTAGGAAGTTTTGCCTTTGGTAATTATTTGCGTACTAGAACTTTCAAAAGAGAAGTCGGTCACAAAAAAAAAAAAAAAGGAAAGGAAGAAAAAAAATCAATTGGACTGGGACTGGATTAAACTGGATTCCTACTGAACAACAGACTGATCACCAACTTCTCTAGGCGATGAAGCCAACATCCTTGCTTTGACAAATTCGGGCGTTATCGGACCATTACTTGATTGTCTCAACCCCGCTGGAGACCCTAAACTGATCGAAGCTGCTGCACGTACACTTAATGCAATCTATGCCTCACCAAAAGTGTCGAGGCAGGAGCTATTTATGGTAACAACTCATACTCCTTTTATTTTTGTGGTGGCTGAACCAGTTTTATTTTGGATTGTAAGAAAGGATATTGACCCAACGCTCTTTATGACGCAGGGTAACCACTTGAACGTATTAGTACAATTACTTGATACCTATAGCACCAGTTATAGATCGAATCAAGAGGTTATTATGCTTCATACAGCAGAATTGGTTGCTTCTATATTTGCAAGATGCTGTGAGACGACTGATCAGCAGATACAGATCGCTGCCAGTGGAGCCATCCCTCTACTGATGCGATTGCTGGTCAGTGGTATCTCCAAGAGTCAGGAGGCAGCTCTTGGTGCCCTCGCAGCGTTAGTCAAGGATAACTCTGAATTAGCTCATCATATCGCTAATATGAGATGTAAGTCTGCAACAAAGTTAATGTCCTGCATCATCCATTTCAATAAATGTGTTCTAACAAATCTCTCAATTTCTGCCTATCCTTCTTTATAAATAGTGGAGACAGGCGAGCGACCTGCGCCATACATTCTCCGACTTGCTTGTGATAAATCGCCAACAATGCGACTTGCAGCGGTCACTTGGTATGACGGTATCTGGATCGTTATGTCAAATCATATGCTAGCGCTCCAGCAATTGTAGTTTCTCTTTGATCCCCAGCTGACAGACATTGCTTAAACTTATTACGCCACCTTTAGCTTAACATATATGAACAGAGCAGGCGTAATTCAAGAGCACAATAGCGACATCATGTTAACTGTACTTCCTGTACTCGTCAAGATGTTGCAATTGGATGGCATTGTTCAAGAGACTGCACCAAAAGTACTAGGTATGATTGAACACGACAACTCCGTTTTGAATGTCCATCCGTTAATTGTTAAAGCATTGATGCTTAAGGCTAATAAGACCTATCTCATATTATCTTTATAGCATATTTGGTCTGGGAGAGTGAAAGCATGCAAAAAGCCGTATGTGATATGGAGGCCATCCCCAAGTTGGCATCTATTATCAGTCACATGGGCGAAGAGGATAATGTGTATGGTATCGTCGGCCAAAAGGACAAACTCAAAGAGGTATGTACATACTAATAATCTGGGCCATCTTGGTTTCAATTTCAGAATGATGCTCTGAGCTCGTTCTTTCTCTTTTTTATTAATACAATAATATTCTTTACCAGAACTCACTGCTAGCGCTGGCGGCTATTAGCCAGATCAAAGAATATTGTAGACGGCAGGTTATTGAGGCCAAGGTACTCCCGCATATTGTTACTGCCATGTCACATCCCTCTGTTGGTGTTCGTGCAGCAGCTTGCCAGTGCACTCGCAGTCTATCAAGGAGTGTTGGTAGCCTGCGGACAAGTCTAGTTGATGCCGGCATTGAGGCTCCTTTGTTCCAGGTAAAATACGGAGGATAACTTTAAATGTTGTCGATTCACTGCTATGATATGGCATGGACCCATGATATCCTTTCTCATTCTCCCGCATACATATCCATTTATAGTTGTTAAGCGATTCTGACCCTGGCGTCCTTAGTTCTGCAACAGCAACTCTATGTAATATTGTTCTCGACGTTTCACCTATGAAGAAGAGTCTGATGGAACGCGGGGTAGTCGCAAAGTTTGTGCAGATGATTGGCTATGGTGACAACATTGTCCGCTTACACGCTGTATGGGCCATCAAAAATCTAGTCTATGAGGCTGATTCGGAGGTAAAAGAGACAGTCATGCGCCAACTTGGGTTTCACAGTCTAGCAGCATTATTGAATGATGCAGAGTTGGATATTCAGGAGCAAGCCTTGAATCTTGTCAGAAACTTAGCTTGCAAGAGGAATCAAGACATTGATCTGGTCTTTAATGGCCTTGGACCTGGTCAGTTACTTAGTATTATCGAGGATAAATTAACTTGGGATGACATTCGGATGCTCGATCATGTAAGTGTTTTCTCTTTGTAATGCTTAAACTCGTATGGAGAATATCGATTTCCACATCCCCCCCTCCCATCCTTTTTTCTTTTATTGCATTAAAAGAATCCGCGCTAAAGAAGAAAAAAAAAACCCCTGCTTTCCTTCTGTTTCCTACCTTGATACTTAGGCTCTCTATGTCTTGGTCAACATCGCTACAGGGACTGAGTATCACAGGCAGAGTATCATGAAACGGTCAGGTATTCTCCGATCTGTGCTTGGATTAATGTCGCATGAAGCTGCCTCCATCCGTGTTGCTGCTATTTGGGTTATCATCAATTTGACATGGTCGGAGGAGGATGTGGCTCACGGAGTGCATGAGCGAGTGGCCATACTGAGGAGTATGGGTGTGGAGGACCGATTGCATTCCCTGGTTACAGATTCTGTACCAGATGTCCGCGAACGTGTCAAGACTGCGCTTCAGCACTTTGTGCAGGACCACCAGCAGTACGGACATAGCGGCAGTCCGAGTGTGCGACATGTTGGTCAGGACGCGTACACATCGAATGAGGCGCTTGGGGACTCAAGGATGGACACTAATACTACTGTATCCGGCACCGGCACCTCGAGTCATATCGCATGAGCCGAACAGCCGGCGGAGGACCCTCATTACCAAACAAACCAATAACTGTAACGACCTTAACAATAATATCAAGAAAAAAAAAAAAAATAGAATTAAAGCTGGCTACCTTGCTTGATACCCATTTATTTTGTTAGAATCTGTGCTTGATATACCTGACCTGGTTCCTGCCCATATTTTCTAACCCTCCTTCATACAGTCTTCAGCGGAACACTAACTTGTATCAATGTTCATCTCCCAAAGTAAATTTTTTTATGTTTTTTGATAACGAAGTAAAATCGTTTCGTAGGGTTAAAAGCTGCAAATAAAGCCATTATCTTCTATACATATAATTATATATATTTTATAACGAGGGCCCACGAGGTCATGTAGGATTTATTTATATGAGTTTATCTTTTTTTTTTTTTTTTTTTTTTTGATAACAAGGACCCACGAGGTCATGTAGGATTTATTTAGATGTTAGCTCTATAAATGGGTTGCCCCATTACTGGGGTCGCAAATAAAGCGGTATCCAATAATCGACCGAAGCCGCATCGTCATACTGCCACAGTACTACATCCTGTTCATAAACCACGTCAGCATTGAGTAGACTTCCTTGGTCCCAGAGGACCTGTGGCACGGCTCTACTCCCTACTTGGCCTGTTGTGCGCGAAGGTCATCCTTTAGCCACTGTCCTCAATCATCAAAAATTTACAGCTTTCCAGACGCTCCATAATCGCCAATTCCACCTGCTGCCGGTAGCTTGCCGCCACTCGCCGGTCTGCCTCAGTCCTGATCGCCTTCACATCTGCTGTTCGTCGCTGTCCCTGGTGAGAGCCAAAGAATTCACCTCTGCTACGTCTGTGCCTCCCAACACAGTTGCGTCCCCTGGCGCGTTTGCTCACAGAGGTGATACCATTGTCTCTTTCCCAGTTGACGGTGACTTTGCAGCGTCTGTTCCAGATTTCAGTCCTGCCGAGTTCCTCGATTGACTTGACAAAGCGGCAAACAATGTACCTTGAGATCGATGCTGTGGTTCTGAAGATCGTCTTCCATTTTTGTATCAGTTCCTTCGGCACCAAACCGTGGTACAAGTCTTGGACAGTCCAGTGGGCATCCTCACCCTCGTTCCTCCGTCCCATATCCACATCTTCCTCACCAAACAGAGTGCTTGCATGTCGAATCTCTCTGACGCCCTTGAACATCGCTTCCAAAGAGCCCCAAATCACGTTGTCGGGGGACCCACGAGCCATTCAAATGGACACTTTACAATTTTTTTTTTTTTTTTTTTTTTTGATAACAAGGACCCTCAGGGTCATGGGATTTATTTTCTACACTCTATGAACAAAATGCTCCAGAAACTATAGTCAATAAACAGCTATTACTGCACAAACGACAAGAGCCGCTGTATCCATGATTTCATAAACCCTGACCGCCGTGGTTGGTACTCAAAGTCCACCTTTCCGACGTGGCCTGTTGCGCAACGCGACAAATTATCCGCTATCCATAGTCATCAAAAACTTCATTCCACCTAGCCGCTCCATCACGTCCAGTTTGGTTTTCCCAAGGTAACTGTCCCGGACTCGGTCATCCGCGATCTTGTAGATCTCTTTTACATTCAGCTTCTGTCTTTGTCTGAGGGAAGGGACAAGGAAATCATTGCTACTACGTCTGTGCTCCCCAACACAGTTGCGTCCTCTAGCGCGTTTGCTCATAGCAGTGATTCCACGAGCCTTTTCCCATTCAACGGTGACTTTACACCGTTTGTTCCAGATTTCTGTACGACCGAATTCCTCTATGGCCTTGACGAAGCGCCCTGCCATATATGTAGCTATCCTTGTTGTTGTCTTGAAGCCAACTTTCCAACTCTGAGCAATGGACTTGGGCGTAAGTCCATGGTAAATGTCCTGCACAGACCAATCTGGTGTGTGCTCTCTCTCTTCCTCATCATCGCCGTTCCTATCACCATGGCGTCGTACTTCTCGCACACCATCGATATGCATCTCCAGAGTTTCCCAAATGTAGTCCTCCTCTGCCGCAGTAAAAGTTGGCTCTTTTGTCCTTGGTGGGTCTACACCTCTCTCTCTGGCCCTTTGTGCTTGCTCCTGCACTGCTTTCAACTCTTTCCTCCATGTCCTCTCCCCTATCACATTCACATTTTGGATTATCTCCTTCCACTTCTCGGCCTGAGTCTCCATCGTCCTTGGACATCTCCAGATGTGCGATGTGTCTTCATCCTCTGTCCCACACACTCTGCAGTTGCCGTCTTCATAAAGGTCTGGCCTCCAGTGTCTCATATATGACTGTGTAGGCAACATTCCATGGAGTTGCTTGATCCTGTGCGCTCGCTTTTGGCAGTCCGCTGGGCTGGTGAAGAGTCCTTTCGGTAGGTTGCTATCATGAACAATGTTCATAGTAGCTCGCCAATCAATTTTTGTCCAATCCTTAACATGCTCCTGCGTCCTGTTCTGAGCGATCCACGTGTGATGTGTACGAGTTGTTGACTGTAACTTAAGGATCTGCCTTAAGTCATCTTCCGCTGGTACACCGTTGAACTTTGCATGGCAGTACATGTCATTATGCTCCGTTATGTTGATATCCCATAGCTCGCCATAATGTCCATGTTTTGCTGCTTCGTCCGCTTCTTCGTTCCCTCTGTTGCCGACATGTCCTTTGACCCACTCGACCGTGACTTCCGATCCTTGTTGAATAAATGCGTTGTGTATAGCTGCCCACCATACTGCATACGGTGATCTAATACGTTGTCGCAACGTGCTATCCACTCTGCCTCGGACCAATGCTCGGAATTGAGTCACAACTGCGCTGTTATCAAGTCGGATTGTCATAGGTCTGTTTCGTGGGCTGATAAGTATTCCTGCCAACAAACCAGCTAGCTCTGCCTTTGTCGAGGATGCGTTGCCTGCTACTCTACCAGATAGCGCAGTGTAAAACTCACCCTCTTGTGTCTGGACTACCACACCAAATGCCATACTTACTCTTTCAGTGCCAATATCTTTGAGAGATCCATCCGTATAAATGACATTACCCGGCTGGGTATTGTACCGTTCCCTTTGGCGTTGGATTTTCTCCTCGGTATTGGCACTAATGATAACTCCATTTGTGTCCCTGGCTAGGCCTCTGTTGACTTCAGGGATCACTTTTAGGCACGGTGTCTCGTTGGAATCCAGGTCGACTTTTGCTCTCCTTAGCAGAGCTTGCTCGCTCAGACCCTCATATCTCCTTGTGTTCTGGGTCCGGCGTCTCCTCGCTTCTTCGCGGGCTCGCATGCGTTCACCATGCCTTCGCTCTCGGTCCTGGTGGCGTTCTGCTCTTCTGACTATGGCATCTAACTTTGCTCTTTGTCGCCTAAGATTATGTTCTCTGGTTGCTCTGCGCGCCTCTTTCATAACAGCTTCTCGTCTCTTTTTCCGCTCCTTCTGTTGATCTAGAATCCACTTAATTCCAATTGGTGGCTCAACAGCTTGATTAGCCGGTGATACTGTCAAAGTTCTGTTCGCTGCCTCATCCTTTATGAATTGGTTGAGTGCACGAATCGCTTCTCGATCTTCGTCTTCTGTATCCCCGTCTACCGAGCTGACATAACTACTGTCGCTGTTGCTGTCATCATCACTGACGTCTAAGAGTGCCAGTTTCCTCCTGCTCCATCCTCTTGCATGCCTACCCACATAATCGTTGTCGAAGCAAAAGTTTTGAAGTTGGTTGAACCAGAATGGCGAAACTTTAGGCCCTCCGTAACGGGTCCTGAATGCGTGCCATGAGATCATGTCCTCCTTATCATCCGTAAGTATTTGATCCACAAAGTATACCATACGCTTGGTGAGCGCCTTCCATACGTGTGGTAATTCTCCGTTTAGCCATTTCCATGTCGAGAGAGCGTTGTGTGGGAGACCAAATTCGGCTGCGATCGATAGGTCGAAAGTAATGTTACGATTCTTCATTTCTTCACAAACATTCGATATAAAGTTGTGGCGATACTTTTTGACACGATGTGGCTCCAAAGTTGGCGAGACTTCCATCTTATTCCTGTGCTGCAGCATCAGTACTCGTGTCCGACATATCCGTCCCATTACATTGCTGTCATTAAGTCGAAGCGCCAGGGTAGATATTTGTTCTTCCGCTTGAGCGTTCGCCAAGTCTTTGATGGCATACAATCTATTGTGGTTCATAATGCTGTTTGGCGTAGTTGATGGCATACGTGCTTTCCGCTTACACAGTGACATATACTTACCAGTCATCTTCTGTAGGAACGTTGGTGGCAACATTTGGGCCGAAATCCTATACAGCACCTTTGGGATGAGCACATTATTGACAATATACGTTGTCTGCCGATCTGTCAGGGCTTTGGACCGGAGAATGTTACAGGTCGTTTCTATTTCCTGCTCCACTATTTGCTGTGTTGCTGTTGGATTTCCTGTTGCTGTGACCCAAACACCAAGAATCCGTACCGATTCATTCTTTTCCACTGGTCGGATCTCTTCTGTAGGTGTCCCAAATTTCAGCGTGCTCCTCCTATCCTGCTTGCTGTTGATACAGATGACCTGCGTTTTCTTGGCGTTCACTTCCACCCCGTTAAGAATGAAGAATGTCGTTGCAATGTCAAGTATCTCCTGCATATGCGCTTTGGAGTCCGATATCCATGTAGTATCATCCACGAAAGCAAGGCCAGCAACTGATGGTGTCCCTCTTGGTCCCTCTAGACTATATCCAGTGCTACTGTCTATAATTTCACACAGGAGTGCATCATATGCTATTCTCCATAAAAGCGGACATTCCACTCCACCTTGATCCAAACCGCACTCTGGATGATACTCGTCAGTTGGTCCGTATTCAGTAATCACCCTGTTCACTTTGGAAATGGCGATGTTTTCACATAGGCGTATGAACTGTTCAGGGACCTGGAGCCGTCTTAGTCCGCGAGAAAGCATCCCATCGGGGGCGCAGTTGACAGAGTCGAAACACCGTTTCATGTCTTGGAACACAATCCACTGTTCTTTCTTGAACTCTCTTGCGTCTTCCATTGCCGCTTGCAGGATATGGATCGGATCCTTAGTGGTAGTACCTTTAAGAACAGAGAAGTTTG